TTTTCATTTTGTCATTAGCCTAAACAATTAAAAACTTAAAATCTTAGAGGGTAATAGTTTTCTTATTTAGTAGAAGATAAGAGTTATCTTTTACACACTCATTGGTATAGGTGGGGACGTGGGGTCCATTCTTAGAAGAAGAGAGAGAGAAAAAATAAAGTGTGACCTATCTTGAATTTGTGTGTGTAGTAGATAAATCATATTTTATGCAACATAAGAATAATAAATCCCAATTTTAAAATGGATATTAATAATTAATATAAGAAACATATATAATGCAAATGGAATAGAAATTCCACAAGATATCAACATATGTCAATATGTTTAATCAAAATAAATGTCACTGTTCATTCGCATCGTTAAGTTGTACAAGAGTTAATATACAATTAATATAGATGATATCCCTTCGTGTACTCTGCAGCATGTGAAAGTTATGGTTCTATCATCTATGGTTTCCCATAGGGTCCTTTCCCAGACTCTCCATCAGTACAGATAGTGCCAACTAATGCGAGCTTTGAAAAGAATGCTAGTTTTGAAACTCTGAAAAAAAACCAATTTGACTTGGAAACAATAAGATGATTTCCAAATCTAAGCTAGCTGCAACTCCGTGTGTATGATGCAATCGTTTAACAAACACGTGTTTCCTACATCTTCAGACTTCGATAATGATGGGTCATCCCTGAAATAAATAATGCTCGATCTGAATTTTTTTAATATGATTCAGGATTATCACGGTTCTTTTACTAAAGAATTGACACTTTGTATTAAATTTTTTTTCTCTCTCTTCTCTTTTCAATCTTTTCTCTCTTTTTTTCACCATAATTTCACCGAATGATTTCTGCTTCCAAAACAGAGAAACTTTGCTCCTTAAAATCGAACTAGATGCCATTTTTACTCCCTGTTAGCAAATAAAAATAACTAACAAAATATTAACCACTTAAAATATTTTATTTAACTACACAACATATATAAGTAAAAATCATTAATAAATGGAGTCTACTTATGAACCAACACTTAACGTTTGCAATATAAAATTTTTAATATAAATTAAGTAATATACTTTTAATAAAGATATAATATTGTTATTACCAATTTCACTACCAGTTTATTTCACCGTTAGATCAATTATGTTGATCTAACAGTTATATTTATTCCTATCTTTGTAATGTTATGATTACCCATATTTAATGTGAAAACATTAAATATGAAAAATCATAACCATACAAAAGTAAAAACAAATATAAAATATTAAATGGGTTTGGTGTTTGTCATTTTAAATGATATAAGTTATGTCATTTTAGGAGAGAGATAGACACAAAAAACAGAAATCATGGGAGAGAGAAAATGTGTGATTTTTTTAATTTAAAATTTAAATTTTCTGTGTCTGTATCTCTCTTAAAATGACATAACTTTCTGTCATTTGAAATGACAAACACTTTTCCCATATTAAATATAGGAAAAAGAAAGAAGATTTTTAGAAAGTTAAATCAGAACCATTGGAACAACATAATCGATCTAATGGTAAAATAAACTGATAATAACATTAATAATAATACAAGTTCATAACATAAAAAATAGGGACAAGTTATATTTAAAAACTTTTTTGTTTACAAACTCTTACAAACTACACTATGTTCTATGTTCTTTCAGGGGAATATAGTATAATTTGTAACAAAAATTTAAACAAATTTATAAACGGATCCTTCCACTAAAAAATAATGACAAAATTGTTAAATGGGGAATGGATCTGTGATGATCACATGATAATGTCGCGTGGTGGAAGATGATCCATTCTCAATTGTATGCGTGTGCCAATTGGCCGGTGGAATTTCAACTAGAGAATATCAATTCTTTATGCAAAATCTGTGATATTGGAAGAATGATATTGTTTCTTTCTGTAGAATCTTAATTTTTTTTAAGCATGGCTCCACACTTAATTTATGTATGCAACTCAAAAGCTCTTGTCATATGATATAACAAAAAAGGGAACTATTCTTTATTGAATGTGAGTGTCAATTGGTCAAAGTCAAATAACAAAAGAAAAAGATGACAAATGAAAAAATAAAATAAGATGAATGCGTACTTCAAGAGCAAATTTTCGGTATACTCGATGTGCCAAATTTGATACATCCATTTATTAAAATGGATAATTTTCTTTCACTTTAACCCTTAATTTTTTTTCACTTTGTCTGTATATCCATTTAATTTTTTCTCATTTAATAAATAGATATACCGAATTTGATATATTATAATATTAAAATTATTTCCGTACTTCAGTACTTGTCACCGTGGTGTTGTTGGGGGTTGGTTTTGACAGCTGGGCATTAATGGATACACTGTGATGAAGCATATTTTCGGTAGTAAGGGAGTAGGGATATTTTTTTAGTGTTACTGAGTATATTGAATTTGGTACATCCATTTATTAAATGCAGAAAAATTGTAGAGACAAAAAAAATAAATAAAAAAAATAAGGATTAAAGTGAAAAAACAATTACCAGTTTTAATAAACGGATGTTCCAAAAATTTGCTCCAAAGAGATACTTCTTTTCCTAAAATGATAAAAACGAAGATATAAAAGAAATTAATTATAAAATTATAATTTTATTTTATATTTGATAAAAAATATATTAAATATTCCATACATGTGATTTACCAAAAATATTTTCGCTATGATGGTTGCTACGTCATCTGAATGATCTTTTTCAATATTCGGGATTGATCAATCAGGTTAAGTAGAGTTACGTGACTACTGATTTTTTTTTAATAATAATGCAAGTTTATTTACATAATGCAATAAACTTTAAGGTACCCTACTTTTTAACAAAGTAATTTCCTGAAATGCCCTGCTTTAGTGAAAAAAAGTTGAAAATAATAATTATACAGATATTTTTTTTTTTTTTGATAACAATACAGATATTTTTTTATCCGGCAAGAGAAAACAAAATAATTCAGAATTCAGATCGAGGATGTTTTCATTATTTTGTTTGCAACTTTGCAAGTCAAGTGGAGATTTAAGTGACAACTGAATTCTTGTTTTTTTTTTAAATAATAATGCAAAATGCATTATCATAATTCGTTTGAAACCTAGACTAAATTGTTTTCCATCTATTTACCAAAATAATAATAATTTGTTTTCATCTTAATCTTAGTTATCTCCATATCATAATCATCTTTATTTAATGCTTAACATTATATTGTCACTGTTGCCGTAATAAAAATATCATTTAAACATCTTCAAGCCAAATTTATGATTCTCATATTATTATTATTATTATATATATATATATATATATATATATATATATATATATATATATTAAATATTTTATTATCCATACTTGATACTTGGAGATGGACTCACTATATATATCTTTTTTTTGTGTTACTTTTTAAATCTTTATTTTATTATTTGTATATTTCTACTATGATTTATTTTTTGACGTATTTTATGTTTAATTATTGAATTTTAATAATGAACTTAAACAAAAAAACATTCAATATGTGTCAAAATGGAACATGCAATATGAAAGAAAGGCTTAAGATTTAACTACATGTTATAAAATTAACTTTTATCTTATAAAATTGGTTTAACATGGTTTTAGTCGAAATGGAGTTCTAATAAAACCCTTATGTGTAGGATCATGTTAGCACGGAAATCCAAAAATGTGTAGAAAGATTTCAATTTTCATGTTGAATCAGAATTATAAAACCATTAATAATGAGTACATTTTGTACCATTTCCAGGAGAGTATTTTTTTTTTTTTATTATTAAAACAGGCATTAGAATTACATAAATGAAACATGTAATGTTTTCCATTATTCAAAAAAGTTCGAACACTTTTTAATTAGTATCATTTATTTTTTACTTAATCATCGTATGGATACAGTATTACAATTGTAAAATATATATTTTTATTTTACTACTTCATTTTATTTAAATTTTTAAATGATATGAATTCACTATTAATGAGTATGTAACTTTTTTTTGTTAGATAAAAACGACAATGCCACGTAAATCATGAAATTAATATATTTTTCTTGAAACTTTTTCGAGACCATTATTTTATTATTATTATTTATGATATATTAAAATTTAAAGTTTCTAAAGAATAGTACTTTTGAATGAATATTTTAATTCTCTTGATTGTTGCTTAAAACGAAATAATAACTATTTTGACGTCGATGATTCAGCTTTATTTTTCAGATTACATTTTAAATGAAATTATGCAAATAATGGATGAAATAAAAATTACAAACAATTCATTTATATTTAAGAATGAAAAATACTGCAATTAATTGTGTGAAAAGTTTGCTCTAACAAACTCGGGACATTTTTCATAGAAAAATGATTTAGACAACAATAACAGTCTTTAGATATATACCGAATTTAGTCTTAAACATCAAGAACTTCAACACTCATCAGGATTAAAACTCTAAAGCCCATTTCTTTTCTCAAATGATATAAAAGTTGAATTCAATACATGATATCTTAAGTACTAATGTTCTATTAATATATTTGCTAAGGATTAAGGAAACATTAAGCAGTGCCAGTGACTACCGAGTGAGTGACGACCCCCTAAATCTGAGTCATATGACGACCAGCATGTATCATATATATTGTAATAATAAGTTGTTATTATTACTACTCAATAATTTAATCCTCCAAAGTATTCAATTTTCATTTGACATCATTGGCGCTTAAATGGAAGTTAAATAACATTAACTTTTCGAAAGTTAAATGTGAAGTATATGGATTATATATACCCAACCCTTTTATAAGGACTCTCTCTAGGCCCGTGAAAATATGGGCCGAGCTGCATATATTTTTATATGAGACTAAAACTATTTGAAGATTCTTTCGTTTCGTCTATCTCAAAAAAATAAAATAAAAAACTGGTCCAGCCCAGCCCAATCAAATTATTGGCCTGACAGCTCTCTGCGTTGTCTATGTAGTGTGTCGCGGAAGAGAGGATGAAAAAGAATCAAACATGAAATCAAATTCAAGAGTCCACACTCCATACTAGCTAGCCAGTGTGAAATTGTGTTAACTTTTTTTTTTCTCTTTCTATTACTGAATGTTCAACACACACCTTGTTTCAAGCGCTCACCTGTGATCACTAACATCGAACAGAGTGTTTCGTAACAGTATTAGGTGAGGAAGAATCATAATCATAATCAGAATCGAAATCAGAATCAAATGGGCGCACCAAAGAAAAGCGCCGCTAGGGTTTCAGAGGACCCCGAAGAATTGGCGCGGGTTCCCTTGCAGGCCATCCTCTTGGCTGATAGTTTTACCACCAAGTTCAGACCTATCACACTCGAACGCCCCAAGGTACTTAATCTCACAATTTAACCCAACCATTGAATGGACTTGCTTTTGTTGAACTTTACATTGAATGGACTTGCTCTTGTTGAACTTTACAACACAACATGCATTTACTATTTTTTTTTTTTGATGGTGTTTAAGGTGCTGTTGCCACTCGTGAATGTTCCAATGATAAATTACACCTTGACCTGGCTCGAATCTGCTGGTGTCGAAGAGGTTTTTGTTTTCTGCTGTGCTCATTCCAAGCAAGTGATTAACTATTTGGAGAAATCCGAGTGGTTCTCTCAGCCAAATTTTGCTGTAACAACTATCGAGTCACAGAATTCTGTGAGCGCCGGAGATGCGCTGCGTGTAATATATGAGCATAATGTGGTATGTTTTTGTCTTCAACTTATATGTTTTCAATTTTAAATTTATGTAGGCAGTTCCATGACACTGGTATCCACGTGTATTGCAAGACCTAAAAAGTTGATATTTTAATTTTTATTAAAAAAAATAGTTCTTCTTACTTAGAAATTAGAATTGGTTTTCAGAAAAGGCATCTTCTAGCATTTTTATTAACTACCTCCTGATCTAGATAAAGTTATTCTAACCTTACAGTTGAGATTGTAATATATAATATATGCACATATATAACAAACCATGGACTTGTTAAAATTTACTCCATTGATTGGAAAATCAACGGTTACAACATCGCACTTTTATCTATTGTGCACCCATCACTTTAGAGGAGCCAAATCCCCAGTTTAATAGGTTCTTTAACGGAAAAGATCAGAACCTTACATGTCAGCCACTGCCAGTCCATAGAATTTTTTTTTATGACTTAGTGCTGTAGTAAATTTTTTTATTACTGTTTACTAATCATGCTGTTGTTGTCGCTGTGTAAGTAATGATTGTTAACATAGTATCTTTTCACGCTCTGAGTAATCCATTGGGGCCATGTTTTGTATGGTAACACTTTTGGACAATTTGTTATTTTGAAGATACATGGAGACTTTGTCCTTATCAGTGGAGATACTATCAGCAACATGTCGCTAACTCAGGCACTTCTAGAGCATAAAGAAAGGAGGAAGAAAGATAGTAATGCTGTAATGACCATGGTCATTAAACGGTCAAAACCTAATCCAAATATTCATCAGTCTCGACTTGGTACTGATGAACTTTTCATGGCCATTGATCCTGATACCAAGCAACTTTTGTATTATGAGGATAAGGCAGACCATTCAAAAGGCATTCTACATCTTGACAAGTCATTGCTTGTCGATAATCCGTCCCTCTCTCTGCACCATGACAAGGAGGTTGAACACTTATCTTCAGTTATTTCTGCTTTACTTACAGATCAACTTCTTGCTCAAATGGAATTAGATTGTGGTGCTTATTTGTAAAAAAGAAGAAGTGAAAAACTAATTTCAGGGCAAAATGTATGTTATTATTTTTAATTCATGACCATGCACAAAATTTTATTGTTTAGCTGGAGTTTATGAGTTCCAGTGATGCTTACCTCAGAGTGGGCTGTGCTAAGAAATGATCTATTGATTCTCAATCAGATGATGTGTTATCAATCTCAGTTTATTTTCAGTTGGTAATTGAACTATTTACTGTTGTTATTGTTGCTTTATTATTATGACTACTTTGTTTGGTCATATCTCTGTGGTCTGGTACAACTTTATTGAATTTTTTGAGGTCAATATCTTTTCTGCAGGATTGTTACATTGACATCTGCTCGCCAGAAGTCCTCAGCCTATTTACAGACAATTTTGACTACCAACATCTACGGCGTCATTTTGTCAAGGGATTGCTTGTTGATGATGTAATTTCTCATCCATATGCTTAGTTGAGATACACTATTGTTTCAGTACTCTGCTTTATGTTATTCTTCGTGAAATTCTTCCTTAAGTCCTTGATGGAAGGAAAAAGCTTATCTTTTTATGATTTTTTTTTTTTTTTACTGGAAGAAAAGAGCCTAATTGTTATCTCTTATGGACCTTCTACATTCGTTCTGTGTTGCTATGTCTGACGAGCACATATGAAACACCGAGTGCTTTCTTGAATTGGTCATGTGTCTGCATGTGTTGGAACTTTTCCAACAATTTCTGGAAATGCTTTGGAATTGGACTTATTCATAAGTCTTATGCATTTCTTGCACAAACCTTCAAGTCTTTTGGTATACAGGCTCATTATTTGTGTTGCGACTACATTCTTCTATGGCTTATATTCTCTTGATTTTAGCATTATGTATACACCGCTTCAAAGTTGACCTTACATTAACTTTCAGATAATGGGGTACAAAATTTTTGTTCATGAAATCCACTCAGACTATGCGGCAAGGATTGATAATTTCCGAAGCTATGACACTGTCAGCAAGGATATAATTCATAGATGGACATATCCATTGGTGCCAGATGTTATGAATTTTGGCAACACAGCTACTAAACTTGAACGACAAGGAATGTATCGTGCTTCGGGTATGGATGAAAGTTTTAGTATTGTTTGAGTGTGCCAGCAAATAGTTTATTTCTGATAATATGGCTTGCTCGTATGTTGGTTCTAGTTTCATTCAATGATGTTTGGTTGCTTGATATGCTTTGTTGTTCATTTCCGATGAGATTAAGCTTTTTGAATAGTTTAATTATCGAATAATTATCATATTGTGGCTATGACATGTAAGATGGTTGTCTCAAAACTAATTTTTACCTATTTTCATTTATTTAATATATTACGTTTTGACTATTCTTTTCTCCCCTTTCAGAAATATCACAAGCACAATCTGCTGTCATTGGCCCGTTCACTGTTATAGGATCTGGAACCCATATTGGGAATAACACTAAAATTTTAAATTCTGTTATTGGAAAAGGATGTAAAATTGGATCAAATGTTCACATAGAGGGATGCTATATATGGGACAACATCACCATCGAAGATGGCTGTAGACTTAGACATGCAATTGTATGTGATGGCGTGACTATGAAGTCAGGAGCTGTTCTGGAACCTGGTGTTGTTTTGTCTTTCAAGGTTTGTGCCTTGTAGTATCTATTCCATTTCAGTCGCCATACTTTCATCCTTCATGTTTCTCTCATACGATTGTACTTGCTTCAAAACTTTTATGCTTAACCACAATGGTTATGTTGTCATTAAATTTAAGTATCAAAAGACTTTTAAACTAAAGTCTTTACTACATGCTTGAGAATAATTGAATCCCTTGTTTTTTTGGTTTTGTATTATAGTATTACAATATTAACTATTATTTGGTATAATGTTTGTTCTTATGGTGTACAGATATTAGTCTAGTTATTTATTTTCATTTTTCATGACCGTATATGTTAATCTCACTTTGCTTCCTGTTTATTTCAGTTATTGATTAAGACTCTGTCTTTTGTCAATTATTTATTATGTATACAGCTTTTGATGCATTTAGGATTTTTGTGCTTACAGGTTGTAGTCGGGCAGGAGTTTGTTGTTCCTCCTTATTCAAAAGTATCTCTATTACAGCAGCCAATTGAAGAAGATAGTGATGAGGAGCTTGAATATGCTGATAGTACTAGTGGTATTGCTGAATTTTCATAAATATTTCATCTGTGCCCGAGATATATATCCGTATATTTTATTCTCCAATTATTTAATTAAATAATTAGCTATGGATAATGTGATATTGCTAGCATATGAAATATTGGCTGGTTTAGGTCGTAAAGCAACACTATAGCCACAGATAATTTCTTTCCACAGAAATCAATTTTGTTGTATCTAAAGCTTCAAATGGGTATTTTGATCTTGATTAGCTGTTTTAGTTAAAAATATGACTTGATTTATTTAATTGCAATAATCTTTAAAAGAAAATTCCTGTGGTGCATTATAGTTCACAGAATCTTTAATATAATAGCTTTTTGGATTGGAATGTATTTCTTTGATTTCTGCTTGAATATTTCTTTCTTGCAAAACATTGGATCATTGTATCTAAGTGTTTTGATTGAATATTGTTGATTGAGAGGTAAGTCCTTATTGTTTTGCTTGGTTCTATAAGCTAGTGTATTTAGATAGTACAACAACAACAACCAAATTCTTCTCCCATTATGTGGGGTCAGCTACATGTATCAACCAGCGATATATGTTTTGTCAAAAAAGAAAATTACTTGAGATATAAATCCTTTTTAAAGGTTTCACTCAGAGTTTTTCTTGGTCTTCCTCTTTCTATCTCTAATTATTGGGGAGAAAAGTGTTGTAGAAAGACCCCAACTTTATTGTGATAACCAATTGAGGACCTCAACTTTATTTTCATTTTCAAATGAGGACCTAATTTTTTTTTAAAAATTGGATAATATTTATGTATTGAAAAAATAGGACATATATGCCATTTATTTTGTTCATATTATAAATTATTTTCAATTATCAAGTTGGATATTTTGTCTTTTCATCACTTTATCAATAAAAATATATTTTAATAAAGTTGAAGTCCTTAATTGGTAACGACCAAAGTTCAACCCCATAATTGGTTTACCATAAAAAGTTTAGGTCCTTAGAATTCTTTCAATTATTAGTCTATCCTCCATTTGATAAACTTTTTTAGCTGGGGCTTCTATATTTGCTCATATTATAAACAAATTTCTTTTGCACTGTGATATGATCGCAACTTTAAGGGTGCATGTGAGGAAAAATTGTAGGGGAATAATGATTATGCTGACTCAGCAAGTTAGTTCTAAAGAATATTCTGGATGCATAGGAATAGTATTGGGTATAGAGGGGGTCGCTGATGTTTTGGTAGTCAGTTATAAGGAGCAGGGTGATTGTGTGGGAGAGCATCTTGGCATGTGGAAGACCTTGGCTGGGCAACCAGATTGGGCTAGAGAAATCCTGATTTGGGAGAGTTCCCTGGAGTCTCTCGAACAAGCTCTAGGACTATCATTTTTTGGTCTTCCATTTCATCTCCAGTGTAATGGTGTTCTCTGTGTAATCCTTCTTTCTCTGTGGTTTAGTTATTCCCCTGCACTTACTTTTCAGCTTTTGGTGTAATTTCTCATAGCTGTTGCTGTAAATTCCAGAAAACCCATAAATAAATACGTTCTTTGTTGATTTGTGTTTCATTTCCCTTTGCTGCCCTGTTTTACTGGTTGGACTCTATCACTCTGTAATATGTATTGATAGGTTGAATGCATATGTTAAACCTTTCAATTACCATTTTTGCATATGCAGCCATCACCAGCAAAGTGGATAAGCTAGATGTAGAGATTGCTTCCCAAGTATTGGAGACACATTTTAGCCCTTCTTCGGAGGTTTGTTCCAGAAGCCTTTTCAATTTGTGATTTTCACCATTTGTTGAGTATGTCTCAACTTATTCATGGCAGGTCATGAACATTAAGCTTAGATGCAGTGATTTTTTTAATCAAATTACTAGATTATTTGACAACTATAATAATGAAAACAAGTCAAGGACCTGGTTGATAAATAATTTTAACGGATTTATTTTTACTTTTTCTCAAAACATTATTGCGTAATGTGTTTAATAATGTGCAACAGTTCTACCCTACATTGTGAAATCTTGTTAAAACATGTTGCTTCAATCATCAGTACTATATTGCCAACCATCACGACCATCACCACTTCAATGCAGTAAGCACTAGCTAATGCAATTGCCGCAACGTTGTTCATGCTGTTCCCTCAAAATAAAACTAGGGAAACAAAGAAAGGGGAAAAACAGAGAGAAAGAGAGGGAAAATATAGGTAGATATTTCTTGATATTGATTAAAAACCAGAGTTATGAAATACAGAACTGGTATTTATAGAAATACAACAATCTTGCAGAGCAAGCTGCACCTGGTCTAAACTAACTGAATGTTCAGTTGGTTGTTGCAAGACTGAATGCCTCGTAGGCATGACAGAATAGTTACAAGGGTGTAACCAAGCTACTCTAGGGGTTGAAGTACAGTAGTACTGCACCATCTAATACAGCTAAATATTAGCTAATGTAATTCATGAGTATGTACTCTTATTAAACAGCTATCTCGCCTAAAAGCTCAAGCTTGTAAGTGATGTCTACATTAATGGTTTTATATTAGACTTTTTTAACACACCACCTCACTCAAGAGCCCATTGGACTTGAAGGGTGGATAATGCATAGGCCCACCTACCCTTGTTAAGAAATTCCATAGTTAAATATTTATCAAAAGGATGAGGGGGCGAGAATCGAACACGTGACCACTTGGTCACAAGCTCTGATACCATGTAATGCAACCATCTCAACCCAACAACTTAAACTTGTAAGTGAGGTCTTCGTTAATGATTTTATATTAGATTTCTCTAACAAACTCTATTATCCCTAACAGGCATGCCATTTTCTCACTAGACTGTCCTAATTGCCTTCTCAGAGCAGATCTAGAAAATATTTCTTGGGGGCTGCAAATCGTAGATGATAATGTCTATTTTTTAATTAATGAAGAAATGGGATCTTCCCCTAGGAACCTCATCTCCTCCACGCTGATTTTGTTGGGGTATCCATACCCATACATTTATCGTTAGTTGTTTAGCTTTTCATTTTGGGCTTCAGTTGCAATTTGTACCAATAAAATTATATTCATTTAACCTAATTGATTCATATTATACATTTATAAAAGAATTTGCTTCTATGATTTCTTTTTCCTGCTAGGTAAATGTTAATAAGTAGTTACTTGGTTCAAGCTAGTCGAAGAATAAGTTTAATACATGATTTATTTTCATGCAAACTAGTAGTGAATGGCTTACCTTAAGGCTTTGCAGCTTTTGCGAGGGTAGGGGGTTGGGAATAAAATATTTGTAATTTTTTATGGGCCTTCCACTGTAAATAACATATATGTATGTAGGGAAAATTTTTAACATGGTTCTGCCCCTGTTGCCTCCTCTATCACCAACTAAGAAGCATGGACATGGCGACAAATAAAACTTAAGGTGTACATTAGAGCTTGAAGTATTCTGACATGGTTACAACTTACAACTCTTTTTTTTTTAGTGCCTGTTTGTTCTCCCCAACAAGGACCAGCCACTAATAATAGTTACTCTTGTTGCTTCGGTTATTGATGCATCCATTCACTTCCAAATTTTATCATTTCCATATTGTTTATATGATTTGATATTTAATGCGTGTTTTGATTAACTTATTTTAGAACCAAATTTTTTTTTTTAACAGCTTTCTAAGAGCGCTTTTAAAAAAATATTATCCCCCCCAGTGGGTTTGAATCTAAGAAACAGTCTCTTTGCAAATATGTAATGGTAAGACTGCGTACAAGTATTGTCGTCACCCCTACTCTCACTAGTTGCTAGTCGCGGTTTAATGGGTAGTGGTTTATAATTAAGATTTCCAAACTTGCAGTTAATCTAATTATTATTGCTAAGTACTTTTTTAGAGATGGAAGTTTCTAGTTCTAGCCACCAAGTTGTAGAATTTAATTTGCATTAACATTGGATGGGTGTTGTGATTTATTCAAATGCAAACAATTTTTGTTTTCCTGTCACCTATTGGGATGAGCTGTCAAGTCTTCAGATAATCAGCAGCTGCTTATTTTAAAACTGTGTTCTGTTTGGTTATTGTTATATTTGCTGGTGAGAAAGAGAGGGAGGGTGACTAATTTATGACTGTTGCAAGTTGCATCTAAATTAACAAGTCTACACGGGAGAGGAATGGCTTTAGCTACCATATGGATGGGTGTTTATTGTTAAAATTCAGCTCTTTGTGGATTTTGTTATGTGATCCCTGCCTTTCCCTTTCTTGATGAGTAGATAGATTGAGGCTATATATGAGAAATGTCTTTCTTCTGAGCATTGACAAACTTCTTTCCTGTGATGGAGATTTTTATATTTTGTTACACTAATATTTGGTTGATAAAAATTTCAATTTATAGGGAATTTATTGTTTCTTAATACACTTTCTTCTATTGATCAGCTAGGTGTGGGTGGGGTTGGTTATGTTTGGTCAAAATGTGAAGGGGGCCATGAAGAAGAGTGGAGGCATTCAGTGGCACCTATTCCTGCAGATAAAATTTTGGAGGCAATGAAAACCATGGAAGATGATCTGGAGTTAACTCATGATGGCAGTATTCTCCCACCTTCTGGAGAGCTGAAACCTAATTCTAACAATTCAGATGATGATGATAATGAAGACTCTAGAGACGACTCTTATTACTTTGAGAAGGAGGTGAGCATTTTGACCTGTAAACAACTTGTATCAGATGCATGTTGTGGATATCAAATTTTCAAGTAGTCCATCATTTGCAGGTTGAAGCAACTTTTCTCAGGGCTGTGCATGAAAGCATACAAGTAGACCATTTGATCTTAGAAGTCAACTCTTTGAAGTATGTATATACTTATTTGTATTCGTTAAAGTTGAATGTAGATTGTAGTCTGAAGGAGACCTGTTCCATTTCATCTGATTTTCAAGCATAAACATTATATATATTTTTGGATGTTAGACATACTTTAGAATGTGGTAAACCTATGTTTCGAAGTTGTTTGCATATCTTTGGCGGTTGCATCATATAATATGAAGACTTTTGAGTTTCCTTCAGTTTTCGTTTCCAACTTCCTTTTTGCTTTCTATTGGTTCTCTTACATATGCTATCTCATGTTTTGTAAGTACTTTCCGTTCTCTCGGCTTCCTGCTTTCCTCTTTTTCAGTCTCATGTTAATTTTTCATGTGCTTTCTTAAATTAAGCATTTACTCAGTTGTTTTTGTGATGTTATTCATTGAGAAATTGGAAACAGAGGAGGCAGACACTGGTTGTTGCAGTATAGAATTTCTCGAGTTTTGTGTAAAAGCTGAGGGAAAGAGGGCGAGCCTGGAGCAGTGGTAAAGCTGCTCCTTTGTGACCGAAAGGTCGTAGGGGAGGAATCAAATGCTAGGACTAATTGTTATACATTATCCCTGATAAGAGATCTGAAATGTGCTTTCTCTAGACCATCCAATTTCCAACTGCTCTTGTTTAAATATGTTAAAGAATTGGCACTCCATTTTGTCCAGAAGGCATGGTATCTTCATGGAATGTGTTTAGAACTATCTTCTTTCTGCAATTTTTTGCCAACGTTGTTCTCAATATATGATTTGATTGTTTTAAATGATGACACTTCTAAAATGCACTCACCGAGCGTTAATTTATAGAAACTTTGACTTTTTTTTTTTTTTTTTGGGTAAGCAACTTTGCCTTTATTTATGTGGTAGGTTGTCATACAATAAGCTAACTGCTGATTGTGCTGGAGCTGTATTTTATGCAATGATGAAGTATGCTTTAGACACCCCCCATAGTTCAGCTGGTGAGTTTTCCCCTTTCTCTGTTGTTACCTGATCCATTTAATCTTCTCCATTCTTTTCTTTATAAGGCATTCCTTTCTTATTAAATCAAAATAACTTCTAGAATTTAGTTTAGAGCTATGAACATACTTGGAAAACTTGGCGTCTTGGCCTTGTCAGAGGTACCAACTAACAAGTAACAAAATTTGAAAAATGATCAGGACAAAGGAATCAACTGGAGGCTCCAGTAAGAAAAGTGGGTCAAATGGAAGACAATGCAATTAAAAGGGTAGAGGAAGACCTAAGAAAATATTAGGAGAAGTCATTGAAAAAGAATATGCTGGATGGTTTTACTGAAGTTTTGGTTTTTGATAGAGCCCAATAGTTTTTGTTGAACCATGGAGCTGACTCCTAGTGGGGTAATAGTTGGGGGCTCTTGCTCATCTGATTTTACTTTTTATCACTTTGTAAAGGGGATTAACTAGTTATACGTAGTTTTTTTGTTTTTTTTGTTTTTTTTTTGGGGTACTCACAATGGTTGCTTACAGATTTTATTATTGTTTGGGATGAATTTTTTCAGATAGCTTGATTCAGAATGCCCAGGTTGTACTTAAAAAATGGAAAAAGGTTCTTACATCCTATCTGATTGACTTGGATGAGCAGGTGCATCTGTCAATTCTTTCCCCTTTACTTGTTGAAGTTATTCATTTTCACTTGTGTAGTGTTTTTTAACTATTAGAAGATTACTGATTATCTTGCATTATTTTTATTTTTGTATGAAGCCTTTTGGAGAATGTTCATTTTTTGCTTGTGATTTCATCATCATCCAAATCCATTTTGTAAGGCTTAAAGAGAAGACTATCTTTCACAAAATTAAACATGCAATGCTGCTTTTTTGCTGCATGTTGGCTGGAGTACTAGACTCGAGTATTGTTACCTTGTTCTCATACTAATTAAATGTCTACATTTGGGGTGCACGTTGTTTTTTTGTTAATGATTTAATCCTGTAACTTGTTTTGGAGCATAGGCTGTAAGTTCTCTGTGCTGAAGTGGGGATTTCTCTGGAAGTGTCAATAAAATTAACGTTTGGATTCTCTGTTGAGCATTCTTTGAGCTTGGCCTCTATTTCATCTGATAGTTACATTGCAGTGGTCTTTAAAAGCTATTACTTATCAGGGAAAGAAAAAGAGAAAGCAAAATGATCTTTGGTTGTGTGAAACATGATAGCACTTTAGTAGTTCAATGAACTTTGAGTTGTTACATAAGATCGTTAATTTTTGAAATATGGTTATGAATTCTCTAATATTTCTGTCAATAATATATTTGTACATATACATTTGGCCATTTACTCGATGCTTCGCTATTTGATTTCCATTACTTAATGGTCTGCCCTCTGCTCAAATTTTTTACTCCAGATTGAAGTAATACTAAAATTTGAAGAAATGTGTTTGGAATCTGCTAAGGAGTTTGCTCCATTGTTCACAAAGGTATGCTTATCTCTCTCTAGTTAGACTTATTGATGTGTCTTCATTCTGTTAGTATGCAGATCCGACTATAAACTTAGCTGTATATATTTCATAATTATTAAATGTATTTTTATATCTTTCATAAGCTAGACTTGTCAATGTTTTTTGCACATTAGGAAACCTATACCAGCTGACTCAACTTTAAATAGTGTTATATCCTTTGGTCAAATAGAAATTACTTTTAAGATCAATGGCATTTTATGCACTGTCGTTCTGTCTGAAGCCAGTAAGTAAACAATGTTATGAAATGGATTTTATCACAAAAGTAAGGTTCCTGCAAGTTCTCATGCTCTAAATCTTGGGTATCTAACTTTGTTGGCAGCAGCACAGTTCTTTTGTGACATTAAGATTTGGACAGTTCTTAATCGTAGGCTTTTCCCGTTGCTCATATACTTATTCCGTGTAACATAATTGGAGTGAATAGTTTCACAATCTCACGCTGCATTTGATTTTCTTTCCCTCCTTTTGTCATGACTTCTTAATTGCATTCAGATTTTGCACTACATGTATAATGAAGATATTGTAGAAGAAGATGCTATTTTGAGTTGGGAAGATGAGAAGAAAGACGCAGATGAGTCAGATAAAGTTTTTGTTATGCAGGCCCAAAAATTAATTCAAGTGAGTAATCCTTATGTATTTTTTTTACACTTGTAAAACTAAGTTGCAACTTGCGATTTCACAACTATCGTATGAGATGCATTACTTTTTCATGTAAGCCTTTTTTTATCATTTCTTGTTTGCAGTGGTTAAAAGAGGCACCCGAAGAAGACGAGGAGGAAGAATAGAAAGGATTTTGCGAGGCTAGATACTCCTATCTTTTTCCCGGTTCTTTTATCTGGGGAACTTAAAAGGGATTTTTCCTGGTTCTTTCATCTGGGGAACTTAAAAGGGATTTTTGTGCATTCATCTATGCAGGAATTTTAACAGGGGAGCTATTTTGACATGTTTCTTTGTATATCATGTTGTGGAGGAATAGAATCTAATGAAAATTGAAGGCTTCCGAAGAACGCAAAGTCTCAAGTTTGTTACAATGTATGTCCACTTATCTGTCAATTTTATCTACACAACAGGTCAAGTGTCATGAATGTCTCAAATTTTTACTTTGACACCTTAATCACTAATGGAGAGGCTGTTGAAATGCTTAAGCGAACTATAGTCATTATTATTAGGGTTAAATGTAAAAGAACTCCAATTTCGTTATTCAACATTAAATGAGTAATTTTCTGGTTACAAATTCTATTTATAACATTATTTGATGCTCAAATTAAATGATCCTATGTATAACCTGCTTTTTGCAGCGGCGTTGTGATTTGATGACGTGCCTAATGTGTACATATTGATACAAGTATATAACATATTGCGATTTCTTTTTGCATATAGCAAGCAGCTTTATTGTATTGGCGCTGTTAAATTTCCTGATTTTTTAGCTCTAAGATATTCTACATTTCGTCACACGTCAACTCATCAAGCAGTTATACGTTCCTCGTTCAACCTTTGTATTAAAAACATTGAAGACCTAAATTACATTTGGTGGAATGCTTTGCGAAACTGAACCCAAACATCAGAAGTAGCTGGAAGCGACCTTGTTATTCACAGTCCCTAGTAGTATCTTAAAACTCCCAAAAAGCAAATGGAGCAGAAACCACGGGTTGCCAGTAAACAACCCAACACACAGGCTGATGCTTTTTATTTCCTCCATCGTCGCCCGCTACTCGTGGAACTCATGTACACAAGGTTAAATCGATGATCAGAAACCAGGCCCAGGGGGAGGAGGCCCACCAAACAATGGGCCACAGCAGCTCTCCAGAAGACAGCAGCAGCAGAGACAATACAAACTACCATCAAATGAGGGTTTGAGTCAAAAAGGATTAGTATATGTGAAACAAGGGTTTTATTAATCTTATGTGACATGATATAAGTGGATTTTCTAACACACACAATAATGGAGAGAGAGAAAGTGAGATGATGAAAGAGAAAGAAAAACATGTGTACTTCATCTTTTTAATGTGTGTGTAGGAAAGTGAAGTTATGTTATGTAAAATAATAAACATAAAACCCGTGAAACAAATGTCTCCCAAAACAAAGATGCTGCAAGTTTCCAACTTTTTGTGATTCACAAAACACCCTTGAAAAAGAGTTGGGGAATCCTGATAGTGAGTTCTGGCTGATGATCACCCATGAGATCACCAAACTCAACTAAGCCCACCCCAACTCTTAAGCTAAGTGTTCCTTTCTTTTTCGCCAGGTTTCATTTAACAGTAAAAAATTACGTCCTATATTGTTAGTCATGTCAACCCCGAGAACCCCAACATGATATGTAGAGAAAATTCAATGGGGGCCGGGTTGAAAATTTAACCATATACCTCAGCGGTTCGTTTCATTTTTTCATTCATTCTTTCTTTCTTTACAAAGCTCGGAGGGTGATGAACAGAAGAAACACAAAAACGCATTGCTGGTAGTAGAGTGATACTATAATCAAAAGGATCACGTAGAACTCACCAGGAAGATAGAAGGTTACATATACAGCTGCATATACCGCCAGGAGGGCCTGGAGGTGGACCCCAAGGTGGAGGCATTTCTTTCAGTCCTCTATTTTTATTTTTCTTTCTTCACTTCACTGTGAATGTGATTTCTAGCCTCTTCCAATTCCAACATTTATAATAATTATAAACTTGGGTAACTAAGTACTCGGGAAGGTTCTAACACCGAGTAAAGTAGGACTAGTAAGTAAAAGATTTTCTGGCAGATGGCGTTTCTTATCTCAATATGAACTACCGTTCTTCTGCGCTCCAACCAAAAAGTCAACAACAAAGAAATTAAAAGTATCCGTTCCAATATTTATGAGTTCCTTTGGTTCTATTAAATGCTTTACTATTTATATCCTTGGCTTATTTAGTGTTTGTACACGTATTAAATGATTCTAGCTGGTGGGAAAATCTTGGACGGATAGAAGAAATCTTGTTCTTTCTTTCTCATCTCCTTGTTTAATTTATTTTTACATCATGCTTTTATTATAACCCAAACAAGGCTAACATTAGTAATGAGTCACAATGACAGCTATATTTGGCCTTTTTATTGCCAATAACCAAATTACTGGCTTCTAGCTATCGCAATCACATGAAAATGAGAGAAAACAAAGGGTGATTGATTCATGCAAAGCAGAAGCCAGTTAGAGGACCACTACTGATTTGGAGTTTAAATCCATTTGGGTAATTAAGAATAAGGTCTTGTGTCGCGTACATATTTGTCAAGAATCTGTTAGGTATCAACATTACAGAGAGAGGAAATGATATACAACAAATAACAACCACCAAGTTTATTATTCAGATATCTTTTTTTTTTTTTGTATACATCAGTCTTCTTTATATCACTGTTTACAATCAAAGACTATGTAACAAATTAGCCAACTTAGTAACCGTGACTCTAATTGCAACTCATATAACACGTGATATAACAAGTAACCCTAAGCTATATAGTCCCTTAGCCTACTTGAATGCTGCCTTTCTCTGTAGACACCCTTCTCTAAACAGAATCTATGGATGCAAACTGATAAAAACTTTCCAAGAATTACTTTTGATATTTGAGAGAGGTATTTAATTTCATATGTCAATACAGAGAAAAGATTATAGAATGAGAAGGCATCAGAACTGGTTTAAGATGACTTCCTATGTCAGGGAAGTCATACTTGTATATGAAGCTTTCATTTCATTGATGAAAGTTTTTCCAGACTTTGGCATAGGTGTTTGGATGAGAATTGAAAAATTATATTTTGTTTAACATGGTTGTTTATGCAAGGGTAATGTTGCGTACAAGAATTGCTTTCATCCCATACTCGCTAGCCGGGTTAAACAAGAAGTGAAGTGATTTTTAACATGACAGTTTAGTTAGTGTCTAAGAATCTTACGAGTCATTTACAAGAAAGAAACCTTACTTTAGTCGCTTCCAATTCGGGGGTTGTAATACACAGGTTAGGCCATATAACCCGCGATTGAATAAACTTGACCTCTAAGACATTTAATAGATTCTTTATAGGAAATAATCTAAACTATTGAGGTTACTTGTTCTATTTTGTCCTTCAGTTATTCCCCACACCGTTATGGGTTAAGCTTGGTGGTTGAACATTTGAACCCGTTCTACTTACTTTTCTATTTCACTTTTCATTCATATATTTGGCTAAAAATTGTGAACTATGCAAAATTATTATGTATATCTCTCCTATATTCGAGTTGTGTGAGTGCTACATATGATTATTGGCTGATATTCCCAATTGAAGCTTGTTTAGTCGTCTGATTAATTAGTAGAAACTTTCGCTAGAGAATATTGCAATGTAAAAATATTCTACCGACGCTAGAGAATAATATATTGGCTCAACACCCAGATCGAACTTGTAGAAACTTCTGCTACACCTGCTTTGGATCAAACTTCTAAACCATTCAAAATTATATTTGGTTCAAATGCTTAGGTTTTGGTTACAAATTTTGTACGTGAAGTTGTACTGTTGGAGACCAAAAGTTTTAAACCCAATAGATAGGATTTTCCTTTATTGTGGTTCGATAGAATTGCAAGGATCGTGGTATATTGCAATTTGATATGGAAAATCATTAGAATTTGATGGACTATTATATTTGTTTGAAATGTCAATTCAACAAGTAGGGGATCGTTATTTTTATTTAAATGCCAACAATATATCATCGGATAATTCAACTGTGTCAAGATTATGTTATTACATCAAACAAAAATGCTTTCATAACAGAGCTGTGATCAATTATTACATTACATAGCATAATAGAAGCAAAACAGTGGCAACTTGGGAAACTCATGGAGGCCCAGGTGGACCGGGAGGCCCAAGTGGTCCAGGAGGCCCAGGTGGACCAAATGGACCCCCAAAGCAATCTTGTAGCAGCCAGCAACAGCACAAAAAGTTCAGACTGTCCATTATCCGTGGAAGGAAAAAATATATTAGCTTTATGGCAAATAATTAATTAAATAGAAAAATGTAAATATATTTCCTCAAACACTTTTTTTTTCATTTTTGATTTGTATGAATATCCAATGTAGGGAAACACATCCAACACCTAATCCGCATTACTTAACAAATCACCAGTCTAAAAATAATCCTTGACCATTTCATACTATTATTTTCTAATTAATTTTGTGTGAAAAACATATGATTTCACTGATTATCATTTTTTAAAAATAAATAACTTACAAACGTTAGAACAAAAAATATTCTTTATCTACTTTTCTTTCACCTATTTCTTCTCTGTTTAACCAATCTCTCTCTAGTGTCTACTCTCTTCATCATTCTTATATTTTTCAATTTTCTATTTAAAAAAAGAAAAAATATTTTCTCATGTTGCATGAGAATTCAATTATCATGTTGTGACATTTCGATTTGCGTGCAATTTTTTTTTAATAAATGTGGGATCCAGTAGTTGAGTCACAACATGAAAATTTAAGAAAATCAAAACCCATAAAAAAAAAATGGTTTTAGTGCTTATAATAAGAATAAGAAGTATGCAATTATCCTTTGCGAATAATATGGATACTCTATACCCGATAACAAGATCCAAGTTTACTTACCAAGAACTAATGATATCGCAAAACCCACCGAAGAGTCCTGGGCCTGGTGGGCCTGGTGGACCCCAACCAGGGGGGCCTCCTGGACCTGGACCGCCGGGTCCCATTTTATAAGCCTATAGCTTTTTTGAACCGAACCTTTGGCAATGTCTTCAAGTCCTCGCAAAAGAGATGTATATGAAGCTGAAAATGAAAATGAAACTGAGGAAGGATTGCTCAGTTCCTTTGGAAATTTATAGTACACAACGGGAATATGCTTAGGCTAGAAGCATCTATATATCTAGCTGTTCACGTTCACCCTCCTCCCAACTAATCTTCCAGTTCAATTCAACCTAACATTCAAACCAGCTTCTGTCAGTAAACCAACCCTCTTTGCTTTTGTGCATCTCATTCTCATTGCATAGACTTTCCAGCCGAAGGTTGTTCCTTAATTGTTATAATTTTAGAAATTTCAAAAAGAAAATTCTTTGAATGAAATATGGTGATCTATTTCCCTTTAAGCTTGATTAAGTTCAAATCTCATCGAAAGATAAGTGTATTTGATGGTTAGTTGGTTACAATGAAACACATTCGTCACGAGTTAAAAAAATAAATAATAATGCTTCAAAACAACTGCTATTTATTTTTCCTTTGAACAAGAAAATATATCCATTTTGATTTTGAAAATCTCATTTTTTTTTTAAATCTTAATCACACTATAATTTTCGATCCTACAAATTGACAAGTTCAAATGCCAGACCAATTTCAGCAAGTTTTATAAACTAATTTTACTTGCAATCTGTTGTACTCAAATACACTTCAAATTTGATATTACCATTTATAGTTTGAGACTAAACATTCGCTCTCTAACTGTTACTAGTTCCTTTCCTTCTAACTTCAAATTGCTGAAAAGCTTTCAACAGGTTTTTCTATATTTAATTCTCTCTTAATATGCTGCTATTTGCAACATAAAATTTTAGTATTTATGCCTAAAAAATGGGGTTAAAAAAAGCAAAGAAGTTATAATCACAGCCGAACTTTCGAGTTCTCGCAAAAATTAAAAGAAACAGTCTAAATAAAGTACTTGAGATTAAAAAAAGAAAAAAAAGCCTGCAATAACTGCCAATTGTGGTTCTGTTATGCTGCAGAGAACTATACATATACTACAAATAAAGAAAGAACCTCTGCATACAATAAGTCCGATTCACATGTTGCTAAGAGGAAACAGAGGAACCAAGGAAGGACATAAAATATTGTACTCACACTCTTTCTCATTTTGTAAAGGTTGCAGGGGAAGAAATGGTCTCGCACCCCGAGTTAGCAAATAAAATCTTTTCAGTATGAGGTCACTCCTGTACACAAAACCTTCCCTGAGCACAGAATAATATCACATGAAGGCTGCCAACCCCACAACATCTCCTTCATTGGCTTTGGACTCTGGAGCATTGGCTGAGCTGCGTGGTCTCACTGACAGCAGAAACATCAGAGGTTAACAAATTTGAATTATTACCAGCAAAATAGATATATCCTAATAACATAGTTGAGAAGCATAACAGTATAGGGAAAACTACTACATTGATCGGAATCCTCAAGTCTTATTTATGTTATCACACAATTACTACCAAAAATTGAGCAGCTTTTACAGTCTACAACGCTTCATCAATTCAACTGCCCATATGCCAAACAGTACTTTCCAAAAGTTGGAGTAAAATAGGAAAAGTATAGAAGTTATTGCTTACTTGAAACATTTGTAATGATGTTTACACTTTTCTGAGCTGCAAGTGCTTTTAATTTGTTACCAGTTGCTAATAGAAGCAAGCTTTTCATGAGCTGCTTTTGTTCCCTTGGACTGGATGTTTTCGTTAAAGACTCCTCAAAAGCAAGTAAATCATGAGGGGTAATAAAGGGAAGAGACAGCAAAACCTAAAAAAGAGTAATAAAACATATTACTTAATAGCAAATCCTCTTCAATGCAATAAGAGAAAAAAAAACTAAGTCAACCCACCCCCACAACCTCTTTTTCTCTCCTTCCAAAAAAAAAAAAAAAAAGAAAAAAAGGGAAAGAAAGAAAGAAAACAACTAACCTGCCTGGGAGCTTGGTGTCGATCACAAAGATATACAAATATTTCACGGCAGATGGCAACTAGATCAGCACTGATCATTGCATTTGATTCAAGGGCTAAACCTTGAATAATGGAAGTAAAAAGATCTCTACAAACATATTCTACAAGTTCCGTATGATTTGTTACAATTGAAAGAACTACCAACACAGAGCAATAAGAAGAAATTTTTGTCACAGCATCACCATCTGTCCATGTAAAAGCTTCTAAGCACATACGTAGTGTTGGAAGGGCCAGGCCTTCATGCTTTAGAAGGAAACTGTCACATATAAGACTTATGAGAAAAAAAGAAGCTCACAAACTATGGTTACAAAATGCGAAAGAAGATCACATATAAGATGAAACATATTCCATAACAATTAGAAAGCATACCCGACCATAGAGCATGATGCAACTGTATCCAAGCTTTTCAGAGAAGACATGTCTATACGAAAAACATGCCCAGACTGTTCCAAAGAAGGGAGTCCAGTATTAAGAGGAGGAGAAGCAATGGCAGAGAGGAGTGAACACATCTCACGTGTAAGATCCCTCAGGAGCTTTTCCTCCATCACTTCCACTTTCAAGTCTGATCCACTAAGAACGCCTTGAACATCTGGAACCTTTGCTCTACCATCTTGTAGAAGACTTGACCATGAACAGCTGAGAGCTTGTTGAGCATGGACAAATAATGGGTGTAGAAGCTTTTCCAGCCAAATCTCCCACATATCCAAAGGACAATTTTTTACCAACGGAATCAAAGTGGAATGAACAAGCTGCCTCATATGCCTGAACTCCATTGACTGTATATTCTCTATTAGGGCAACAGCAACAGAGTGCACATCCAAGTATTTGAAAAATGAATCCCCAATGGTTGTTGACAAGCCCAATACATTATATCTATCCATATAAACCAAGGATTTAGTAATGAAATGGAAATGTACATAAAGAACAATAAAGATGTCGTGGATACCAAATTTTCTTCCTTTTAACAGGAAGTTTATTTGGTCCTTTTCAGAGGTTTGGTGCAAAAACAAGATTGTAGGCTTCACCAATCGTATTTGGGACAACAGATTTTAAATTATACATGAATAATAAAAATTGGATATGTATACTTACCCACTGTCTCTGATGCCTTTCAACCAATTTCGTTTATCTGATTCAATTGGTTCGGCATATCCTTCCTTACTCATGTCAACATTAGATCCATCCGGGAAAGTCAATGAACCCTTCGGCAATTTTAGGTTCCCTTCCCCAAGAAGACTGAGCTTCTCAACATCACTCATGGTCATTGCAGCTTTGATCTCTCCAGGTAAAGCTTGACTTATAGATGGAGACCAAAGGGAATGTATACAGCGAAGTAGCTGGAAATTAAGAACATGCCACACTTTTTAATAGAAAGTACTTAAAGACAAAGATCAAAAGTATAGTGACTATTTTGTTGTAAAATACTAGAGGAAACGCAACATGGCCAGCCTCTTAAGGGCAGTATACATACTTTCAAGAGAGGAGTCAGCATCCATGATACATGAGGGGCCATTGGATTTAAAGGTGTTGAATTTGGTGTCAAGCTGTTTTCTGAATTCCAATTAGCTTTCTTCAACCCACTCCTCTTAAGTGCCCTCTCGAAGAATGTCACGGTGTGAAAAATTGACCACATAACTGACGTTTCTGAGCATAACAGAACCAAACCGTGGGGATCAGACAAATATTTATCCTGCCACTCCAATTGAGTCCATTCTTGGCTCAAAGGTTCTAGTAACCACGCCAAAACTTCTTGCTGCTGTTGAATCCTGTGTCAAATTAAGCAATAACAAGTAAGAAAAGGTTAAATAATATTAACAGGGTATTTAACCAAAATGTAAAATAAAATTAACAGAATCATCTGTTTTGTTTGATCATTACCCAGCAGAAGAAGCCATAACAAGAAAAGCTTCGCCTAGAATATTATGCTCTCCCCTATGCAAACGACCCTCCCTTTGCAAACATGCCATGGTATCAGCAATGCCCTATATAAAATTGTAAAAGTAAATGAAAACTATCTCCTCCCAAACAATACTCTGGGCTTTGGGATTGGGGCACTTTCAACTTGAGCATATATGAAGTGTCCAAAGATGAACCCCAGACTGGAGAAAACAAAGCTAAACCAATTCTAGAAGTATAATGATTCAAGGAATGAAGAATGAATAGAGTTCTTGACATAATGGTTCCTCTCCAGGTAGAGAGATCAAAATTAATGAGCCATTGATGTTTCCTGACAATCATTGCAACAGTGGGCTGATACTAACATCTAAATATCAATAGCAGTATAGCGCATAGTAGATAATAGCCTTCGAGATACATTTAGTAAGAATTGAGCAGTATCTGTGTTGTATATAAAAATAATGGACAGGAGAACCTTTTTCAGATATAACCTTAATTTCTCTTATATACTCTGTGCATGTAAGTGCTCATACAAATAATTTGAAGCCAAACTTTTATACAGATTATTTCAAATAAGCACAATAAAGAATGTTAATATGCAAAAATATATTATGATTAATGAACTCTTGGCTTTCTTGTCGAACTAAAAGTCAACTTCTGGCCACAATAAATCTAAATTTTTAAAATTAGGTCAAATTAATATCTATTAGAGATGTGCTCGTGTGAAGCAATCTCTGATAGAGAAACTGATAACTAGCCTGTTACTTTTAGCTTGTAAGACAAGTTTATTATAAAATTACAGCTGTTATAATCAGTTCGAAGTCAGTTACTACAAATAAAAGATTAGGCTCCTATAAGTGTAAGAACTCATGTCTGAGTTCATCAGAATGGAAATAATACATTCAAACTTCAGAGAATTCTCTCTGTCATTTTCCCTCGCTCATGATCTGATTCTTTCATGGTATCTAGAGCATGAGATCCAGACCATGGCTTCATCAGTAAACCTATTCCAGAATGACAGTGAATCACATGCTCATTGTACACCGAATCTGGCAGCAGCTCTGTTGTTATGAACACATAAATGGCTTCTGAATTTTGAGAGAGAGAGATGAGGAAAATAGAGAAAGGAAAGGAGAAGGAATACTTTGGTAGTGTTCATTGAATACACGGTCTCCTTTTAACACCACTTCCAGTAACATAGTTTGTATCATAAACTAGACCCTCTTCACCCATGTCTTTATCAATGAGTTTTGCTGCCCGTTAACTTCACCCAAGCTGGAATTGCCACTTTGCGAATTGGGCCATGGCCCAATGTCCCTTCTATTTGTCTTAGTGAGTTGGTTCCAGATGAGAATTATTTTCTTTTTAATACATAATCCAACTTTTCTTGTCCCAAAGACTTCTATATGTTCCTTTTGGGCTTGGCCCATTATGTCAAGACAGCATCCCAATTTTTGTAATTCTCATGTGCCCTTTCCTCTTTCTCCTTCCCACTCATGATGCTCCTGGTGGCAGCAGCCATCTGTAATTGCCCCTTGTCTCCCATTCTCCCATCAACTGTCACACAAGGAGCTGGGTCTCGCAGTTCTAGGGAAGGCAACCTAGTGCGTGAGTTCACTGCTAAAGATCCATCTGCCTACACGGACGAATCTGCATCTGGCTGGCAGTGGCAGGAGGCTGACCAGACTTTTCGAAACCCTTAGTTTTATAGCCATTGTTACTTTGACACATCAAAATAACTAGAGATATCAAAGATACCATAGCTAATGCAGCACGACCCGTTTTATAGCTTATTTGTTATAGTTGAAATAAGGGAAAATACTAAATATTATTTTATCAATTGTCATGTACAACCAGCTACAATATATAAAGCCAAATGGGAAAAAAGCCCTAATAATTACTTTCATAATTTAAGGCTTAGGCTAAAAATAGGGAAATAATCAGGAGAAATCAAACATAGAATAAGGGAAACTAATCTAGCCAATACAAAGGGAAATAAATCAGAAATAATTACAACATATACGCACCAATATTTACAACACTTATAATCACTTTAAGCTGGCTTATATAAGATTAATTCATAAATAGATCAAGGTTAGTTGAATTGCATAACTAGCTTTCTCCTTCTCTATAAATTTTATATATAAGGTCATTCCTCTCCATATATAACTGTCTGGTTCAGGTAGACAAGAGTCAGTTCCCATTTATTTGGCATGACCAGTTAACTACAATTTTTCAACAATTGGCGTTTAAAGCATGTACCTTCATATGAGGCAAAATGCTTTTGTCGGCAGCTTTCGCTATACGAATAAATGATGTACAAATCTGCAACCTTGCATGTCGCACAGGCATATCCTACCAAGAGAATATATAGATTTTAACCTGCCAGAGAATTTCTCAATAATTGAAAGTAAAGCCAAAAAGGGGTTGTTGAAGGAACCTTGGTTACAAAGGGAAGGGATGTTAGAAGTTCAAATAGTTTATTGATAACGCTGCCAACTGCATCTGGGAAATATTTCAAAAAGGGGCCCATTGCATCCAAATAGTGACCAAGTACTACTACAAGTGAAGGCTCTGTCCATTTCAAGGAAATGAATTGTTGAAGTAAACCTTCAAGACACAGTAACAAGAATCATTAAGGAGGTCCAACTAAAACAAACCTAAAATCAACAAAAATATGGAAAGTTAACTAAAATAACCTTCAAATGTTCTACATAATGCAAACTGAACTTCACCATTCGCCTTGGCAAAATCATTTGATCCATCAAAAACTGTATTCACAACATTCTCTAAAGCTAACTGCATGCTTTCCATCACAGCTAAGTCCTACAGTGAGAAAAGCAGAACCCATTACGGACAATTACACATAAGCATGAAATGATGATGAGGAGGAGCAGACAACTTTAGAGATTAAATTATCAACAATGTAACAGTAGATTGAAAATTTGAATAGAAGGTATTTAAACCTGAGTTGGCGCTGGTGAAATCAAGAGCCTCTTGATAACTGTATCAATTTTTTCAGAAACTTTAGCAGCAGCTATTAGCGGTTTGTAAGAAGAAACAAACTTAATCAGCTCCAACTGTTTTAAGAAACCATTCATCAGTCAAAAATATTTCCAAAAGGTTAATTTGAATTAAAACTAAAAGGAAAATGAAGAAAAGAAGTAGGATGTAAACAAGAGAAAAATAAATGATTAAGATAACAAGGCAGAATATTTGAGTATACTGATACTAGACCTACGAGTGCCTTATTATGCAAAACTTTTAAACTATTATATGCTCCCTCTCTCTGTGTATTTCTCACATCCTTTCTCTAACATGCAGGAATGGTCTGGGATTAAAAAGTCAAAATATTCATTTTCGCAATTTTATTTCTCTGTATCTTTTCAATTCTAAATGTCCAACATTTAAGGAATATTTCAAAACCATAAGTGTTCTAATACCTTATGCAGTAGAAGACTCCTCAATCAATGCAAAATAAAAGTTTCCTTTAGATTTATAAAAATCAACAGAACATTGCAAGCAATGAGCACAACTTCCAAGTACTATTGTAGAACTTCAAATATGAACAAATTCCGTAACAATAGGAACCTCCTTATAATACATTCTATGACAGAAATATTTCCTATGAACAGATGGGAAAAGAATCATATACATGATAGACAATATTATCTGACTTCATATATGCACGTGAGACATACCAGCCTAGAACGATACTGGCTGAATTCACCCTTGCCCTCAAAATCGTCACTCCATAACTCTAATACCCCTAAAGAAAGTGCAGTTTCATGCAGAATCTTTTCTCTCTTGAGCATGCGAGGGAAAGTTGTATCCAAAATTGCACCACAAAAATCATCATTCACAAAGCTTAGAGCCTTTTTCTTAGCATTTTCAACCTCTCCGGAACCTGAGCTACCAACAGCTGAACTGTCAGCAGCTGAATGTGTGGAAACTTTTGGCTTTGACATTAAATCCCTCATTAACGCCTGCAAGTAAACATTTGAGGCAAGAAATGGGAGATATGACCATTTGATACACAGTATTGACTAGGAAAACCACCAGATAGTACTTTTGTACAACATTCCAACATACCAGCCAGAAGTGCAGGGATTGAAAATGAATTGCAAACTTGAAATGTTGGAAAAATCCCAGCATCTGGAGAAAAATAAAAGAGAAAATGAATGGGGTAAAGTAAAATTCAAGACAAACACATGTTCATGTAAAATAGTAGTAAATTAAAACAAGAAATTATGACAAAATTGGCAAAGAGAAACCAAAACCACAACTAATATATGTTATCTTAAGAGAAGTCTTTCGTTCACCAAGCTGCTTAAATGTTACAGTGTTACTATATAACTAATTACCAGTTCTAGGTAAAGAGGAAGTATGGTGCTATCTCCAGCAATACTTGGCAAGTTAGAAGAACCCAGTGACATCATACTTTCACATATATATTCAGCAAATTCATATTCACCCTCATCTATAGACCCGGGACCAGAACCAGATCTGTACAAAAATTCTCTAGACATTTTCATCAATATTTGAAAGATGCTGCTCATAGCTTGGTCAAATTCAGAAGAAGTTGCATCAATGGGTCTCTTCCTACAATCACAATTCAGAGTAACCCATTGTATTATTGATCAATGAAAATGAAAAGATAATATTATTAGAATGTATCAATCATTACAGAAGTATAATGCATACCTTGGGGAGACAAGTTTGAAAAACTCACAAGCATGAAGACGGAAATCTGGAGCAGAAAGTAGGAAACCGCAACTGTTCGGAGTTGAATGAAAGACATGGCAGGAAGAAAGAGAAAACCAGCGCACAATTATATACCAAGGCTATTGCATTGTGCTAGATAATAAAGGAGAAAAATACACACCCATTAATGATGCCAGAATTAGCGAGATCGGACAATGGAGCCCACTCAGCATATGCATTTACTGCATTTAAAGTGGCTGTTACAGTTGCAGCATGCAGTTTGGCAATGTCCATCTCTTTTCTACCAGCTTCATTTAATGCAGCTGAAAAGTGCCTTTCTAGTAACTGCATCAAGCATCACAAAATTAACAATAATTCTTAGCAAAGAGCTTGTAACAAGGTTTAGTGCTGAGATGTACAGTGTATAATAGTGGCAAAATTTCAGGCAATGATTGAGTTAGCCCACGCAAAAGTAGCCTTCTGCGATCACCTGAATACATCAATATTGTAAGTAAGAAGGGTATACGACATTTCATAAACAGAGAAGTCACTCAAGACCATATATATGTGCATTATTGACAAGTGTTAAAGTCATATTCTGCTGGTGTATGTTGTAGTGTTGAGTGGGGCTTTTAAGTTTCGTACTTCCCTTGAATAAAACCTAGTTTATATGTATATTACGCACACAGGGGTCCTAACAAATCACTAAGTTAATGCATCGCATTACATACGTCAATTATCTTCCTCTTTCCATATATTCCCTGTCCTTCCCTCTCTCTCTCTCTCTCTCTCTCTCCAAACACACACTTTTTTTGTGGTAGCAAGCGAGATAATATTGAGACAGACTGAAAACATTTCAGAAAGACATGCAATAAACAAGCCATACTAACATGTCCCCTTGCATTGCTTATTAATGAAAAAATTTATTAATATTGGGTGTCCAAAATTTTCACTAGAAAAATTCATATTTCTCCATTGACTAAGTGAAATAGATTTACAAAATTGGAATAAGTACGAATTTTTCACTCAATTTGCATGCATGAGCCAAGCTCATACACCATTGTGAGAAAGCTCAAGACATTATAAACCTTCTAGGTCTTCATTGTGAACGGTAATGTCCTCAGGAAGCCACCGCAGCATCATTGAAACCAACTCAGCCTGATATGTAATTGTGAATCATAAACAAATAAAATTAGTAAGTCTTTTAAAATGGAATCAACTCAAGCACCAAAATTAATGCAAGTACGGAAACATGAAATTTACATGTATTGGACCCTTGCTGGATAGAGAAACCACAGATGGAAGCATTTCTTGCCATAGATTAACACCCTCTCTTCTAACTATCTGTGAAAGAACCACCAAACCAAATATAGTTTATGCAAAGCAAAACCGCAATTGTGACAGAGAAAGAAGCAATGTAAATTAAAATGAAAAGCATCCTGTTGAACACCTCAGCAACAAGGGCAGCTGTCTGGCTTTTAAGAGCCCACTCTTCACAAGGATCTGCAATCTCAGACATCAAATCAACAGAGAGATTTGCAAAGTTCTTGCGCTCTATAGGGCTTAGTTCCTCCCACCTTAAACGCACCAAATGCTGTATACAGGTATGGTTTTATATAAGGCACAAGGATAAATAACTAAATAGACTTATCAGTAAAAGCAAGATAAATTCCCTCGAAAAGTAAGTAGTGACAGCAATATGAACATGAACCTGCAGCATTTTAAAAGCATGTAACCGGATTTCAGATGACCAATTCCTTTTTACCAAAAGGAATGCTGTATTTGCTAACGTCTGTATATCACCTGTCTTGATCTGAAGAAATTTTAAATAGATTAGTCTTGGGTGGACGTCAAATAATAAAGCATGACTATCAATCACCAAAAAGTAGCAATATTGATTGAATAGTTAGTAGTTCAAATGATGTGACAGAAATTACTATAAGAATATGATAACGGAAAAGATATTAAACTATACAAGCTGCTTCCAAAAACAAAAAAATAAATATAATAAACCACTCCCATGAAACCGGACCTGCAAGGATAGAGGTGAGAGAAATCTCTAGCAATTTTGCAAAGAAGCTATTTACTGGAATTGGAATTGAACGCGCGACCTTTCGGTCACAGAGGAGCAACCTTACCACCGCTCCACGTTTGCCTTCTTTTTCAAAAACCAAAAAATAAAAAAAATAAACAAATAACTGCCAAGTAAACTCAATTATGTTATTTTCCCTGATGAAAAAGACTTATGCGCAGAACCTTCTCGGTCTATCCTTTATTATATCTTAAATTGCAAAAAAAAAAAAAAAAAAATCAGTTTTAAAAAAAATTCAAATGAAGCAGTCAATTCTTACAGCACAATTGAGGACACTATGAAAATAACCTAAAATTACATAAAAGTCTATGCGGGAAATTTTTAGAAGCTGGAAAAGATGTATGCTAAGCAGGCTTAAAGAGGAATTTCTGCTACTCAGTCCGGACACTGCATAATCTATGACTGTCTGTCACTAACATAAGTATATCTAAAGAGTGCATGGAAGCATATTTTGCCGTTGCTGTTGTTGTTGTTGTGCTCTTGGAGAGACAGAAAACAAAAAATTCATCGGTTGATTGACAGAGAGACTACCTCTAGTGTGAGTGTGATGGATTGCCAGCGGCAAAGTGAATATACATACAGCGATAAGTTGCGTGGTTTATGCTCATTAGGGTTTCTTGTGTATAAAGATTTCAGTTATTCCTAAAAACATTAAAAAAATGCAAGCACAGAATATGAAATTTCACAAAAAAAAAAGTGCAGAAATAGCCTCTGATCTGATGGATGAACGGATTGATAAAACATGAGTAATGAGTTTCCCTACGCAAAGCAACAAAAAAAAGGAAAAAAAGATAAGAGATTACTGAATCGAGATAAGCGAGTGCGGCTTTTCGTGCTCCGGGAGGAGTTGCCCAGTGAATTGCGGTGGCGATAGCTTGAGCCACATTGTTGGCATCGACGTTGCCACTAACACCATCATCCATTTTTAACTGCTTCTTCTTCTGCTTCTTCTTCTATTGTTAATGTTAAGAAACAAAGAGAAAGAGGAAAAGAAAGAGAGAGAGAGAGAGAGAGGAATTCTCTTTTTGTCAATATAAAGTCTCAGTTGGGTTGCGTTCAGTCCACAGTCACACTGCTCACACCTCAGTTTTTATCTTGGGTGACCCTTCTCTTGTTGTGTGCCTTTTTTCTTTCAACTTTTTTTTTTTTCAGTATAGAATTTTTTTTTTTCCTTTCCGGTGCTTTTGTCTTGAAGAGAATTTTTTATATGTCATTTAAAATTAAGTAATCTTTTTTATGATCAAATTGTCATGTATGATGATACAAAGCATACAATTCGTAAAGAAAAATCAGAAAATAAATGCGTGGTCTGTTTATTAAAATCAAAGCACCCGAATACCTCTGTATTTATTCTGATAATACAAGCGTGATCTCAATATTTAATTATAATAAGAGTGTTTAATTCTTTCTATAAAAGTACACTATTTTATAATTATAAATAGTATAAATATTATTTCCAAAAAAAAATAGTATAAATATCTTAGTATTATCCTTTCATCTCTCCCGTAAAGTATTAGGGATTTGATTTTTTTTTTTTTTTTGGAAATAGGGATTTGATTTTCTTATATTACAAAATAATTGAATTTTAATGTTGTGACTCAACTAGTGGTGAATTCCACATTTATTAAAAAAAATTGCACATAAATCAAATGATCACAATATCATACAAGAAAATATTTTTCCAAAGTATTATTATATAATTAGATAGTCTGAGACATTTTACATTATATTCGGATTATGGTTTCCACCGTATAGTTTTGGTACCAATTTTAAGATTATAAAAATTGGAAAAAGTGTGCGTCTTTTAAAAGGGACATATTTAAGTTTTTTTAAGAGAAAAATAAATATAAAGAGATGAGACTTACATATTTATTTTTATATTATTATTTTTTTAGTGGTACTCATACTTATTTATGTCTATCTCTCTCTTAAAAAAATTTAAATTTATGTCCTTTAAAATGATACATATTTTTCTCATAAATATTATGTATGAATGGCATATTAAAACTATATATCCCCTATTTTTGTAATCTTAAATAATAAATATATGACATTAAGAGTTGTGGAGGGGTTTTTTTACTGTATTGTTGTATTTTTTAAAAAAATATTATTTAATTCATTTTCTAAAATATATTTTAAATTAGTACGATTAATTTCACACGTTAATCATATGCGATTTAATGTGTCCTATACATTATCTGTATAAAACTTTTTAATTCTCTTGCATTGTGAAAATCTCAGTCTCGCACGGTAAATTACGAGACTCTGGTACATTTATTGGACAGATGTTGACATTAAACTGATGAACATATAAAATTGATCATATTAATCTAAACTATTTTTGAAAAATAACTTAAATAAACAATTAAATAACTTAGTATGTAAAAAAAAATAGAGTTTTAAGGTCTGTTTGACTATGTTTTGATTTTTTTGATTCTTAATAAAACTATTTTGAAGAATAATTAATGAAATTGATGTTTTTAATATTTTTTTGAGCTTTATTTTTTCTAAAGTTATTTTAGAAAAATTTGTCTAATATTTACCGAAATGATGTCGTTTTGGGACAAAAAATTATGGTGTATTTGTAATTTTAATTTATTTCAGGATTATAATAGTCTTTGTTATTCTAATTTTTTAATATTCCAACCTCGAAACTACATCATTTTAGTGAATATTAGACAAATTTTTCTAAAATAATTTTAGAAACTTTATTTCCCATTTTTTGTTTTAAAAGTTAAAATCAAAACACAAAACAAAAATAACTCAGATATATTCTCTACATTTGATTCTAAAACAAAAAAATAGTTATAATTTTTATAACTATTTTTACAAAATAGATTGTATCAAACAAATTTTTTTGATTTTCAAAATTAAAAATTATTTTTCAAAACATAATTATGTAATTATTTTTATTTAATAAAATAAACTGCTATAATGGAATAATTTACTTATTTCATTTTATAAAGAATATACATATTTATCTTCTTTAAAATAATATATCATGTCTTAAAAAAGGCTATTTAGAAAATAAATCATCGGCATGTACCAAAAAATAAAATAAAATAAACCATGATTCTATTTTTACAAAGCCTGGCTTACAAGATTAGGAGTCGGTCGTATTATTTATTTTAATTAAAATAAAAAAGAATTATTTAGATAATTTTAATTAATAAATTAATATTATTTATTTTATTTTAAATTCTTGATAGATATTAAAAATGGAATAGACTTAAATAGACTAAAAGATTTACTCAAGGTCTTTTGATTTCTAAATATAAGTTAAACTAGACTTATAATTTAGCTTACATCAAATTAATAAATTAGGTTACTCAAAGTATTTTACATAAACCTAATAAATATGTGGATACCAATGAAAGCTACTGAGCCTTTAGGATATAATTTTTACTAAATATATTTATTTTAAATAAATTAAAATAAAGTTTCATTGTTATATTTAATAATATTGGCTGGCACGGAATATTATATTTTCACACAATATGTACTTTTCTTAAATAAAAAAATCGACTCTTTTAAAGTTATTCCTTTATTTAAAAAAAACCAAATTATTGGATATTTTAAACAAAAGGGACAATAATAATTAATAATAGGTATTAATAAATGAACAATTTGGTTGAAAATATTATAAATTTATTATGAATACACTAAACGGATAAGATATTGCGCGTACCTTTTTTTATGTCTACTCTACCCACTCATTTTCAATATCCACACATTTCTAACACTTAGATCAAAATCTTAAGAATAGAGATAGTAAATATTAGTTGAGATTCTGATTTAACAATATTAAAAATACGTAGGTAGAGTATGTAAGAAAAAAATGTAGATACAATATCATATCCTTATATAAAAATATGTCCCAAAAAAGCGAGTAACATAAAATTAAGAAGTATGTTTCTTATGCTATATGAGACAATTTTGTCTCATGAACACACACAAAAATGTGAAATCCACTAAGGACATGAGAGAGAAATAAAAAAAATAGGACCCATCCATTTTGTGTCATCCATTTAATTTGTGTGTATATGAAATAAAATTGTCTTGTGTAAAGTAAGAGTAAAAGACATATTTCCCTAAAATTAACAATACACAAACAAAAACGACTAGTGGTATGTAAGTCTCTTCCAGAGTGAGCTTGCCCTGCCGTTCCACTTAGGTAAACACCATATCCCTCTAATTTTGGAATAGGATATTATACATAATCTTTTTAACGCCTACTTTATTTACTCCTCTTCAATATCGTTTGACAAAAAACTCAAAAAGAGAAAGAAATAATGAATATTAATTAAGATTATGATAGAAATAAGTAGGCATAAAAAAAAGAAAAGAAAGGAAATCGTAATATCATATACCACTAATTTTATAGTGATTGTTCAGCCAATAAACCAAAAGTTAATTTTTTGTCATCACTCTGTTCGTTGCAGTGCAAGTCGGATTTCAAAGTGATAGAATAATCACTGATGATACGTATAGAAGCACAACAAGAACAACAATGAGAACATACTCCTTTTGTCGTTGTGGTTAACCCCGTCGTGTAGTCCTGATTCAGATTCGAAGAACTATAACTTGATGGATTTAATAGGATTACAAGATACGTTGGTGGCTTCGTCCCTCACAGGCTTTTCATCCTTAACTATCTCACTCTCTAGAAATGAGGACAAGAAAATAACTCAAGAATTTATTACAATTCTTAACAAATAAAACATAATTCAGATATTAACACAGGGGACTCCTTAAAAAGAAAAAAATCGCGATGTACATCATAGTAATTCTCTCACCATAACAATCAGATTGAACAGAAAAAAATTCCTTATCTTAATAAAAGCCAAGAAAAAAAGATTGAGAAAGAAATTGAAGGGGTAAAGATTGAGGGAAGGGGGGGATTTTTATCCCTTGCTGAGAAGCAATTATACTTCACTCAGGAAGCGGACAAACAGCATGACGTATTTAATTTACTATATAAGAATGTACTACATATCTAAGCTATGATTTTCTTTCCTTTAACCTTATCCTTGAAGGCACCTTTATGTGGTCTTGATAAATTCAATGCATCACCAGCGGTGTGTTTCTTCCGCTTTGGAACTCCAATGTCGGCAGCATTACCAATGGGACCTGACCAAGCTTGGAATGGTTCCTTTGTATATGTATATAAGGTTGAAGAGAAAGAGACATCAGTAGGAACAGTATCTGGATCAATATGATGTGAAGATCCCAAAGGAAAGCCAAGTTGTCCATCTTGATGTGGTGGAGGGAACTTTTCACTCTTGCTCTTAGCATTTGCATGAGTGATTAGACGTCTTCTCTGTTACACATGAAATTTTAGCAACAAACTTAATCAACTTTACTTTTAACTCAATTCATGATCAGGCAGATTTTTCTAATGTAAAGAAAGATAGTTTATTAGAAGGAAAGTAGCAATACAAAGAAATGGAAGAATAAAATAAAATCCTTAAACAAAGCACAAAAAACTAAAGAAGCAGAAAAATGGAGCCATTACTAAAGAGATCTCTGACCCACTCCATGTGTATCCTAAAAGAAACCATTTGTTGAACACCAAGAAGAAGCCATTATCAGAAACCATTAACCTAATTAAAAGATACTGCCCCTAACATGCAGATAGTTAAGTAGTAAGCACTCCAGGATAGAAAAGAGATAAGTGTAGGAAAATGATAACTAAAAGCTTTGCCATAAATTCAATTACTAAAAGTTTACTAGAAATAAGATAACTAAAAGCTTTTCCGTAAATTCAATTACTGGAAACAAATTCAAATGCTTTAAGGAACGCATTAATCATCTACAACATACTTGAATATAAGGGCAGAGTTTGCTTCTACTTCTTAAAATAAATCGAGCACCAAATCTTAATAATCTACTTGTTGGAATTAATACTATTGCCAGATACACCTGTGGTAGCCTGAGACAGATCAAGAAAGTTCACTTGCCAAACCCTAAATGTCCTTCCAACTCGGTCTCAATCATTTCATTTTATTAAAGCATTCTTGGAAGATATAAAAATCTAAAAGCACATCTATTCAGTGATCTCATAAACCAAAGCATCACTCAAATACTTGTGATTATTAATATAAAGTAATTTTTTGAACATACATCAATATTGGTTTGAAGTTCGGCATTGGCTTCAGGAGCAGGAAAAGCTTTCACAGCACGATCACGAATACGATGCTTCTTTGGACCATCAACCTGAGTTTTGCCTGGTGCTCTTAGTCTGAACATTCATGTAGACAAGACTATCTTAGATATGGTCAAATATAATAGGATGGATAAATTATAACTAGCAGATATTAACCAAAACGAACAAAAAAAACTTTTCATTCTAATGATCTCTATAAATTGTGTGTGTGTGTAGACGTAAGAGTTTATGTTGTGTCTTGTGTGTTTTAGAAGAGCATATTTGTTAAATGATAAAACGTTATAACTGCCATTAAATAATCTAAATAATATTAAATAGAACTGTTTAGGTAATATCAGGGTTAACACCCTGCATTTAGTCCTCACAATCCTTATATTCCTCCCACTTTCTCTCTACCAATCATTTTTATTTTTTATTTTTTAAAATATGCAAATACTTCTAGTTTGCAGAAAGGAAACTTAAAAGCAGACATACCTTCTCACTTCATCATCGCGTCGTTTAGCATCCATTTCCTTGCTTGGGGGATATTTTGGAAGACTAGAAGGATTACAAGCATAAGGTTCTGTGGTAAAGAACTGCAAAATGTAGGAGCAAACAAGCAAAGTGAATGTATATGGGTTTGACTTAAAAAAGAGCATCCAAACTCGACTAGGGTAACCATCCAAGTTAATTTTTTATACTCATACACATACACGTAAATTAAATTGACTTGGGACTGTCAACATATATTATCATGTTCATGACCATTTAAAACAAGTAATCCATTCCATGTAGGATTTATTTAATTTTAAATCCAAAGGAAACACGACAAAGCAAACAGTTGAACCAATTCCAAGATGGGATTCATATAGTTAAGATAAACACAGCTTAAGAGAGGAACATCACCTCCAAGACTACATTCAAGATTTGATGGGATATTCTCCTATAGCAGCAGGTTATAACATTTAAGCACATTGTTATTATAAGATATCCAAGCCAAGAAGCTGAAGAACCAAGATCTTAGAAGATTTGTTGTCAAAATCAGAAGATCTACTGGTTATGATTGTTGTTAAGGATCATATAGCCTGACAGAACAATTTACACACCATGAAAATTATAAGGCTTATCACAAAACAAAGCTTCAAGTATGCATTTTAACCTTTTAGGAAATTGTATCCACCACCAATAGATCAGTCCAAGTGGTATGAAATAATAAATATCAATAACACGGCAGTGCAAATCTGAAAGCAGCACATCAGCATTTTAATGACGACAAAGTCAGGAATTTCCAAAAGCCCACCTCACTTCTTAAAGCATCTGAGGCAGTCTTCCGTTCTACAGGATCAAGTGCAAGAAGATTATCAATAAGGGGTAGCGCAGAAAGTGGGAAATCTTTAAATGCCTCTCTTATGCATCTCTTGTATGGCTCTCGAGGTTTGAACAAGGTAGCATTAGGCAACTTTGACTTCTTCCAATACTCATCAGAAGGTGAACCGCATAGTTTGTATATCTTATGCAGTTGCTCCACCTATGTAAGTAAAGAGTTAGAAAAAAATCTAATTGTGATTTCAAATAAGCAACACATAAATGCAATTTATATATCCTTAAAACCATGCTATACAAATTTGAAATTCCCACGAACTATGCAAGAGATATTAAAACTAAACATAAGATTTAGTATACCACTTAAAAAGGGAAATTTACAAAAAGAAGACTAAATTTGTATGCATCGTAGACAATTTAATTTGGTAGCTATTGGTCCACATTGCATATTTAGATAACTCAAGCAAAATTACTATTAATATCCACATAATCACTAGCATCTCCAATAAATCCTCAAAAATGCATACTATAAGACAGAGATTTATAAAATTATCTTAGATACTTGAGACACAAAATCAGGGAAATGAAAAATCCTATAATCCAATAAGAAAAGATATATAAGTTGTTACCTCTGTACGACCAGGCATAATTGGCTTCCCAGCCAATAACTCTCCTAAGATACATCCGGCACTCCAAAGGTCTACGCCTACACCATAATCTGTGGCACCAAGAAGCAACTCAGGAGGCCGATACCAAAGGGTTACTACACGACTAGTCATGGGATGCCTATGGTTTGGATCAAACAAAGATGCCAATCCAAAGTCAGCAATCTTAAGTACTCCTTCATTGTCAATGAGAAGATTTGATCCTTTAATATCACGGTGAAGTACATTACGGGTATGACAGTGCTCAAGTCCTGATAGCAGCTGATGCATGTAACATTTTACCTGAAATTGAAGGCACAGTATTTGGAGACATCAAATACTACCGCTTAAAAAGAAAGTATACCAATTACCAAAGGATAACTAAGTAACTCTTAAATTATTAAGGCAAACCTGGTCTAACCTGAGGCTCTGTAAACCTGATACCAGGGCTCGCAGCAAGTCCAGCTAAATCATGCTCCATGTAATCAAACACCAAATACAAACTACAAGACATCCTTGATGTAACTAAACCTTGCAACTTTACAACATTGGGATGATCCAACCTCCGCAAAATAAGAATCTCTCTAGCCATGAATTTTACGCTCTCAGGTTCCAAATTGTCAAATCGAACCTTCTTTAGAGCAACAATTTTACCCGTCAAAGTGTCTTTAGCTTTGTACACATTACTATAAGTTCCTTGCCCAATCTAAAACGAAAGGAAAAGTAAAAAGGAAACAAGGAAATTTATGAGAAGAGAATATGTGACATCCTACAATACATAAGTTCATCCGACTCAAAAAAATGCACAGATTCAATTCCCTTAATTTTACCAACAAATTACAAACAGATCAATAAATCAGATATGGCACTATCCATCAAATTCTTTTTCCATTTAAAGTTAAAAAAAAAATGCATACACCCAAAATTAACAAAAAAAAGCCCCATGAAAACACAAACCAACCTTATCAATTTTCTCGAATGTGTCAGCCTTTCGCGGAATCCACCCACTGAGTGCTTCCCCACACACTGCGGTGAGCCAGGGTGGCCATCCAGCTGCAACCTGCTCCCCACTCAAATGCTTTGGCAGATTACTTAGCCTTGGATTCGCCTTTGATCTTCTTCTTTCTCCGCGAGCCCGCTGAACTTGGACCCCATCATCACCACCACCCTTCTCCTTCTGGTTCCCAATTCCACCATTCTGAACCTCTACCACCACCTTCTCCTCCGAGACTCCATCAACCTTCCTATTATTAGACTCGGAACTCAAATTTCTCTCCTCCTTCACCTCAGAGATTATTTCCGACGACACCTCGCGGCTAATCACACACCCCATTTCTCGATTCTAAGCTTCATCTCTTGTTGACATGGTTTCTAATTTGTAATTACCAAACAACAACCACATTAATGGATCCAATTAAAAAAAAGCAAGATTATCAGATGAATGCGTCTATCCTTAGCAATTGGCGAGAGAGAATGGTTTGAATTTGAATCCTAAATCAAAAGCAAACCTGTTTGTTTACAAGTTTTCAATAGCCAATGACTGACCCACAAAGTACACGCATCCGAGCACGACGACAACAAGTAACTTTTCCAATTCACTCAGTGCCAAGATTCAGTGATCTGCATCAAAGACGAGAGAGAGAGAGAGAGAGTTTACCGTAACATTAAATTTGAAGCAGAATTGCTGTACAGAGTCTTGTCTGTATAGTCTATAGTGGGTGTCTGCATGTAAAAATTACTTTAACCCAGAATTTGGACACGTTTGTTTGTTTTTGAGTCATTTTTTTTTAGGATTCTCGAAAAATCAAAAGTGATAAATATATTTATTTATGTTTGATATAAGTTTTTTAAAAAGATTTCGGGAATATGATTTTTTTGAATTTTATTTTGTATGTAAATTTTGTTAAAAATATCATCGAGGAGAGTAGTATTCTAAGATTTCTATGGCAAGAGAAAATTTAATATAAATAAACGTAGCATTACCAAAATTAACCCAATATTTTCACGAATATTTTAGTCTACCAAACACATTTTCGATAACATTTCCAGAAAACTCATCTTCCTATTATATTTCTGGAAATCGTGATTCCCGAATAAAAAAAATTTATCATCTACCAAATGCCGCCTAAGTGATGAGTTTTTTTTTAACATATCCCCTTAGTCGCGCGCTCACATTTTTATTTACTTTTTGTACTTTTATTTAAGGGTTTGTTTTTTCTGATGTTACTTTAGATAACTTTATCTAATGTTCATCAAAACGACGTCGTTTTGGGACGGAAATCATGGTATTTTTGTAATTTTAATTTATTTCAGGGTTATAATAGTCTTTATCACTCTAATTTTTTAATTTTTCAATCCCAAAACGACCTCGTTTTGATGAACATTAGATAAAGTTATTTAAAGTAATATCGGAAAAAAATTTCCCTTTATTTAATTTCACTAAAATATAGGGTGATGCGCGCTCAAATTTTTATTTACTTTTCATGCTTTTATTTAATTTCATTAAAGTATAAAGTGATTAAAATCGAAGTCGTGATCTTATAATCACTAAAACTTTAATATCATATAAAAAATTACCTCAACCTAAAATTTTAAAATCCTGGATTAGAGCTTTTTAAAGGAGAAAGAGAGAGATCAGATGTATGTAGTGTTTGGACTTCTGCTGTGAGACAAGAAGCGAAGGAATAAAGAGAGAATGAGATCTTCTTGGCATTCTCAAGTCAAACCCGGACTCATTTCTATCTCGCATTTCGCGAGTTACAAGGCAAACCCATTTCGAGTTGTAGTCATTTCATACATACTAATTACTCTATGCTCTTGTATCAAAAAAATAAAATAAAAAATACTCTATGCTACTTTCCTATCCTAAATTGACGGTTATTTCACTTCTTTAACTCTTTCGTAACTCCTAAGGCATGGATCATTGATGGACAAAAAATCCGTAATTCATACAATCTTACTTACTTTATTTATTGCGTTATGAGAACGATAGTGATTTTTCATATCCTTTTTAACAAACTAAATTCTATATGCAACTTCAATTGTCTAATGTTAAGCAGTAGTGTGTGATTGATTTACTGATTTCTAGGCCAGTTTGGTTCTTTTTTCTGATAGGTTTTCTCATTGGCTCAGATCAAAGCTGTGTGACCTGTTGACCTACCTGAATTGGTTTGACCCGATTTTCTTTTCTTTTTTTTAAAAATACTACTTAAAAATTTAAACATAGCGCATAAAGAACTTTCTTTCTTTTTTTTTTGTAAAAAAAGGAAAACTAAAACAAAAGAGGACTACATCTCACTGACCATTCTAGGCCAAGCAATGCTGTTGTAGTCGAATAAATTTTTAATACTACTGCTGTACTTAGATTCAGTGTATCTCATCAATGAGAGTATTACACATTAGAGGAGAGAGAAAAAAATTTAAAAAAAATTTTAACTGACATGTAATATTTTTATTGATGAGATACACTAAATCTTTGGTACAACAGTAGTACCAAAGATTTATTCCTTGTAATCCCTATTAAGCAAGTCTATACAACCAATAAGAGGGGACTCAAAAAAACTAGTCTCCCTCCCCATAGTACTAACTATACCAGCAAAATAATCTGCTACACTATTTCCTTCCCTGTACACATGAGTAACCTTCATAACTCTCGTGACGAAGTACATTACACCACTGGATCACATGTTACTTTTTAATTAATTATTATACAACCAATTTGATTTTAAATATTATATATTATTAATTTGGTCCTACCATATAATACCTTTTCATTATCAAGGAAATGCCGATTCTTTCCAATAAATAACTCCAAAGGCACCATATTATTTGACTAATTTTTTTTTTTTTTTTGGTAAACTATTATTTAACTATTTAATCTCTAGTATGTATACTCAAATTCTAAGATGGCCAAGCTCAGAGCTTGCTCTTGACCCCTCTGTCTTCGGGTTTTAAACCTTCTTCTTCCTTGCTTTCGGATAAGGGTGACAATACGGGTCAACCCGACATGACACGACACGACATATTTTCAACCCGTACATTATTTGACACGATCCTGACACGATTCGTTTTGTAAACGGGTCACAAAACACGAACTTTGACACGACCTGCTGCGAGTCATGAGTCGACACGACCCGCTGCGAGTCACGAGTCGACACGACACGACCTGCAAAATTTAAAATTTAAAAAAAAAATGAGATTTTTTGAAAAATAAATAAATTAAAAACAATAAAAAAAATAAAAATAGATTAGCTTCTGTTTTTTGAGATTTTTAGTTCCTTCTATTCTTTTCTATACTAAACAATGACTATATATATCAATATATAAATAAATAAAAATAATAATATAATAAAATATTTAATTGAAAATTAAAAAAATGACACTGTGCGGGTTGACTCGCGAACCCGTGGGTTGACACGTGACCCGACACGAAAAAACAGGTCACATTTACACAACCCGTACACGACCCGTAATGACCCGTGGGTTGACACGACACGCGTTTTGACGAGTCCTGTCACGGGTCAACCCGCGGGTCAAAACCTGTATTGCCACCCCTACTTTCGGACGCCTCTGCCATGGATCTCGTTGAAGGAGCTGAGCAAACAAGAATCTATATTGCATCGATACCGATATGAGATATGGAACACATATTCTGATAGGTTAATTATAAATATATTAGATTTTGATACGTTAGAACACGAGATGTTAAATAATATTTTTAATATATATAATATAATTTATATTTAATACATATAATATCCCATAAAAAGGCATATTACCAATTAAATATTCAAATTTCATAACATAAATATAAAGTAAAAATTTCATGCCTTGTTATTTTTTTATGTCAAATCCTATAATAGAAAATATTTAATTTATAAATTAATTTTTATCTTTAATTAAAATTTAAAAAGATAAAATAAAATAAAATTTAGATCTTTATGAATATTGACCGCGAAACGAAAAATGTTGACCGCGTGTTGAACATGTGTCACTGATGGCGTGTCGGAAAATGTTAAGCGCATGTGGGACATGTGTTAGAGGCATTTTTTTTTTTTCACAAAATTTAATGTGTTCGTGCTTCTTACATAGGAACTACTGATCTAATTTGCATATTTGGGGTCATGGATAGGAATAAATCTAGTGCATCAAATCAAATGCACCGAAGATTCAGTACATTTGTTCTTTCTTTTTTTTTCTTTTTCTTTTTTTGAATTCTCAGTTATAGGCATCTTATCCAATAAAGATTTATTACATGGATAGAGGAGTAGGCGCTCTTAGCATGCCAAACCTTTCAGTGGTGGGCATGTTTGTACTTTGCGTTCTCACCCTTGAAGCAACAGCCATAGCTATTTCCCTATCAGATGAAATGGGGCTCATGATGGAAGATGAAACTACTGGCGGTCTAAAACTTCTTTTGGAACTTGTTTGTGAATGTGCTATGAGAACAGAGGTGTCAACACTGTACACTGGATGTGTTTTGCAGCTCAATATTTATTGTTCTGTGAACAGAGCCCATGTTCCAATGAGAATCCAATTCAGATTTCCCAATTTGTTCTCCTCCCAGGCGCCGATGGAATAATTGGTTCAACGGTTAGTGCCAATAGGCGATTTTGTTGCTGCATAATTTGTTCTTGTTGCCAAATCTGATATGCAGCCACCACTACTAGAAAAATCCTCTACAGCGAGAGAATTGTTATGCAAATTGCGTCGCTAATTTCATCCTCGCTATTACTTTTTCTCGCAAATTCTCTCACAAAATCGTTTGCGAGGGAAAATAGTAACGAGGATGAAATTAACGACGGAATTTTCATAGCAATTCCCTCGCTATACAAGATTTTTCTAGTAGTGCACCTCGGACGTGAAACTAGAGACTCTATAATGCTGGCATTGCATGGGATAAATGCCCGGAGTTGGCTGGGTTGACACCAAAGAGTTTGTAGTTGACTTTTGCCATCTATGTTGATGATCACTTTCTGAAAAGTTCTTCGACTCAGATGGATGCAAACTTGCAAGAACCCGAGCAATAATGACTTGTTCCTGTTCTTCATTGCCTTTAAACTCTGAAGAAAATGACGATGAAGTTGAAGAAGATAAACGATGCTCTGACACTAGAAAGAAATTTAAAACAAATAGAATATAAAGTCAAGTCCTGGAAGGGAAAAGAAGAAGCACAAATGATGTTAAAAAATAAAAAAGGGTATATTGAAAAGAAGACTAATTGGGTTTGCTATACAGAGAACGTTTCCATGTGCAGGTTCCAAATAGATTATATTTGTGTAAGTTCTAAAATATTCTTGGTGATCTAATCATGCTCATACACAACAAAAGCATTTAAATCAAGTGCGGAAAAACTAATATTATAAATATCTCGCATTTGCTATTCTTGTTTGTTCCGAAGATGAGTTGCAGTTGTCGGTGTGTCAAGAATTTCGTGAGTGTCTTGTGAGTCTTCGAAGCTCTAACTCTCATGCACATGTATTGCACATATCTAAGAGTGAGCTCGGAGATCTCAAAGTCTGAAATCACACCATATAAAGTTGACAGTTGCCTTGAAACGTGGAGCATGAACAAATAATGAAATATTCATTTCAGGGTTTATTGAAGTGTAATTTTATTTAATAATATATTCATCACTTTTATTTATTCACGTTAAAAATAAAAAAAAAAATCTAATTAACCCTATTTTTATTTTCACATGTTATCTAATAATCTTGACAGAACACGTATTAAATATTAACAAGGTATTTACATTATTAACCACTCATTCTTTTATTGTCCATTTCTCTATCAAAATATTTAAACTTGCAAAATCTTATTAGTTTTTGTTTCACAAGAAAAAACGCTTAATTCTAAACCCTAAAAAGGTTGCAAACAATAATCAAAGGAGGAGAAAAAAAAAAATTCAATTCCGTCACGAGTGTTTGACTTCATAGACATATGATATGATTCATGGTTGAAGATTCAAGGCTCAAAGTGCAGCAAAGTTTGAACTTTGAGAAAAGCACCATATTTTTTTTTTTGGGTACATAGAAAGCACCATTTTTTAATTATAATGATGACCATGTACATATATCTGCTTCCAAAATAAACATTAAAATGAAAAAAAAAAAAATGTAGTCTTATATTAATGCCAACACATTTTTCATGGCTTAAAAGCTGGAGTATGATCAATTTCAGGAGGATAAAATGCCTGATATATTTTCCTATCGATTAAATTCCTGTATGGATCCTCCTCTCTCTTCTTGATCAAGTAATCTATATTGCCTTCAACTTCAGACTTAATCTGCAGGTACAGTTGTTTAGCATTTTCTTTGTCTTTTAGCATCTTCTCCATGCCTTTTGTTCTTATGGGCTTCCCAAATAGATAGTATAAGCGACCAGGTATTTTGGGTAGAAGCACTGGAATAGTGAGATTTTGGCTTGCCACCTCACCACTTGCCTCATCTCTGCATGTGAAGTACACAGTTTTGATATTTAGCTATATATATGCCTATATCTTACTCATTCATTGTTTTGCTGAATAAATCACAAAAGAAGTAATATACACTTTTGAGATGGAGAATAATTACCTAAACTTGACTGAGTCACTATTCATAGATCTGATGTAATCGTTGACTAGAGGGATCTTTATTAAGTCATTGTAGTCAAGAACAATCTGTAAAATTCAAGCAGTTTGACATTAAATATTGGGGTCATTATTTCAACTTAATATTTCTTGGAACCATAATCAAGACATTCAAAACGAGCATTTCCACCAGAAATTTATAAAAAAATAAAATAAAAATTCCTACGACCTATCCAGGCTCGAGAAATGAACATAACTTCAGAAAATAGCTAGATGAGTGATGAATAAATTTAGTTTTAACTTTTCAAAGATAATTGCCTCAAAAACACAGTGAACCTACTTTCCTAACTGTAACTTGGTGTGTGAACACATTCTGAAAGTATGTACTATGACAATTTGCCAACTATGCAACAATTGAACAGTACTTACAATATGTTTTACTGAAAAGTCAAAACCTCCCATTTAATGCCACTAACTCCACTTTTAACAATGAATGATATCTACTGTAGTCAAGCACTATATTGCATACTCACGAAGAAATTAATATCACTAGAGCAAGGATTTTCATCTCATTTGTTGCTGGCTTCTATATAATCTATCTATTAAAAGATATATCACTTGACTCCAGCAGAATGGACAGTCTAGATTATTATGGTTTAAAAGGGTAAAGACCTATTCCCAAAAGAGAGAATAAAGAAACTGTTAAGAGAGAAAGAAGAAACCTACTTCAGCAATATCATCTTCGCCTACAGCTCCAAATGGCACAATCGTGGCGCCAAATCGTGCTGCCATTCTCACAAATTCCGGATGCTCAGGCCAAATCAACTTGTATTCTTCCCCCTGGCAATTATGGAAGCATATTCAGTGTGGAAGCAGAAAGTAGAATCATCATCACATCACAGTCAGTGCTGATCTCAAAGTTTGACAAACATGATAAATCAACAGAAACAAAAGAATAAGTGCAAACTTGCATCTGTGCAGTTTGGACTTATTTTCATGTAGTGCCAGAGATCACCAAATAGTGCAAAAAGGTATTGGTAGAAGCCCATAATCTCTACTATATGTTCTATGCATGGTGTGCTTCTTTCTAAAAAATTAAATGAAATTTAATTGCTATTTTGAGTCTTGTCCTTACCAATTTTCTATGTATTATTATCACTCCCTCCTCTCTCAGCTCTTATAATGTAATGATGAAGAACCAGAAATAAATTTAGATGATAATGTGCTGTAAGAGACAACATAGCTTTTATAATAAACAGAGACCTAAAACTGGGGATATCTAATAATAAAAAAGCTTATCCAACAAAAATTTAGATTTTAATATCTTTTCCACAAAATTACCATACAAATGTGTCTAAAATATTAAATAGGACATAAAAACATCAATTTTACGGATTTTTTTAATAATGTAATTACATAAAAAAGGTGATAGCATAAAATTACTGTGATTGAACCTTGTAATGGAGAGCCTCTCGTGCACCACCAGGATATAGGAGAACATGTGATTTTGTTGAAAGTAAGTTAAAAAGATTGCTTGCTGAGACAGGAACCCCACCAAGTACCTTAACCCAATCAACCAGAGAAAACTCAGAAGAAAAAATCTCCGTTTTCCTTGTAAATAGCTCAGGGTGGGCTATTCCACGAAGCATAATACCTTTCTGACTTAAGAATTCATGTGTAAGTGGGACAAGCTCTAACCCCAACAAATTGTGGTAACCAACGAGTAAGACAGGACCTTCATCTGGAACACCAGAGAGACCTTTTACAATCTTTCCATCTTCCAAAGTTGAAAACATTACGGATCCAGTAAGAGAACGAAATAATCTGTCATCCACATCAGTAGTATATAATATATCAGCTCTAAACCTATTATTCCCTTTTGCTTGGGAACACGTGCAACTTAAATTGTTAACAAAAAATTATGAAAGTAAAGCAGAAATAAGCTTCAGGCTAGAGCCAAAGACAAAAATGATTTAAGCTCAAGGTTTCACATTTAATTACATGGACACAAACAAACAAATCCGTACACCACTTTCTCCATTCAGGTTGTTTGTTTCTAACATGCTAAAATGCATCAAACCATTAAAAGATATAAAAATAAAAAATAAAAAATAAAAACTAGAATGGATGATTGACATCAACGTTCAACAAAACATACTTTTTTGAACCCTTTCACAAATTTCACGTAAGATGTAACTAAGAATAAGCAGGGTTCACAAATTTCAAGACTTGCATCAGTATAGCTGGTCATAGGGACTAAAATCTCGTAGAACCCTTTCACATCGACACAGACATTGTTATAATTTACATCATATATGAACTTTCTTAATAAATACAACGCACACTAGTAAAAGTTTTTGCTTTGTATTTTCAACCAATATTCATGTATGCATGCATGTATATTTACATGAATCTTTCTTAGATTTTAAAATCTTTAACCATATTAGCTTATTGTTAAATAAACTGGTTCAACAAAGATCTGTTATTGTTTTTGAAACAACGCTAACAGTGGGAGTTTTATGTCAATAGAATTGATGAGCAGAATATTTGGCATTATTTGTGCAGATTTGTAATTATATCCTTAATTAATTAGCCAGCTGTAGGTTATGATTTGTAATTATATCCTTAATTAATTAGCCAGCTGTAGGTTATGATTGTGTAATTATATCCTTAATTAATTAGCTAGCTGTAGGTTATGATTGTATAGTTATGATTGTGTAATTATATCATACTATTTAAATGAGAATTCTCCAAAGGAGAACACACAGAGTTTTATCCCAATTTCTCTAAGTTTAACATGGTATCAGTCTAGGTTTCGTTACTAAATTTTTCGCTGTGCTCACAGTCTCTGAGTTCCCAGTTCTAGTCTTTTGCGCGTACTGTTCACGTCGCGATTCTTGTTTTTTTTTTCCTCTCGCGATTTTTCTCAGCATCATGTCTACTGAAAAATATGATGTTCTTTTTGTTCGTCTTAATGGAAAGAACTACTCCACCTGGGCATTTCAGTTCCAGATCTTTGTCAAAGGCAAGGAGCTTTGGGGTCATGTTGACGGAACTAATTCTGCTCCTGACAAAACTACGCACCAAGCGGCACATGCCCAATGGGAGGCCAAAGATGCACAGGTAATGACTTGGATCATAGGCTCTGTTGAGCCTAGTATTGTCCTCAATCTCAGACCCTTCACAACGGCAGCAAAGATGTGGGACTATTTGAAGAAAATTTATAACCAAACAAACACTGCTCGCAGGTTCCAGCTTGAACATGAAATTTCTCTTTTTCAACAGGATAGTCTCTCAATTTCTGAATTCTATTCTCATTTCATGAATCTTTGGGCTGAATATACTGACATTGTCTATAAAGATTTGTCGACTGAAGGACAAACTGCAGTCCAAAATGTTCATGACACCACAAAACGAGATCAATTTCTTATGAAATTGAGATATACTTTTGAGGGCATTCGCACCAACCTAATGAACAGGGCTCCTGTTCCCTCCTTGGATGAATGTCTAAATGAATTGCTTCGTGAAGAACAACGTCTCCTTACTCAGACAAACATGGAACACCAGAAATCTGCCTCCCTTCCTGTAGCGTATGCAATACAAGCCAAACCACGAGGTCGAGACATGAGTACTGTCCAATGTTTCTGCTGCAAAGGTCATGGACATTTTGCTTCAAACTGTCCTAAAAAGTTCTGTAATTACTACAAAAAAGAAGGTCACATCATCAAAGAATGTCAAATCAGACCACCACGGAGAAATGCAACAGCCTTCACTGCCACTGTTGGCTCTTCTACTACTCCTGTTTCTGTGGATCAGAATCCGCCTGTTTCTGTGCCAACTTTAACCCCTGAAATGGTTCAACAAATGATTGTTTCTGCATTTTCTGCTTTGGGTTTTTCAGGTAAAGTTTCTTTATCCAGCTCTCCTTGGTACTTTGACTCTGGCGCATCCAATCATATGACCAACAATGTTGCTTCTCTTACCAATGTTACAAATTACTTTGGTAATTTACAAATACACACTGCGGATGGAAACAATTTACCTATCACAGCAATTGGTGATATTTCTTCATCTCTTACCAATGTTTATGTTTCCCCTGATCTCACCAGTAACCTTATTTCAGTTGGTCAATTAGTTGACAGTGATTGCAAAGTTGAATTCTCAAAGTCTGGTTGTCATGTGCAGGATCAACACTCAGGGAAGGTGATCGCGAAGGGGCCTAAAGTTGGACGTCTTTTTCCTCTTTATTCATTGTTGTCACCATGTTCTTTTCAGCCTTTTATTTCTTGTAATTCTGCAACTGTTAATTTTCAATTATGGCATAAGCGTCTTGGTCACCCAAATTCGAATGTACTTCATGCCTTAATGAAATCTGGAGTTCTTGGCAATAAACATTTCCCATCTTTTAGTGCTGTTCAATTTGATTGCAATTCTTGTAAACTTGGTAAAAGTAAAATTCTACCATTTCCAGTTCATCAATCAAATGTAAATCAGCCTTTTGACATAATTCACAGTGATTTATGGGGCATCACACCTGTAATATCTCATGCACATTACAAATATTTTATCACTTTTATTGATGACTATAGTCGTTTCACATGGGTCTATTTTTTGCGATCTAAAGCTGAAGCTTTCTCTGCATTCCAATTTTTTCATTCCTATGTTCAAACTCAGTTTGCATCAAAAATTAAAACTCTGCGTTCTGACAATGGGGGGAATACACATCTCATTTGTTTCAAGAGTTCTTGCAGAAAAATGGTATATTATCTCAAAGGTCGTGTCCTTCCACACCCCAACAAAATGGGATAGCTGAAAGAAAAAACCGTCATCTTCTTGATGTTGTCCGTACCTTAATGTTGGACTCTTTAGTACCCTCCCGTTTTTGGTGTGAAGCTCTCTCAACTGTTGTCCACCTTATTAATCGGCTGCCTTCTCCAGTCTTGCACAATGATTCCCCTTTCTTAAGGTTATTTGGTAAGCAACCCAATTATTCAACTCTTCGCACCTTTGGTTGTGTCTGTTATGTTCATCTTCAGCCACCAGAACGCACCAAACTCACAGCTCAATCTGTTAAATGTGCTTTTCTTGGTTACTCAGCCCATCAAAAAGGTTTTTTATGCTATGATCCTCACTTACATAGGATTCGGGTTTCTAGAAATGTCATCTTTCAAGAAGATACATATTTTTTTGCTACTAACCAAGACACTCAATCTTCTACATCCAAATCTGTCTTGCCATTGTTTCCTAACAGTTTTGCAGAAGACCAAGCTCGTCCTCCTGTCATTGTCTACCAAAGACGTCCGACTGTTCCACCAATTCAGACTTCAATCCCTTCAAGGCCCCCTTCTGATCATTCTCTGGCTGCTGATCCAGTGCATGCACTAGAACCTGCCCCTTTACGTCGCAGTACTCGCATTCGTAAACCACCGGAAAAGTATGGTGTTTCTGAATCTTTATCTTTGACAGCAACTTTAGCATCTATTCCTATTCCTTCTTCATATAAACAGGCAATGGAGCATAAATGTTGGCAGGATGCTATAGAGACTGAACTTCTTGCACTAGAGGAAAATCAAACATGGGACATTGTTCCATGTCCTTCATCGGTTAAACCTCTTGGCAGTAAATTTGTATTCACTATAAAGTTGCGTTCAGATGGATCCATCGATCGATACAAGGCTAGATTGGTTGTTCTTGGAAATAAGCAAGAATATGGCCTAGACTATGAAGAGACCTTTGCGCCGGTGGCCAAGATGACTACTGTGCGGACTATTATTGCCATTGCTGCATCTGAATCTTGGCCAATTCACCAGCTAGATGTCAAAAATGCCTTCCTTCATGGTGACCTCAAAGAAGAAGTTTACATCAAACTTCCTACGGGTATGCCCTCACTATTACCTAATACTGTTTGTAAGCTAAAACGTTCTTTGTATGGATTAAAACAGGCACCAAGAGTGTGGTTTGAAAAGTTTAGCACAACATTACTTGGTTTTTCCTTCATCCAAAGTAGCTATGATCCATCTCTTTTTCTACAAAGGACCTCCAAAGGAATTGTGATTCTCCTTGTTTATGTGGATGACATTATCGTCACCGGCTCAGATCAAGAGGCTATCACTACAATCAAACAATTGATGCATACAACTTTCCACATGAAAGATCTTGGACAGCTCACTTATTTCTTGGGATTAGAAGTACAATTCCAACAAAAAGGCATCTTTGTCACTCAGCACAAATATACTTAGGATCTAATTCAGCTAGCTGGTCTCACCACTGCAACTATGGTTGACACTCCCATGGAAGTTAATGTAAAGTTAAGACGGGATGAAGGTGACCTTCTACAAGACCCAACTTTATATCGAAAGTTGGTAGGAAGTCTCATCTACCTCACCATCACAAGACCTGATATCTCTTTTGTTGTCCACACAGTCAGCAAATTCATGCAAAATCCTAGACACTTGCATCTTACAGCAGTACAACGAATCATTAAATATTTGTTGGCCACTCCCAGCCGTGGTATCTTCTTTCCGACAAATGCAACAATACAACTTCAAGCATACAGCGATGCTGATTGGGCTGGATGTCCCGACACAAGGAAGTCTACTACTGGCTGGTGTATGTTTTTAGGAGATGCCCCTATCTCCTGGAAATGCAAGAAACAAGAATCTGTCTCTAAATCCTCCACTGAAGCAGAATATCGGTCCATGTCTGCAGCATGCTCTAAGATTATTTGGTTACGGGGCCTTCTTTCAGAACTTGGTTATTCACAAGCAACACCAACTCCGTTGTATGCTGATAATACAAGTGCCATACAGATTGCAGCAAATCTTGTATACCATGAAAGAACAAAGCACATAGAGGTCGATTGTCATTCAATCAGGGAAGCTTATGACCGTAGAATTATCACTCTACCTCATGTCTCAACATCTGTTCAACTAGCTGACATCCTCACCAAGTCTTTGACACGTCAACGACATAATTTCCTCGTCAGCAAATTGATGCTTGTAGATTCACCAGCATCAATTTGAGGGGGGATGTCAATAGAATTGATGAGCAGAATATTTGGCATTATTTGTGCAAATTTGTAATTATATCCTTAATTAATTAGCCAGTTGTAGGTTATGATTTGTAATTATATCTTTAATTAATTAGCCAGTTGTAGGTTATGATTGTGTAATTATATCCTTAATTAATTAGCTAGCTGTAGGTTATGATTGTATAGTTATGATTGTGTAATTATATCATACTATTTAAATGAGAATTCTCCAAAGGAGAACACACAGAGTTTTATCCCAATTTCTCTAAGTTTAACATTTTACCCCTCTACCATCAATGCAACAATGACATTAAGTAACAGGTTACCACTTACCAATAAGAACAATATATGGCAAGCATAATATAGCCAAAAAAAAAATTACCCAACTACTTGATCCATTGCATATCTGAATTCTGTCAAACTGGGAGGAATGAAATCCCTGACCAAATCATGCCCCCTTGAATTACGGTACATGCAAGTCCCCTTGATGATTGTCAGCAGACCAATACCATCTTCCTGCACTACCACGCATAATATACAATTATTCAGCTATGATAGAGCTGTTATCGCAGAAGAATAAATGGGGAGTAAATCTGCAATTAATATTGTTAAAATGGCATACTCAGAAAATGCTAGTGAGTTCATCATGTTAGAGGTTAAGCAGATCCTTTAAACGAGTATATTTTCTCATTTACTCCCAAAGTATTACTCTGGACAGTTTTGTAAGCATACATATTTAGTTTGATTATATTTTTTTAATCCAACGACCTGTATAAGTATGTGTTTCCACATATTACGTTATTACTGGAATAGATTAGTAACAAGGGAGCACATATCCAATGTAAAGTGATGTAACACAATACTCTCACTTAATATACGCCCTTTATGTAGGGACTAACAAGTGAGAGCACTATGATATTATGAGAGGTGAGAGGAATTAATTTTAACCATTCAATCTCGAATGGATGGTTTAAAATTAAAAGTTGCTTAAAGATCATGTGTTCGCTTAAAAAAAAGTTACATGACTTAATATGTTGATGATAGTTGCAAGTTGCAAGTATATCTATTTATTTCACGTACCAAGAGAAGGGTGTGTCCGTTGTCCTTAAAGTTACGAACTTTGCAGTTTTGCAATGAGCCCGCAAGTCTTTGAGCTTCATTTACACTGGGAAGCATGTAATCCTTGCCACTAGAATGGAAAACTTTGTCAATCTTAATTCTGAACACCCAAATGAAAACACCAACTTGAAAGTATTACAGATGTTTTATGAACACAAGAGTCTCAAAATTGGAGTGAATATATGCGAAAGTCCTACACAAAACTTTATTGTCTCAGTTAATTACGCAATCCAAATATAAAGAGAGTTAGAACCTAGCAAGCACAAGTACTTCAGCTTTGACAGCATGGAGACGCGAATTAGCATATGCAGCAGCTGATTTAATAAGTTTCAGCTTCCAAAGAAGAGTGTCCCTTGGTATAACATTAGCCAGCTCCTGAGAATAGACCAGACATAGTAAAATATAGATTGACAGCTTAATATAATCCCATATTGTATGAACTTTTAAGAATTTGTCTAGAGAATAGAGCAAGGGAAAAGGATAGAGGAAAAAGACAGATACTACTACAATCTAGAAAATAAGAGGGATACTTAAACACTTATGAGGTTACCAACAAGATGAAAGAGAAACCTTCATATTAGTGTGTTACCAAAATTTAGGAGGTAAGTCCATGCAACAAGCTTATAATTCTTGTCAACTAACTAAATTAGATACAATATAGCTGTAAAACAAATGGAAAAAAGAAGAAGGAGAAACCAAAGGACAGAATATCAAAATTTCTTACAGGAAGACATGGGAGCAATGCGGTGAGGTTGCCTGACAATTGCTCAATTTTCTTTGTCGGAGGAATCCCATTTCCGATATTGACTGATGCCATCTTCAATGGATCACCTGATGTCATAAAATTATATAACAATTTATATGAATAATCATTTTTAATGGAAAATGGAACTTTATTAGAGAGAAAGGAGGAAAAGTACAGTTAAGGGCAGGTTAAGATATAATCCTGTTAAGAGTTACAGTTAGTGTTAGGAGTTAAGAGTTAGTTTTAGGTTATTGAGAGCATACAGGCTTGGCCAAATGTACTTTGTACTACACTCTTACCTAGTAGTATATGCAGAGGTAGATTGTGTTATACAGTGTATCCCATTACAGCAGAATTCTCTCCTACTCTCTTCATTCTCTCTATACATCTCAAACAGAAAATTCTACACCAAGGAAGATGAAAATAACTCAATATGCAGCAAGGCTTCCCAGTCTCTTTGCATATCGGAAGTAACATGTTACGATCCTACTCCAATCCTACTCCAAGGTATGAGACTTGGAGTCCCACGTTGGTTATATGGGTGACTAATGTGGGGTTTATTTGAAATTTGGGCTCTCCTACCTCTTGAACTAGCTTTTGGGGTGAGGTTTTCCAGTAGTTCGTATCAATTTGTAGCAGTTTTATCATTACTTCATGCTCGTCCTCTAAATTAATAAAATCAGGTAAAGGCAAAAGGAACTATAATTCACTAGTTTCTCTATCACTCAAGCTCTAACAATCCCCAATTATTATGAGTTTATGAACATGAAAAGAATATATATTTTTTATATCAACATAGATGCACTTACTTCTTATTCACCATCCACCAGCTATACAACGAGCAAGAATTGAAAAAAAGGTATCCATCACATTTGCAAATGAATTATAACTCCATGAAAATGTAAATGTAACAGTTGGAGTCTTGAGAAAACAGATTATTTACCCATAATAAAACTAAGAAGAAAGGGAACAGCTACATGCAGTTCGTCAGGCAAAGCATCCAAGAGAGGAAACAAAGGTTGTAACTGAGATCTGCCAAAGGATGTAGCTATGGTTGAAAGAGATATATAGTCAGATTTCAATAGAGAATTGACCAGAAATCACCAAATAAATACATTAGTAAATTTGACACAAAAATACAGCATTCATAGACTCACCTGGATTGGCTAATATCAGTACTAGGTCAATTGTTGGATTACGAGCAGCAATAGCAAGTGCTAGGCATCCACCAAAGGAATCACCTACCAGATAAATTGGCTTATTTGGAGACACAGCATACTCACGTTTAACAGCTTCTTCAACAAGTTTCACCAGTCCTTCATAAAATTAAAGATAAAAAGGTTTCAGTCTAAGAACAGATTAACACCCGATAATCAAGGCTATTATTAGATTGAAATTTATTCAACATTATAATACAATTAAGTGCATATTTAGATTTGCTTGATTTTTAGGAAAAATCATTATTTTTTCCCAAAAACTCTCTGAAGAAGATTTTATGATAATTTTTTTTTTTTTCCAAAGCATCTATTCACAACAATTTCTTTCCTGTCACATAAAGAAACTGAGTTGCTACTTGCTAGGAACAATTATCAACCTGAAGTTACAATCATTTAAATGTATCAACAGCAACACAGATGAACTTCCAAAAGTTGACAAAAGCATACGTTAAAAGGCAAAGACCTTCAAATGGTGTTCGATCATTAACAGGAATATGCAAGCAACGAACTTCAAAAGCCCTGTATTGCAAAAAGTAAAGGTTAAAGGAGAAAATAAAATAAAATAAAATAGCACGATGTACATATATATGAGGAGCATAATGTTATACAATTCTGAAAGTGCTGATTCTAATCCTGCAGACTTAACAAGTGCAAATGAATACCATTTATGGGATTGTTTTCAATTGCTATTGAAATACGAATAATACAACATACTTCCCAAGAGCTTTATGGTGCAAAGAGAGGCCCAATCCTGTGCCATCAATCCCTGCATGAGTTAACATTGCGCATATTTTATTTTGACATTCAATAAAATAACATTTAAAACATTCAACCAAAACTGAAAAGTTGAATACTGTAAAGAAGCAATTCAACCCAAAAGCTTACGAAAGCCCACTGGGCTTGAAGGGTGGACAATGCACAGGCCCACCTACCTATGCGAACAAAGAAATTACATTTGATAGAAAGTGGGGGGCGACGAGGATCGAACCCAGGACACGAGGCTCTAATACCATGTAAAGAACTAATTCAACCCAAAAGCTTAACTGTTGGATGAGGCTACATTAATGGTTTTATATATCTCAAGAAATACAATTAACATTTAATATTAAAACAAAAAAAAAAAGCAAATTTATCCACAAAAGCCTAATATACACATCACAGTCTCCCAGAGGACTTGACAACATGTAACAAATTGAATCCACAATATCTTCATACAAAAATAAAAACTGTTTACCAGGTAGAAACAGAAGAGTGGGAGAATCTTTCAAAGGAGAACCACATTCAACGGGGCAAAACCAGCGAGGTGGGCCACCATCAGACCTGCACAACTCCTTGGCTGCATCGAAGTAATCTTCCACAGTCACAGTTCCATAACCATCATCCCAAAGGGGTGCTAAGTCTTCCTTATTGCTCTTCTTATCTTCAACTATAGGACGCAACAACCTCACATCCCTTTCCTCCTCAATCATAGAACCATTTTTCTGTGTCTCAACAACCAGAGAAGCTCCATTCACTGAATCAGATTCAGAGGACAATACCGTCGAACTTCGACCATCCAAGCTCTGAGCCTGAACTCGAAACCGATGCCATCTAACGGAGCTTATGGCAGAAACGGGTGAGACCCGGAAACCCAATACCGAGGACATGAAAAAAGGGTGAAGTTGAAAGCTTTGCTTTTTGAACAACTAAGCAGCACTGACAAAAGTTCACTATTTTTGTTTTCGTGCTTTCGAATCTTAAAAAAGTTAAACAAAGTAACAAACACTTCAATGTGTTTATAAAATGAAACTGTCAGAGTCACGTGTTTGGTGTTGAGAGTAAAATACAGCAGAGAGGATGAGCGATAGAAGCGAAATTGCAGGGATAGAACATAAGTACACAAAATGTTGGCCTGTAACCGTTTCAGACATAAAGAGATGACAATTGTTGTTTTATAGCAACCAATGGCAATGAACTAAACTACGTATTCTCCTAAGCAAAATGACAAAAAAAAAGGAGAGTGGGAAAAGGACAACAGTCACTATTATTTTATTTTTTCAAAAAAAAAAAAAAAAACTTTATCGATTGTGATAATTCTATTTAAGTGTTTGGTTGGGAAATTTTTTTAAAATTCTCGGAAATATGATAATGTTAATTTTATTTATTTATGTTTAGTGTGAGATTTTTGAAAAATAAAAATAAAAATCTGATTTTTTTCAAAATTTTATTCTATGTACAAATTTTTTTCTAAAATATTATCCTTTCGTAGTATTCTTGGAATCCATGAATTGAATTATTGAGTGTGTGACAGATACTCGTATTCTGACGCCCCAATCTACCTGGAGAATAAATTTTTGGTATTACTGTTGTATCTAAATTCAGTGTATTCTATGAATGAGAGCCTTACACAATCAGATGAGAGAGAAAAAAGAAAACAGTAATTATGATTTTTTTTTTTTAAAAAAAAACCTTAACCGTTGGAAACTTACGAGTCGAACCTAACGTGTATATATAAAAAAAAATTTCATGTACCAGAAAAATATATATATTTATATATATATATATATATATATATATATAATTTTTATTGTTATTTTGTATGCACTACGATTTAAAATTTAACTTGATGCTTTAAATTTATTAAATTATGTATATATACACCATAGATTTGAATAAGTTTATGCACATGTAGGAGTAGTTAAATTTATCAAACTCTTACGTTTTAGAATTGAATTAGTGACTCAAAACAAAATAAATTTTTTTTACAATTAACTTGCTTTGTTTACGAAGTCTTATTTTTAGTTTTTTTCTTCTTTAAAAATAGAAACTTAATCAAACATAATTTCATAAAAGTTCTTATTATAAAAAAAAGTAATGAAGAAAAAGTTAAAAACTCCCTGGAGAAAAAAAAAAATTAAAATACATGTCACATTTTTGGATTCCTCATATTTATTTGATAATTTTACTCTTATTCTAAACTTGTATTTATAAATTTTATCATTTATCATATAATCCACCATAATAATAAATTATTTTATCTTCTCTCCTTTAAAATCATTAGCTTTATATGATCACTGAACAACTTTTAGGATTTTATAAGAGTTATGTTATAGGAAAAATAATTGTGTCATGTTATAGAGATTCATTTTTTGTGTCTTAGTTTTTATTTTATTTTTTGCTTCAAAAAATGCAGACCCCATAGAATGTTAAGTGTGTGTAAAAAAGTTTTTTTTGTATCGTGTTACCTAATGAATGCAAATTCCCAACTTTTAATGTTTTTGACTTTAGTTTAACAGCAACTTTTACCTTAAAACAAAGGGCCAAATAGACTTGATAATTAAAACAAGTTGCATTATATTTTGATTACCAAAAAAAGAAAAACAAGTTGCATGTATTTTAACAAAAAAAAAGTCAGATTTATTTTAATGAAATCAAATTTAAAATATTATCTAATTTTTTTTATTTTTTCCAATAGTTTTTTACTAATGGTTATTCCTTGATAAATCATTCTTAAAAAAAGAATTTCATTTTTAAAAATACCCAAAAAATTATTTATTAAAATCTTAAAAACACTTATCAATTAATTAGAAAAAAACATCAGTATATTAAATTTTTAAAAGATTTTTAAACTTTTAAATTTTTATTTTTTTCAACGAGTGATTCAAGCCAAGGACCTCGTTAAAAAATCTAAAAGCATTTCTTCTTTTTCAACACGCACTTGTTTGTGATTCTACATCCACTGGAAGCGATGGCGTCCCTGCATATCCATGACTGTGTATTTGTTTGTTTCAACTTTTCGAGAAAATTTTTGGTGCTCGGATGTACCGAATTAGATTTTTTTTTTGAAGAAGTGTTTATTATTCTTTTAAATGATATAATCTATGTCATTTTACTCTTATTCGCAAAGAGGTAGACTCATAATTTTTTTTTTTTGTCAATTCTTTCTCTCTTCTTTTATTTATCTATTTCTCTCTTTTAAGATGACATATATGTTTACTTTTTTTTTTACTAAAAGAAAGAAAACTTTTTATAATTTAAAGAAAAATATAAAAAAAATTCCTTTTTTAATAAAATTCGGTACGGCGGTGGACCACAGTTTTTCTCCCACTTTCCGGGTTTCAAGTTGTTGATAATAAAAAAGATCGTGTTGGAGAACACGACTATTTAACTTTCCACTTCAAACCCATATAATTGAGAAAAGGAGAGCTATCTTTATTCGAGTCTGATAACTTTTATGTGATCAATTTTTTTTTTTAATTTCTGATTTTGAGAATAGAAATGAATAGAAAATTTGTTTGGTAAAATTGATTTATTTTTTTGTTCTCGGGATGAACTAGTTTAATTTTTGTGCTGGTTAATAGAAAAAAGAATAAAAAAAATTCTGTTTTTTTTTGTTCCCGGACACAAAATGATAAACACTTATTTCTCTCGATTACTCTCCACCACTATCATCATTATCATTAGCACCATCATCCAGACATGACCACTGCCACCATCCGCCGCCGTCGTCGTACCACCAATGATGTTGTCACCACCACCACCACGACGCCAGCGCCACCACCTCCATCCATCACCACTGTCGTCATCGCCACCACTACTGTCACTGTCACCCCTACCATCGTCGCAGTCACTGCCATTACCGTCTCCGCCGCCACCTCCACCACTACCATCATCGTAACCACCACCACTACCATTATCGTCATCACCATGTCATTGCCACCACCACGACGCCACCATCACTAACCACCACTACCATTGCTGCAGCCACCATCGCCGCCACCGCCACCACTACCATCATCATAACCACCACCACCACTATCGTTATCACCACGTCATTGCTACTACCATGACGCCACCACCATCACAAACCACCAATACTATTGTTGCATCCACTGCTATTACCACCTCTACTATCACCGCAGTCGCTGTCTTTACTACCAATGTCACCAACCACCACCAATAGCGAATCCAGAAAATTTTATTTATGTCTGCACATTTAATGACACTGAATTTTTTTTAAAAATGTTGAGGATAGTGGTGGAAACAAAGAGGTTCAGGTGAAAGTTCTTGTAAAGCGTGGGAACAAGCAACAAACAAAGCAGATGTACATCTCTCAGAATTCCACATTGGTGCAGAGTACAAAACAGAAAGAAGCAGCTGAACTTCAAGAGAAAGAAGACATTAAAAGGCGTGTTTTGAAGTATAATGATAAAGAAGAGGAGGAGCTTAATGGATTAGGAACCCAGCCCACAAACTGGATGCAGAGTGGTGGTAACAAGGCTGGTGGTCGTGGCAACACTTTAGTATCAAAATCTTGTGTCTGCAAATGCTAGTGTGGGTCCGCCATTGACCACCACCATCGTCGCAGCCACTGTCGTCACCAACACCAACACCAACCACAACCACCATCTTCTCAGCCACTACCATCACCACCACCACCATTATGTCATCACTCTTATCATCACCATCATCTCAACCACTGTTGTTACTACCACTACCATCACCACGCCACTACTACTACCACCACTGCTGTCGTCACCACCATCGCCACCATTATTGTCGCCGCCACTGCCACCACCACCACATCATATGAAAAGGAAAGTGATAATCTGAAAAAAATTATGCTTAATTTTTTAATTATATTATTTGTTGTATTATCAAACACAATTCTCTTTCTCACAATAAAAATAGAATATGTTATCAAATATATTTTTCTCAGAACTGTTCCAAGACACAAAAATAGAAAAAAATTATTTCTTTTCAAAAACAGTACCAAAGAACATAATGGTTGTCATGCACACCCTAAAAGAGCTATCTTATCTTATATTTACAAAAAAAAGAACTATCTTATCAGTAAGTTATTTCATATTTATAAAGTTATTTCGCTTAATTATTATTTTTAAGTTAAATAAATAAAATATATTATTATAAAATTCCCTATTATATTAAATAAGGGATTGATTTTTCTTATGTCATTGGAGACAAGACTATCTCCTATAGAGACATCTTCAAGAGGGTCCTATACTATAACAAAAAGAAAAAAGAAAAAATTGATGGCTCAAATTTCGAAGGGTCTATGGCATGAGGTAAGCTCTCTCCAATGACATAAGAAAAATATTACCCATTAAATAAATACTTATATTTTTCATTGAATTATTTTTTTTAAATTCCTTAACTAATATCCTCGCTAGCAAATTTCATAATTTTATATCCTATTAACGAATTTAAGAAAATTAAATATTCATAAGAAGGAGAATATTCAATATTTTTTAGACATATATATTTTTTTATTTTAAGAAATTAGGAGGGCAGTATGAGAATTTACAAAAGGACATAGCAATTTTTTTTATTAGCATCCGATTCCATAAGGAACCCATTTTTATTTTTATTTTTTTAAAAGAAGTTTAAGAATACAAGAAAATATTTTATTCAAAATTCGAGACGTATTACAAATCTCAAGTATAGCTTATGTAATATTTACATATAACTTACCAATAAAATAACCAATTAACCAATAGTACAAATAATGCACCAGACAGCTCAAGGACTTGTTCACGTGAACACGTTACAGACACTTGCAAGTTGCAATAGATAGTTAAAACGGTTTTTTTGTTATTCAATTATAACTAATGTACTGTGGTATCTTTCATCATCCTTCATTTCCATCTGTATATAAGGCTATATTCATTAATTACTTCAACAACTTAACTTTTTCTCATAATTCAGATTGTACATTTTATCAGAAAGCTTAGATTGTTAGCCTTCAATACCTTTGTATGGATGTTCGTTCCTTTCGTTGGGTCAACTATTGGCAACAACTGTCATGAGTCCATGACTAAGCAAAACTGTAAAATGGCACTATCTCCAATTTGGTGTATGCACTTCAACACATGGTAGATCCACCGTATTTGGTTACGGTGTCAAAATGGATCGATACAATACAATATAAATTTGACACAATACAAATATATGTAATATGAACACGATATAAATTTTTATTTGTATTAAAATCTTCGATCCGAACAAGACCCGTAAATTTTGTTGGTTGATACGACACGACACGAATGACACGCAAACTATGGGTCAAAATGATAATTGACAAATTTTTTTTAAAAAATAACAAAAAAATATGGGTCAAATTTATCTTTCTAACATGAATATGATATGAATTTTTTTTCTAATCAACCCGAACACGAATTTTTGTATCGTGTCGCGGGTCAACCTGCATACCATATTCTATTTTGACACTCCTAGGTTACGAAACAAAATTGTGTCCTGCTTGTCATAACTTGTTTTTACAGCTAGGCCTAGGTTACGAAGCAAACTTCAATAAACAAGACCACATCGTTGCTCGTTCTTTTTTTACCCTCCTTTGTCATGACCACGGATAGTAAAATGAAATTTCTATCAGTTTCTTTCAAATAAAATGCATTCCCTCAACTTAATAGGATAAAAAACTAAAATAATGTTCTTTTGAAAAGCAATATAAAAAACTTATGAAAAAAAGTAATTAGCGGCATAAGGTGATGTTATCCACATAAGCTTCCATGGACAAAATGCTAATCTATATTGCGTCTTGCAAGATGTGACATGAATTGACTTAAAAAAAAAATGTGCTGCCACCATGCTTGGAAGTTGGAAGAGGTTAAAAACTCAGCCTGAAAACGGGATGAGGCTAGGCATGACAATGGGCGTGTCTATTTAAAGGGGGAGTGAATCCTCTCACGTGCTTATTAACATGACCATGTCATGTGGGACAATCATAACCATGCATGGATGAGTTAATGGTGATAAGAGAGGAGAGAAAAAAAATATAAAGATAAGAAGTTACACAATTATCACCGTTGATTTAATTATTAATGGTTAAGATCCTCCCACATGACATGATCATGTTAAATTACACATGAGAGGATCCATTTCCATTTAAAGTCCTTAGGCTCGCCTAACTTTTTAAAAACGTGACCACACCTAAAAACTTATTTAAAATATTTACTAAATGGACCAATAAATTTGTCAATAAAATAGAAAGGCAAGTTACATCCCTTCAAATCTTTATCGTTATTCTCACTTACATGAATATACAAGTAGATCAATAAATAAGATTGGATTTAAACTTTTTATTTTTATAGCAATATAAATTAATTCTTCACTTTTCATATATTTATATTAAGTAGTACCTTTTACCAAATGTAATATTTTTTTTAGTAAAGTTTCCAAATCTAAATTTGTTTAACACTTATACTACACATTTTTTAAAATTTATATTATATGATAGATTATATAGTTGATTATTGCATAAGTTTGATTTTGAATATTTTATACACACGGGATGAGATTAAGTGCATGTTCAAATATTTTCTTACAGAATAAGTTAGCTTTTTCATCTCCGAAATCCACAGGACGGTTATGTTTATTTTGAAGGATGCAAGTTGAAATGAGGTTGCACAAAAACCACCCATACCCGACCAATCCCAAGCCAACAGAGAACATCAGCGCCTCCTATTTTAATTAATGATATAAATGAAAAGTTTCTCTTGCAATGCCCTAGTTTCCTGAGTGCAAGATAGGCTGGGGGATACCCATTACGTATGGTACTAATATATATGCATGCTCGTTCTCCACCATTTCCAATAATTTTTTTTGAGAATAAATGAATACTGATTCTACACCATATTCAATATTTTTTTTGAGAATGGATCCTCTCTCATGTGGAAAAGTAATATGTAATCATGTTCTTTAATCACAATCACTCATTAATGATGAGATACGAGAGAAAATTGCATAATTTTTAAATAAGTGATTGTGATAAAATAGCATGACCACATGATCATTTTTTCACATGAAAAGATCCATTCCTATTTTTATTTTTTTTAGAGAAAAAATGTACTTACACCTGTACCAACTACCAATGCAATATAGCTTGCTTATTAATACTAGAATAAAAATTAATTTAAAGATTAAAATAAGCACCAATAGATAACAGTAAATATGGAGGGCTGGTAGAAGTGAAGTACCATCCATTGTGTATTATCCAGTTTCCATATACACACTTTTGGATCAGCAAATATACAAAAAAAAAAAAAAAAAAAAAAAAAAAAAAAAAAAAAAAAAAAAAAATAAGGGATGATCAACCATTAATACATCTTAAGTATAAATTCAAATTATAATCCACAGCAACTAATGCTAACGCCACGACTTATGCTAATGCCAACTTTTCATCGCCTCGTTTTCACAATTGTATATTGAATATACTAAAATATACATACACAGGCAAGGGAAAGAACACGGGACCCAAATACAGAGTGGCCGAGAAGAGAAACTAGCACAAGATATCAAATAACTAATTTGAACAAATTAGAATAATATTATAAGCAATTAACAATCAATAAAAATTTATAAAATAAAATAACGGGAGGGATGTGAAAATAAATACACCTAGAGAACAGAAATTCTATGGCTAGATATTTAACGCACAATTCAAATTTACAATGTTTGTGTGCCATCTCTAAATTAACTACCTGATTCCTGACAAACTCCCCAATAAGCTAGTATGATCCCCACTAATTCTCAACAGAGTCGATTAAAAACTTTCATCTTGCCAGATGCAGGCCATGTCCAGCAAAAGTATGTACGGCAGCTAGATAGAATTCAACATTTATAGTAACAGCTCTCCACTAAAGAAAAAACTATCCAAACAGGTTTGGAGAATGTCACTAAATGTAGTGATAAATGAGAGCTCAGAATTTACAACATTCTTACAATGCCACCAATCAAAGAAGGCAACCCAAGAAGAATCAGTGCTCAGGAGTATTTTACACAATCACAAGAAAACCTGCAAGTATTAATAAATAAATTTTGCAAACCTTGCCCAGGCAACATACCAAGAAGAAGGGCAGAGAATGATAAGGAGGGGGTAAATTCAGCATCAAAAGTAAATAAATAAATAAAAAGAACCTTTTCCTTCTAATTATTTTTCATTTAATGATAAAACTTGGAAGTAAAGGGTAAAAAAAGAAATGGTTAGGCAATGCATCTTAAATGTTGGATTTCGATTTCAATCACTAAAGTTTAGGGATACGATTAAGATTGATTTGTAATTAATTGTAGTTTGCTTATTTAATTTTGCTAATTTAATTCTGTTTCCTTATTTTAATTAGTCAACCTTTTTCAATAAAAGAGATTAAGAAGGGTGTTTCCTATAATCTTGCTAACCTGATTTTGTTGTCTTTAATTTAGGAGATTTAATGCTGGAATTATGTAAATCAGTAGCAGACCTGTTGCCATGTTCTCCCCTATACATTCCTCTCCTTTTAATCACTTCGAATAAGAAGAATATCAGAGTTTTCCTGTCTGAAAAATGAACACTAAACATTTAAAAGTTTTTTGTTATACCAACAATGGCCTTTCACACACTGGAAAAACTCGCTATAATTATTTTCATCCAATTCGATAGGGAACAAATTATTAATAAAGATTAGTCTCATCACCTAAGATTACTATTCTCAACATTTACATCAATCAAAAAGAAACACTTTCCTACAAAATCCCTTCTCCTTTCAAGCTGGCTGTAAATTACATCTAAAAAAATACAGGAATAAATACCTTGAAAGCATTAACAACATATTTTAGCTGAGAAAAGCTTAGCACCGCTCAAGATTACCCACCTCTGATGCACAAGCAATTTGTAGTCACCTGCCTTGAACCACTCTATAATTTAGGACCAGGTCATCTTGTTTCTTCCATATATAAGCTCGCACTGTGGCTAAGCTCATTTCAGGAGACAACACCTGAAAATAAACCAAAAATGGCAATCAGATTAACAAAAGGATTCTAGTAGGCATATACATGAATTTAAAAACTTGCAGAATCTCGGCACCTAGAAAACTATACTATACTGTATACACATTGTCATACGAGTGCATTCAAGAGACCATATCACTTGCCTGGTTGTTGCACAATATTTCAATGGAAGGTCTAAGTTTTTGCCAAGGCTTGAATCCAGATCGGAAAGATCCATCTCCAATTGCTTGATGCTGTGAGTGTGACCCAGCAAGTCCAGGGACAAAACTACCATCGGCATTTAAGCTATCCAAAGGTTTGTCGAGCACCATCTTTTCTACTACATAATTAATAACCTAAATAGACAAAAAGAAGGCAAAGCTAAGTTGACCATTCAGAAATGCATTGTCTACCTGGAAGAAACATGCACACAGTCCATGTAGTCAACACACACACACACACAAAAAAAAACAATTAATCCTTTTGGAAAGTAAGATCAAAGTCAATTTTACAACACATACAATTATTATTAGAGAAATTATTATCCATCAATTGTCAACTTATATAAATATTAAAACTTACTTTATGAATTCTTAATATACGTGGGGCACTTAGCTTCCCTTGTGTGAGGATCTGGACTGTAGAGCCTTCACATGGTTGCAAATAGAAACTGCATCTGCAGAGGTTATCACAAGAGAATCTATATTAAAGAGAACATCATAAAACTGGTCCGAGAACAATGATAATCAAGCTAAAAAAAATTGCCATCACACTCGACAATCAAATTCATAGACAATGTTCCATTGTTTTCTACAAAAGTAAAAAAACAAATTTGATATCTTCATGGCAATAACCTTTAAAAGTACCAAAAAAAATGTTCAAAGATGCTGTGGTCAACACATGGATAGAACCAAGCAACAGATACCACTGGATTAATGGGAAGAAAGATCCGAATGACTTATTAAGCATATAGCAATTGATAACATTATAAAAGCTACGTTAAGTACCACCATATTTTTTTGGATGTGAGAGTAAAGCACTTCCATATAACTCTAGAGTGAAGTTCTCATTCAGAAAACAAGGGTAACAGAAACTTTGAATCATCAAAACATGTTTAAGATATGCTTGTAAGCAATAACAATAATGATAATAATGAAGATATAATCATCATAGCTATGAAAATTGTAATGAGCATGGTTTCTTCCTTTCAACTACAACCATGTATAATGCAACCATTTTGGGAGAGGAAAAAAATGAAGAGGGAGGTGAAAAGTTACTTTGTATTTTCTCTGGGAGGTAACCGATTATTCAAAACACAGTCCAGACACCACCAGGGGAAGTCTTTCTCATCCTCAGTTCCATCTAAATCAGTAATTTTTTTTCTCCACGGACCTCCATGGGTGCCCTCAGTAACTAGGGAAGGAGGGGAAACAACTGAGAATTCAAACGGAGGATAAACCATAGCATCATTCTCAGAACTTCCATCAACCTCAATTCTTGAATGGGTAAGATTTCTAGTAGCAATATCCTTTCCAGAAAATAATTCCCCATTAGCTGGAGCTAGGGATCCCGTTCTTTGCTTTCGTTTTCTCAACCAATGAACCAAGAGCCCTTTAAGGGTTTCTCGAGCCAAATTAACCTGCAGAATAACAGGTATTGATTTAGATTGTTTATAGTAAACTACTCAAAACATTCTCATTATGTCATTGAATGCATAAATCTCGTATGTCTTGAAACTATAGAACTGCATAATAGAACTCAGCCAATGTCAGATCAACGGAAGTATAACTTTTAAATGCTTCCATGTCTATGATACTACTACCATGACAGGAATCATTTCAGATCAAACAAGATTCCGGACCAAGACAGGAAGATGGTTAAGTGCCACTGACCGTAATGGATCTCACACACATGAAGATGAATGTTAACAACTGTATAAACTTGACATCAATTACTTATTATAGCCAATAATAACAAGCAACTAGTTGCATAAAGTTGACATTAATTGTTACAGCATACCAAAACCTAGGAGCAAAATCGATATAATAAGGAATTTAAGAGAAGGGCAGGTAAATTGCTTATGACAATGAAGCCATTACCTTATCATCTTCGGGCTTGCCTACAATGTTAAGATCTGCTGAATACATCTCTGCAGAAAAGCATTGGGGAGTTTCCAAATGGACAGACAAACTTCCAAGCCTGGTATCCACTGTGAACCATGCAGGAATGCTAACCTGATGCAGCATTGAAAGAAAAATAAAAGCCAGCCAGAACTAACAAACTATTATAAATCATTATGTTGTCTTACCAAAGAAAAAGTATAATGAAAATGGAAATTCATGATTTAAATCCGTAATCATACCATCTCAAATAGCTCTTCCTTTTTCTCCTCAAATGAAACCTAAATAGTTCACAAGTAAAGCATCAGCTATTATGAACTCACAAATGAGCCCTATCAATTATAGTGGAAATTTGCAAATATCAATCACTACAGCCAAGCTCCTTCCCTAGTGAACAAGATTACCATGCAATTTACCAAATTAAAATACAGCCAGTTGTCACCTTTCCATAATCTTCAATCACAACACCTTTGGTAATCTCCCACAGCTTTACTGAACCAGACGTATCCTATACCGAGAGCCATTTATCAGTTCATAAGATAATAGAGAAAAATTAATAACTTCGTAGCAGAACAGATGACAGTATTAACATGTTTGGCACAATAACATCAACAGAAAACACCATTATTACCTTAGTCAGCACATGTCTCTTATTATTTAAAACCTCATGTTGCACTATTCCAGGGGTGCCCGCGATAGTTAAGGCAGGTTCTTTATATACAGGAACCTATTAACATTTGTAATTTTGACAAGAAAATGGACAATTATTAGTTCCCCATAACAGAAAGAACCAAATGAAAATATATTTTCAACAAGAACTTCTTTAGAAGACAAACACCGTCACATCCACAAATAGGAAGAACTAAGATGGGATATGCAAATTAACATGCTTCATCTATAAATGTGCATATGCTACTGGTATTATGAGTTCCCAGAGCAACACAACACTTTGAAGATAAAATGACACAATTAATATGGTGATTTTTTCAGAAACAAATGTAACATACAGGGGTAGATCCTTCGAGTGACACTCTTGCCCTTGAAAAGGACAAGTTTCCAGCTAAAAAAGAATTGCCTCTTTGGAAAATCTTCTGAGGGTTGCATCCTTCAGCAGGCCATCTATGGACAGAAGAATCTGTTGATGCAACCCACATGCTATCATCGTGCAAAGCCAATTGAAGAATAGGGTGCTCGCCTGTGCAAAGCAAACTACTCTCTCTTGTTTGCAAATCTGTCAAGTATAACTTCAGATATAAAGGAATTGGGCATTAGAAAGATGAGCTTCACAAGTTAAACAGAACAAGGAGATGTCACACAAATTCCAGTCATAATAATAATAATATTTTTTTTTTAATGGAAAACCGCACTCACTGAACAGTCTCTCCCACCACTATAAACATGACTAAATGACCGGGTGCTGGCAAGTGCCCAAACAGAATCTGTATGAACTGCATAAGAATGCACACATCTCTGCTGACCTATATCCCAAAGCCTATGAGGAAAGATGGACAGATTATTTGTCAACCACACAACAAAACAAATAGAAATGCTAAAAACACCATATTCATAGATTACCTTATCATAGAGTCTGAAGATCCTGATAAACAATACCTGCAGTAAAAAATGTTACAAATATTACAGCTGACTAGTCGGAAAAAATGTATTATTTAATTTGAATTAACAAATTTATCTAATAAAGAGATGCATGGCTGCATACACTAGCAAATAAAACCCAACAGCATTTTATTCACTAAACTATTGAATATTAAATAGCAGTCAACTGTGACATAGCCAATTAAAACATGATATGTTATTCGTGCATAGTATCTATATGGGGTGGGTTTACTGGCACTCCAATATGCCTATTCATATTCCCCACTTTTTATTTTTTATAAATTTTAAAGGAGACTGGAAAATTTGTTGACTATTTCCAGTACATGAGTCTGACGAGCAACCATCACTTCTGCTATTAGAGGTACCAAAATACAGATGTAAGTGTAGTAAAAACTCTTGACAAGAAATTGCTGCCAAAAACATTCATGAAGATGACCAAACAGACTTTAATTGTTGCAGTACTGGAAACAGATCCGGTAGCAACTGTAGTAATGCAGCTCTCAAGTCTGGTATTCAGCAAGATCCAATGCCTGACACTCTTGATAGAACTTACTTTTGGCATCAAAAAGGATAAACTCTTTTTCAAGGCACTCACTCATCAGAGAGAAGGAAAGGAAATACAAATAAAAAAAATGTTTGTGCACATATAAGATTATTTTTTCACTAGCGGAAATCGTAATTCAGTCAAATGAAAAGCTTTGAAATTCCTCCAATTTTCCCGCCAAAGTAATCTTTCGCTCTCCATTATATATCAATTAATCAAATGAAGTTTTGCATTAAACAGTCCTCAATCCATCAAGCTATTAGCAAAACAAATAAAAAAAAAAAATCAGTATGATTGAAAACTTCGTTCATAAGCACCAAAAAAAGGAGGAGCTGCAAATAAATTTAGCATCCAACTTTCCTTCAAACATACGATAAAGGTGGGTTAAGATAACACGTTGGTTCTATCGATCAAAATGTGAAACTCTCTTGGCAAAGTATGTTTAGTTTAGTTGGAAAGTTGTGAAAACAACTGATTATGTTTTCCATACTCTATCCAATTCCAAAGATGTACTAGCAGGAATTGGTTTACAATATGCCACGAAGGGCTGCTGGAATAAACCTGAAACTGAAGAAGCCATATCATGGGTAAGAAGAAGAACAAAAAATAGGAAGTGTGAATAGAGTTATTTTAGAAGTGAGAATAAATAATAAAAAATTATATTTTTTAAGTTTTAAATAAGGGTAAATTTGGAAAGCACCATAAAAACTAAAAAGTGAGGAGTGTTAATAGGCAATTAGGCATATTGGAGTGCAATAGCCCCACCCATCTATATGATATGGGAAAACATAGAAATGCTAAACAAGGAAGATCAACGCCAAGAAAAAGGGAATTTAATGATAATAAATAAATTATAAACAACTAGGAGGAAAAGCAAGTTACTAACTTTAACACATAAATGTTAACTGAAATTTTGCAACTAAACTTAGATTCCACTCCACAAACCTGCCATTAGAATCCAGAAGCAGAGCCCTGATGTTATCTGTATGCCCTCTGAGCTTCAGAGTCTTTGATCCTGATCTCGTGTCCCAGACACGCACAACCTAGAGAACCCACAAAAAAGAAGAAGAAATAAAGCATGCTCTAAAGGTCAGAGACAACATCCCATTATCTAGCTAACGAAATTCAAGCTACTATAGTTCAAACAAACCACCCTTCAATTTCCAAATGTAATAACAGAAGCCTCAAAAAGTCAAAGCATATGCCACATTGTACCTTTTCTGTGCCACCAGAGACAAGAATCGTTCCACCTTCATTCATTGCCAATGCATAAACAGAATCCTTATGGCCTTTGGCAGTAATTGGAATGTACCCCTGAGTTTGGGTAGTGTGCACAGATATACTGTTGCTTGAGCTGATAGTACGTAAGTTTGTCAACGGTAATGAGTTGCCAGAACCATTGATACCATTTGAAGCATCATCAACCATAGCATCATTGCACTTAGAGACTGGAGCAAGCGCAGCTTCAAGATCCCATATAAAAACCTCCCCGCCAAGGCCACCAGAGGCAACAATATTGCTCTAAAATGCACGACACTATTATAGGATCAGAGAACGGATTTGACAAAGATGCACATTTTCAATTCAATCAAAGTATCTATCAGATTCAATGCTAAACATATAAAAACAAGAAAATGAACCTTTTCTTGAAGCAATTAATAAAAAGCATAGGAAGTATGAAGTGCATTACATTTTTGACAGCTGCTGCGAGGCAAGTAACATAATCAGAGTGTTGGCGGAGTGTCCGAGTACAAGTTCCACTGGACAAGGCATTCCATGTCTAGCAAAAACACACAACAACCCATTTTATGAACATAGGAGTGAGTACTGGTATCATCTCAGAAGAGCAAGCACTGATTAGAACAAATAACAGCTCGTGATCAACAAACCTTAAGGGTCGTATCTGAAGAACAAGAAACAAGTGCATTATCACCAACAAGAACAGCATCATTAACCTGCAAGAAAAAAATAACATTTTTATACTCAACCGTAACTTATGCTGTTATGCAGGTGTGATATATTGTTCCGCTGTCATGTTTTGTGGGTATGAACGGCTCAGCATTTCCATCTCCTATTAATGTAGCACATAACAAATTAAATGCTAATGAAACAGGGTTTTAGAATTTAAGGACAAGTGTAAAATTTGAAGATTGATTACAAAACTTGGGAACATTGACATATTAAACACAAAGAATTGGCTAAAATTCAAGAAACTAATTGCAGCCATTTATAGTAACATAAAATAATTAGACAAAAAAAGGATATTTTCAAGGAAAAAAAATGGCCAGGAGAAACTTCAGAGGATTAGGATTTCAAAATATAATAGAAGGAAACCAGAATAAAAAAAAAAGGCAGCCTAAAAAAGAAGTTCAATAATGCAGTGATAACTTACCCCATACAATATTCGATCAAATCTCAGTTGTACTTGCAGTTTCAGTATTCTCTTTAATACAAGATAATCTAATGGATTTTTGTGGCCTTTTACTTCCCAACAATGCCTTTTCTACTAGAATTAAGCTCATTAAACTTTAACACACAAAAAGAACACCACAAACCATTTAAGAATGTTTGATAAAGTACTCTACAAAATAAAATAAATTAAATTCAATATCAAAATCAAGCAACGACAGACCTCCTTTGCAGATCAAAGACTAAAAAACAATATTCATCTAAATCAAACACCACCTACAGGCCCCACACAATCAATACCAAGATCCGAAGAATGAGGCAAATTTTGCACATATCATGGTAAAAAGCTTTCATATGTTGCATCATATATTTTATTACATCTTTTGACCGCACCACTGAGATTGGGCATTTAAGTTTTTTTTTTTTTTTCAAAAAAAAAATCATTAACAATCTAACATGAACTCCACTTAAATACCCCTGGTAGGAAAAAGCCAAAAAAAAAAGAGAAAAAAAATCCATTGTAGATGTAGCTTCATCAAGTAACTGTAGTAAAGAAACATTGCTACACTCCAGAGGCTATTAAATTAAATGTCACTATGGAAGGGTAGAAAATTAAAAAGAAAAAATAAACATAAGGATTACCCAATCCACATGAGATTCAAAGGTAGCAGAGCACGTCGCTGCATCCTCAGCTAGTGCCCATCGTTTTAACCTGCCATCACGGCTCCCAGTGAAGAGATAATCAGACCCATCAGATACCGCAGACGTAAGCAGAGCCAAACAATTTATGCCTGCGCAATGCTGCAGAAAATAACCAAATTTCAAACGAATGTAGACAGTGCAACTAAAAAAACTATCAAGATTGATGCAAATTTGGAATCTACGATATGACGCCTTTTGAAGCAAAATGCCAAGTACCTAGCAGAAAGGAGTCAAGTACCATACATCAACATTAACAACACCTTTATCCCAAACTAGTTGGGGTCGGTACAATAGTGTCCAACAAACTATTGATGAAGCTTTGATTGATTAGAAGTTAAAATATTGTGTAAATATTAAAAAATAAAGGGAGAAATATCCAAACCACCAAAGGGTCTAAGCCTAATATTAAAAGAGAGAAAATAATATTAAAATTTAAAGTAAACCTCCATTTTGATCCTTGTAAAATATTAGAAACATCAATTTGATCCTCAAATGATGGGTTTTGACATCAAAATAGTACAAATGCTGTTTACTAGGGCCAAATTGATGTCATTTGATAACCAAAGGTTATATAATTTGAGGACCAATTTGATGTCACTAATCTTTCAAGGAGTACATTGAAGTTCCCAAAATCTTTTGAGGAAAATTGGGGATATACTCTGAAATTTAAATTATTTTTTCATCCAACTAAGTAGAATATGTTTGTATTTATTTAAGAACAAATCAATTAGCCTCAACTAGTTAACAGGTTTAGAAGCCCAATGAACTAAATTATTGTGGGGACTAGGATGCAATGCAACTACAGGAAGCAAGCATGAAACTTGATTGTTTTAATGGAACAAATAAAATAAAGATATAATGAGCTCACCTTTGTGTCATCGGAATCATTCAACACGTAGGTTAATCTCTTCTCCTTACGAGGACGAGTTGAGTTATTTGTGTTACCCGCACTACCCACGCGGTGCATTGCAGAAACTAGAACAGTGCATAAATCACATAGCATAAGAAGTATAACCAGGAGATATTAAAGAAAGCGATTCTGAACAAGGAATTTTACTTAGGAGCATTTCCAAGCGTTAAAAATAAAATCTCTTTAAAAAAATTCAGATGATGTAGTTTATGAATTATGACCGTTTATTTAACAAAAAAAGTTCACAGTACAGAAGACCTCTCTCAAGGGCAGAGTTGAAGACATATCCAAACACTTCCACTTCCACAGAAGCCACATACATAAATGCATCAGGCATAACTGCCGCATAACCTAGGAGCTCTTAGGTTAAATAAGCTAGCACTAAGAATTCTCTATAACAGTATCTAAGTGTTATCAAATGTTTTCTGCCATCATATGAGAAGGACTTTAATCTTCTCAATATCTCAACCAGTGGTACTAAAATCTACAATTCCGCATCCTGGATCAACTATTTATTTTCTTACAGTCACACAATGGTAACCTCAGTATCCAAGCGAAGCTCAAACCCACCTTCTACACTATTTGACTTACCGGTCAAAGCATAATCGCGCATCAAACTCATCAACGACTCGATGAGAATCAAATTAAAAGCCACAGCAACATCATCAATCAACAAATATAAACCTGTAAGATATACAGAACGAGCCCCCCCGAAGCTATCGAATACCCCAAATTATCCCGATACACAAATAACACAAAGGAAAGAGAAGGAAAAAAAAAAGGTCAGAAAACAAAAAACATAACCCTTCACACAAATTAACTAGTCCGATCATAAGGTTAGGCACTTTGCAAAGCGCTCTGAGCTAAAAGCAGCTTATTATACGATGCACGAATTTTATTTTTATTTTCCTAGAATCGAAATCAGTAAATAATCGAATAAGAACAGTGCAAGAAAAAGGAAAAGTAGTAACCGTGATCAGTGATGAATTCGAAGCACTTTTGAGCTCGTTTCCTTCTATAGCCGAAGTTTCAACTTTTGCAGAGAGAAAGTGCTTACCAGATATATGTAGTGAGATAGAAGGGGTACAGCAAACGTGACTGTAAATATGGGTGTTCTTATTCTGCCGGATCCTTCAACGTTTGACCCGTTTTGTGGTTTTAATCGAGGGCAAGATAGTCTTTTACATTCGAACCATAAACTATGTAGAGGAAAATTGCACTTGTACCCGTTCATTTACGAAAATAAAATTCATATTATTAACTTTTTAAAGAAAAATCAGAGTCATTTTACTTTGTTTACTTTACTCATTTCTTTATTGTTGATGTGAATATAAATGTAATTTTAATTTTAATTTTGATAAGAGAGCTTGTAACAGCATGTGTTACAAGAAAAGAAAAGTAGTGAAAGTTTGTTTACTTATGATTTAGGGTCATGTTACGCGCCCGCTTGGTTTACCATTTGATGGCCACATTTTGGGAAAGAAGTCTTTCAACGCGTGCTGATTGGATTGCAACAGCAAGCAATGCGTGCAGACTCACTCGGTTAATAGCGAAATTATTAAGGTGCTGCGGTAGCAATATTATATTTATTCAATGGGCAAGCCAATCAAAATTGGATAGAGAAAATATGATACGCGTATAGAAGAGAGAGAAAAAAAAAATTAAATCATGTGTCATTTTTTTTAATGAAAGGAGCACGTATATTCGACTTCAGACTAGATCTATTACTTCCATATAATTAAATAAAACAAATTCAAATATAAAAATAATATTTATCCAAAAAAACATGCCATAATTTTTTTTTAATATGTCGGACCTATAAATTTATAGGCTAATTTATATTATATTATTTATTTTAAATAAAAAATAATATTATTATTTTAATAATTTTGAATTATTAAAATAATAATTTATTATTAAATGCATAAAAAACTTAAATAAATTAACATTTTTAGATCAAGATTTTTATTTTTTAAATATAAATCATGTCAAACTTATAATTTGAGATGTACCAGACTGACACATTTGTCCAGACTAAAAATATTTTATATAGACTTAATCTCATTAAGGTAAAGCCTAGCCCGATCCAACCTATTAAGACCTTAATTATGTCTTGTTTCATCTGTTGTCAAATCTCCCACCCCAACAAAACAAACAAGTTTCTTCGTCATTGCTTTGGTTTGTTCGAATACTTGTGAATTTACTTCGTTACTTGTTATGTTTTTTAATCATTTCATAACCTTTTGTATCTTTTTTATCATTAGAATGTTCTATACTTGCCTAGGCTAGCACAGTGCTACTTTAATGCTTACATTTTTTAGCATAACATGTTAATTTTATTCTATGATATAGAAGAGTGAAAAAACAGCACTATAAACAATATCGGAATATTTTATTCTCCCATTTTTTTATGTCTATCTTATCTATCATTTTCTAATACGGTTATATCATAATTTTAAGAGGAGAGAGAAATAATAAAAGTTAGTTGGAATTTTAATCTAACGGTGTTGAAAAATAATAAAAGATGTATATATATAAAAATGTAAGTAGAATAATATATCCTCTTTATATTATATAAATTACAAAGAGATTTATTTCTCACCTAATATTCTGAAAAAGGAAAAAAATTAAAGAAACAAGGAAATTATGCGTACAACATCTAAAAAACAGGTATAAAGAATGGTATATAAACTTGCAAATAAGCATTCAAAGTTAATATGAAATTTTTGAGCTGAACAGTTTCGAATTAAAAAATATTTTTTTTTTTAAGATATTCCAATCGATTCATCATTTTACGATTACTTCGATTTAAGGTGGATCTCAGGATTAAAATTTTAAATTCTTTTTAAAGATGTACTGAAAGGATCGAATATATGCCTTTATTCTTACCTGTTAAATTTTTTTTTTTTGGTAAGCACCTGTTCAATTTTTTAATGTCAACTGAACTATTATTATTTAGTAGAAAAAATGGTAATAAAGCCAACGGGTACACATAATGCATTATTTTTTCTCTTGTGTGTCCGTAAAGAAATTGTATGTGTTTATTGTTTTTAAGAAAAAGTATATATAGTTGACTTCATGATCATAGTGCGTTTGTTGATGTTATCCAAACTACACAAATCCAGAATTATAAGGAAGTGCGGTATCACCTTTTATTTTATTTTATTTTAGTTAGCCGTGTTAATTAATTGGTTATAAATTTTTTGTGTTTTCACATAATTTAGTTCGCACAATTTTAATATGAAACTATTAATTATTGATTTTAATAAAGAAAATACTAATAGTAATAATTATGAAGATGATGAATAAAAGCGATTTGTTACATGTAGATCTTGTAGCCCCCTAGAGATTTAATTCACATTTCTCTATTTCTTAAAGCCTCTTCGCATTTTCTTATTTATAAGTGTTTAATCTACATAAAAAGGACATCAGCCCAAAGTAGTTCTATTACCTATTTGGCCACTGGCTAGTCTTTGTTGTCCAAATCTTCAACCCCCAATCCTACAGAGGCAATTACGAGTACCTCCAGTGGTACAAAAGGAATTTGACCCTGTCTGTCATACGTAAGAAAGTCTAGCTATGAAGAAGTTAATCCCCTGCTTCATGCAAAAACGGAAAAGGAAGACCTATTCGAGCAATTTAAGTCTGGTATCCTATACTCTAAGCAGGGGAAAGACTGCCTAGAATATTCTCTTCTTCAGACACTCATGAAGTAGGTATTTGAATTGGGTCGGCCCTTTATCCTATTTTCGAGTAACATGATTATTGGTATTGGGTGAATTAATATATGAATTATTTTTTAATGTGTGACAGACCATTTTAAATGAATAATAATAAAGTCAAATAAGTCGGTATAATTAGCCAAATACAATTTTACAACCTTAAACATGATACTCCTTTTATTTATTAATTTAAAAAAAATATTAAAGATACTTTTTTTTTTTGGTAAAAAAAAGATACTTTTTTGTGGTATGCATGGAAGCATGCCTGCTTAACCTGTATCAATGCAATTTTTTAAACAAAAAAATATAAACTTAACCTATTATTTAATACATATTTTTTCTTACTTCACCTAGCATTTATTAAATGCCAAAACTTGAAATTGGGAGTGTGCACAATAACCTAACCGAAGTGAACTAAATCAAATTGAATCGAATCACATTTTATTGAACAAGTTTTGATTTTTATAATCTAGTTTAAAAAATAAACTGAATCAAAAGAACTCGTTTGAAAAATGGGTTCAAAAACTAGTTTGGAACGGGTTTGTATACCAAAAGCTGTTGTGGAACAAAAGTTGATTCCAAACCATAAAGATGTGTATGACAATTTTTCTAGAATTATTTTTTGTTTTAATTTATGTTCTCACGAAGAGAAATGGATAGAAAATTTATTTGGTAAAATTGATTTATTTTTTTATTTTCGGGAAGAATCGGTTTAATTTTTTACGTTGAGGAACAGAAAAAAGAATCAAAAAATTTATATTTTTTTGTTACTGGATACAAAATGAGAAACACTTATTTCTCTGAGTTACTCTCTACCACTACCATCATCGTCATCACGACCATCGCCACCATCATCACCGCCGTCGTTGTACCACCAATGTCGTCGTCACCACCACCGCCGCCACCATCACCACCATCACCACCTTCACCAACCACCACCACCATCATCGGAACCACTTTGTCACCACCACCACCACCATGTCACCGCCATCGCCACCACCACATCCACCCCTGTCACCAACCACCACTCTACTATCGTCGCAGCTACTGCTATCACCACCACCACCACCATTATGCCACCACTACCATCTTCGTAGCCACTGCCATCGCCACCACTATCACACCACTATGCCGCCGCCATTACACCATCATCGCTGCAACTACTTCTGTCACTACCACCACCACTGTCGTCACCATTACCACCACCACGCCACCACCACACCATATGAAAAGAGAAGTGATGATCCAAAAAAAAATGTATGCTTCATAAAAATTATTTTTATTATATTATTTGTTGTATTATCAAACGCAATTTTCATTTTCAGAATAAAAATAGAACATGTTATCAAACATATTTTTTTTCTCATAAACTGTTCCAAGACACATAGATATAATAGAATTGTTTCTTTTTAAAAACAGTGCTAGGGAACAGAATAATTGTTATACACGCCCAAATTGGTTATGAATCATTTTTTTTTTTAATAAAAGTAGTTCAATTCGAAATCAAATCAGTTTAAATTTCATTTCAATTCAAAAATCAGTTCAGGTGCATACCCTTTCGTAAAATCGAAGTTAATTGTGATTTTTTTGTATTAATAAAAGTTTAAGTGGAGTTAAATATTGTGAGAAATTAGCCGGCAAAATTTGAACTCACATCCTTAAAAGATATTGATAAAACCATTAACAAATCATATCCATTTTTATTGACAGTTCATTATGAATATTATTCTTTAATCAATTTGTCAGGTTCATTGGTCCAAGGCCCAATTACATTTCATTCACCATAAGCTAACTCAATTAATCATAGTTGAGCCGCACTACTTTGATAATCTCTCTAAATTTTATTAAATCACCTACATCTATAGCTAATAAAAAGACATTGCCATCAGAGGCTATTGCTAGGTCTATTCACGTGAGCCTCCAATGAGGTCATCCATATACTATAGATAAGGGCACTTAGGGAGTGTTTGTTTCAAGTTTTTGGAGAGGATTACCGGTAATCCTTCTTTGGTAAATTTAATTACCATGTTTGGTAGAAGGAATAAGTTACGATTCCCGGATATCCAAGGATTACCGGTAATTTGATTTATAAAGAAAAGTCACTATTCAGATTACCAAAAATAATATGGTAATTTGGAATACCAATCAGAATACCAAGTAAAGGGAAAGCACAACAATAAATTTTGAGACAAAAATACCCCAATACACATAAAAATCTAGACCCAATCTATCAATTATAAAAGTAAAAATAGTTTGGGGTTATTTTTGTAAAATAACCTCATATTCCAAGTCATATTTCGTTCTAAACCAAATATGGAATCAGTAATTTTTACCCAGTATCCCCGGTAATATTTTGGCGAACCAAACACATCTTTCGTAAGATTCCAAGTAAACTCAATTTCTACTGAATTCCCATTAATCATGATTCCCGGTCACCAAAAAATTTCTCCTGTACCAAACACACCCTTAAGGTACTCAATTTTTTATTTAAGTTGTGCAAGGCCACAAAGTATTCTCCATCAAGATTTTTACATAACTGCGCACCCAAAACTCAAATTTGCAACTATAACTTAAGTTTGAATAAGCCTTAGTTGATCCGCATATTTGGTGGTAATATACTCATCTCCTTTTCTAACTTAACCTATTTGAATCTAGGGATGAGAAAAATGAGTTAATCCGTCGGATTGATTTGTAACCAGCAAAAAATTAGTCGATTGAGTTAGTAAAAATAAGCTAACAACCCGAGTCAGCTTAAAAAAATCAAGCCAACTTACGAGTCAAACAGGTTAGTTCACGGGTTGAGAATTTATTTATTTTTAATTTAAAAATACAAAAAGACAATATCAAAACCTATGCTGTCGTGACTTTCTTTTGTTTCTCACACTATCTACTCCATCGGTCACCACTGTATTTCCTTCGCAACATCGCACACTCAAACTTGCCATTTCACCTCTTTCTCTCGCCGTTAGCCTCTCTCTCCTTCTCGCGCCTTGGATTTCGTGTAAGTCTTCTCGTTACAATTTCTGTCTCTCTTCTTGGATCCCTTACATTATTAGGCTTACCTCATTATTTGTTACTGTTCTTCATGTTCCCCCATGCATTTTGATTGTTAAAGCCCTAAAATGTTTTGTTTTTTAAGTTCCTTGAACAGCCCCTTTCGAACGATGCTTCCTGTTATGGAGATGCTAATAAATAAAAATTAATTATATTTTCTGCTTTTATTGCTACACAGATGGAATTAAATAATGCCTTTCTTATCTCCAATTAATTTTTATCACAATAGAATTGTCTTTTTTTTATAATGAAAACCTGCAATTCATAATTATTTTTTGGTTCCCCCCTTCTTTGTTAAATAATGCAGAATTTGAGATGTAGCTGATGCAAAATTTGAGAATCTTCCTTTATAAAGAAAATTCACAAGCCATTCTTTTGACTACACCTATAAGTCAACTCTAACCGGCTCAGATTAGGTTGAATTGAATTTTCTGACACATTTTTTTTTGAGTCAATTCTAACTTGACTCATTTTTTCAGGTACACACGGGTTGAATCGGGTCGAGCCGTGTTTTGCCAATTGAATATTTTTAATCTAAATGTCAAAATATATTGTAAGTACAATCCACACATCTTCTTAAAAATACATGGAGAAACAACTTAAAATCACCATAAAAAAACTTCATCAACACTATTTGAACTGTCGATATATTTAAATATGATGAAACAATATTATAATAACCAGAGTGCTATAATTAGAAGACTAAATTGCCGTTCTAATTTCTGAAAAATTCACTTATCATCAATTTATTTTTATTTTTTTAAAAATCTTATAAGTTATTGAAAGATTGAAAATGATATCAAAATGGCGCTTTTGTGAAGTTACTACATATCAAAATAGGAAAAAAAATGTGTATCATTTTAAAAGATGTAAAGTTGCGTCATTTTAAGTGAGAGAAAGAGATAAATAAAGGAAAAAAGAGAGGTGACAAAAGATATAAAGGTGTAGTGTAGGTCTCACCTCTATGTAAGAGTAAAATAACATAAGTTATGTCATTTAAAAGAATAAACACTTTTCCCATCAAAATAATGATGATTTTTGTTTCTTTTTATGTTTTGACTCTTTTGAGGAGGAATTTAGTATCCTAGATATTTGGAGGAACAAATCAATATCAAGTAAATATTTGTAAGAGGCTAGTCTAAAAGCAATTTAAAGTTATAATATATATATATATATATATATATATATATATATATATTATATTTTTGTATATAAATAATTTAATATTTCTACAGAATTTTTTTTTACCGAGATTTACTCATTTTTACGTAGAGCACTAGCAGTATTATATTTACAAGTTTCATGTTTACAAATTGTATTATATATTACGGGTAGTATATATACTATTTGAGTATGTATTATTTGAACATAATGTAGTTTGTAAGGATATTAAAAAAGAGAGTATGATATTGTAACAACCAATTAAGGGTATCACTAATCAATTTCATCGTTAGATAAATTATATTGATCCAATGGTTATATTTATTTTCATCTTTGTATGGTTATGCTGTTATGATTTTCCATATTTAATGCTTTCACATTAAATGTGAAAAATCATAATCACACACATGTGAAAATAAATATAAAGTATTAAATACGAGAAATCATAATCATATAAAGATAGAAATAAATATAACTGTTGAATCAACATGATCAATCTAACGGTGAAATTGATTGCTAGTAACATTGTTAGTAATCCTAATTGATTGTTACAATATTTTATCCTTAAAAAACAAATTTGTACAATAATATTAAACTCATATAAAAAATAAAAATTAAGTCGACGCAATAACGCCAAGTTGAAAACGGTGTCGTTCAGGGTGACTACAGGGGCAAGGGAAATGATGACCATCGCCATTGGTTCATAGCCGCGGAATCACATATGGCTCTGTTAGGAATGCCGGCGACGTCGAAGGGTATAGTGGTAACAGTGCCAGTTCTGGTTCTCTCTGCTTTAGTGGCCACCGTTTTTCTCTTCTTTCTCTTGTCCAGTCTCTCTTCTTGTTCTTGCCCTTCTAACACTCCCCTCTCCATTGGAAACGGTGTCGTCTCTGGGAATGGCAATTCTCTTCCCTTGACGACGACGCAGGATGACGTGGAGTGGGTTAAAGATCAGATCCGAATGAATGGCCTTCACATGAGTGACAACGTCCTCCGCAAGGGCATTAACCCTCGCACCAGGGCTCACCAACTCGACGATCTTAGACAGTAAGCCCCAATTTCAACGTTGTGATTTGATGGGTTGGTTTCATAACTTATTGTAAGCTTATATGCAAGATTAAACTCAAGTTTGTTTGCATAATTTCTGTTTAATTATGAAATTTTATTTCAACGTTGCATAACCTGCGATTTTAGGTGATTGCCGAGGTACAGTAATGGTATGCTTGGTTGCTGATAATGGCGGGTTTTATAAAAGTTAAATATAACACAGCACATTGCTCAAAGCTATATGTTTTTCTCTTTAGTTTGGTCTGCATTTTTGTTATTACAATTTAAAGAATGAAATTTTGTATGCTTTTTCATTATCATGCCCTTGAACCTGGAATTGCTATCTATTACCACTTAGGGTTAGTTGTTGATTAGTCACTTTGTTGGTAATTAGTTAGATTATTAGTTACTTCTCTACTACTATATAAGTCACACTTTGTGGCTCCCTTGTAATCAACTTTTATCATTAGTTTGATTTCAGTTTTCTCGCACACCTTTTTGTCTCCCAATTTCTCTTGCTCTTGCCATGTTTGTTGGCACTATCCTCTTTTTATATCCATTTTCGATCCCAATTTAAGGAGCCCGATGATTTTTTGTTTATTGCTACATTTCATGTATATTTTGAAGCATTGCAATTGGTTACAATTTCTAATTCCTGCTTTTCACTATTTATAGATTTAAAGGTATATCGCACTACGAGGGAGCTGATTCAGATAACCACACAGCCCTACCTTGCCCGGGGGAGCTCCTTGTTGAGGGGCACCATAGCAACTACGGCGAACCTTGGGCTGGTGGAAGAGATGTGTTTGAATTTCTTGCTCAATCCGCTAAACTCAGACCAGACTCCCGTGTCCTGGAGATTGGTTGCGGCACTCTCCGTGTTGGCTTGCATTTCATACGGTACCTAAATCCGGACCACTACCATTGTCTTGAAAGGGATGAGCTCTCTCTTATGGCTGCATTTAGGTATGAGCTTCCTTCCCAAGGCCTCTTATCTAAACGGCCTTTGATAGTGAAGGGGGATGATATGGATTTCAGTAAGTTTGGTTCTGGAGTTGTATATGATTTGATTTATGCTAGTGCTGTATTTCTTCATATTCCTGATAAACTTGTGTGGGTTGGACTCGAGAGGTTAGCTGCTAGATTGAAACCTTATGATGGACGAATTTTTGTGTCACATAATATAAAGTTCTGTTCACGGCTGGGAGGAGAGGAATGCACGAGGAAGCTTACGAGTTTGGGACTTGAGTATATTGGGAAGCATACACATGATAGTTTGCTATTTAATCACTACGAGATATGGTTTGAATTCAGGCGTCCCAGGGCTTGATTTAGACGCGGGGCATGGGAAGCAACTCGGAATATTCTCACTGCATTGATCGTGTCTTTGTTCAGAATGTCATTCTTTGCACAATTCTCATGAATTTTTTTGGCTTGGGGAGCATAAAGGTGACAATTATTTTAGCCAGCGGTTCATTTGTGCCATAAGTATGAATTCGGTTTTCAGTCTTTTAAGATAGAGAAGGATCATCTATGATTTTGACGAAGGACTCAACAAAGAACAAGGCATGCGTGATTTATTGTTATCTCACAATGAAAAGGCTTGCCATGTATATACGTTTCTGGTCAAATTATTTTATTGTATTTTAATCTTTGATGTAACGCTTGTATTTTAGCACTTATCCTATGTTGCAACTGATTGTTGTGATACGAAATATTACACAGGATACAGAGTGACATTTTTAATTATATAACTATTTTTAAAGATAATCTTTTTAACTCGAGCATTTTGGCCAGTGCCCCCCAAATTTTACAATCAGTATGTATGGTAAAACCGTGCTAAGGTGGAATGGTGGATGGTAAGGCTGCTGTTAAAAGTTACAGGTTACAGCTTGAACAAGATTCAAGGCCAATATAATGCCAAGAAATGATGCTGAGATTTTCGAACGGAACCTGTCGAAGTGATTGATACACGCTGCCAGTGTTTACAAAAACTATACCCGTTCATTTAATTGGCATCACCTAACGGGGTGTTTGGTATCCGTTTTTTCTTTTCTTTTCTCGGGATAGCTAGGTAAATGAATCCCATGTTTGGTTCGTCTAAAATGAAAAGAACCCAGAGTTCAAATCTTTTCTGACAAATCCTATCATGTGTTATCTACAGTACAAAAATCAATTGTGAAAGACCATTGAAAACTTGGAACTCTGTCGATCCCGGGGAAATATAACACGAGGCGCGCGAAATTTGACATTTCTATCCTTAAAAAGTAATAGCAAGTAGGAATATCTTTATAAAGGCAAGTGAAACTTTGCCATGATGCATAACATTTCCACGGGAAGAAAGAGTCCACCGTCGAAGCTCTGGGTTTCATTGGAATGGAGTTAAGAAGGTATGGTGGTAGAGTGAAATCATTTTAATTTTTTTTTGACATAATTTTTTAATTTTTATATAAAAAAAAATTAGAGAATGAAGATCTAGAAAAATAATTTGAAGACAATTTCCATCCTCTTTCGTTCTTTACGGTTGGCAACTGTTAAGATTCAGGATAACGGATACCCTCCCAACGTTTTGATTATTAATCTTGTGGCTTTATTAAAAAAAAAGTTAACCTGAGGTCAATTTCGTCAAATAACATCTCTTTCCCACTAATATTTCACAACTAACCAAACACACATTCAGTAAAATTACTCATATATTCCCGGGAAAATTTTACCATACCAAACACCTTTTACTAATATTCCGGAAAACATCTCACTGTATTTCAGTAATAATTGTTTCTCAGATTTTAAAAAATTTCTCCTCTACCAAACGCCCCATAAATCTAATCTTATTTTCTCTCTTCTTTCCAAAACGAACGTAAGCATTTTTTCTTTCATTTTTTTTCTCCTTTTTTTTGATAAAACATTGCATTTTCATCTTCATTTTCTTTCTTTTTTATTAATATTTCAAACAAGAAAGAAATACTATTTTTTTTTACCATTTCTTCAATCCTGTTATAAAGACTTTTGTAGGTGTCACTGTCAGCTAAATTACGACCTTATTAGTGATCAGTTAATAAATCAAAAAAAAAGTTTAAAGTTGAAATAAGTAAATTGTTTTCCCAAAGAAAAAAAAAAGAAATAAATAAATTGTAATTTAATGAAAATAGGAGCAGGTGCATTGCACACTATTTCGAGCATTGAAACGAAGTCGCTTTGAATCCAACTTCAACATTTGCGTTTTGTGGGGCAAATGATCTAACCTCGTTCAGTCCTATAGGAGTGTATTGCAGGAGTTGTTGGGGAAGGTGAATCAACGATTCGATGCCTGCTGTTCGCATCGTAAGGAAGATATGTTGTTCGGTAAAAAAAAAGTGTGACTACCAGTACCGATCAATCTTCTCTACGGCGCAGGTGCAGGGTTCATGGGTGGAGAAGGTCAAAAATGTCTTCACAGGCCAAAAGAGCACCACAGAGGGAAACGCATCCCAAGTCAGCTCCGACTCATTTACCCTACTCCGTGAGTTCCTTTCGAATTTCAATTTGTCCCTTGCTTGTGTTTTCTTAGGTTAGGTTAGATGATTCGTGCAATTTTTACACATAACAGGTTTTGCGGATGAAATGAAGAATGCAAGAAGAATTGGAGCTTTTAAGCAGTATATGGTTGGACGAAGCAGCGAAGTCACCTTTTCCAATGCCTTCGAGAAATATGAAGCCATAATTCGATACCTTGGGGGTTTGGACCCCACTGGAGAGGTTCCTCTTCTTCTTATCAAGTTCGAATTGTATAGGCACTCTCTGGCACCATAGATTCATGGTTCACAAATGCACTATGAAACTGCCTATTCTCGAAACTATTAGTTCTTTGCATTCGTTGTTTATTTATCAATTTATTCTTTTGGCTTTTACCAGGAAAACATCTCATGATTTATTTTATTTTATTTTATGTTTTTTTTTCGTGATCTTCAGAACCTCCAGAGCGCTCAAAAACAAGAAGCGGCAAAGCTTTGTAATTGCACAATTGCTGATGTAGAGAATGCACTTGCGAAGTTTACTTGGGCTAGAAAAGCCCAGAAGATGATAGAGAAGTTAAAAGAAGAAGGAAAACCAATGCCAACAAGCTTTGCTGAAGTAATGCTCCTCGCTATTAACTTAACTTCTTTACAACTCAGTTGGGCTCAATACACCATCTTATGAAGAAATTTTAGTTTGGTGATAAATTGTACCTTTTGGATGGTTTCATTAAATGCTTACCCGTTTTACTTTTTAAATCCTGCTTTCGTATTGGTTCTACTTGAAAGTTAGGTCTTGATCCAAGCATTTTTATCTTGACATTTAAGTTTGATATAAGTAGCACAATTTGAGTCTGTGTGCCTAGCCAGGTGCCAACCTTGGGTGAGGTCCATAATTTATTTTCAGTGATAATTAAGAAAGGAATTGCTGGCTTCTTGAATGGGGTAGTAGAATTTCAGAATTAGAGCCTTAAGACAGATTGATGTGTACTGGACTGGAAGATGTATTTATTTTCTGGATGGCAGGAGCTGTTTAATATTAGGTTGCTTATGTTAGCCTTGAAGCATTCTATATATTATGTGGTACTTTTGTTAAGATCCATCAGAATTTCATCCTTGATTTTGGTTTCTGTTACCGGCAGTGTATTGTATGGCATCATGCCTCAAATTTAAGTACGTAATATAAATCTTGATGTCTTTGTGTGTGTGTTTTATATTTGTTCTTGTCTTTTATTGTTGGTAATTTGGTATTTGATATTTCATTCAGAATTGCTTTCAAAACATGCATGATTTGGATGTATACATCTAAAGCAAACGAAGTCATTAATCAACTTCTTTGTTAACTATGATATATGTGAGTTAGTGAGTATATGCAGTAAGATAAGAACTCTACTTTGCTGTGTCAAATAATTAGTGTGCAAGCGTTTCCTGGTTCTTGTAGGGGTGTTCATTTGAGTGTAACCAGCCATATTTATATTTCATGCTCTCTAGGTCCAAAAGCTGGTCGGTTCATCTCCATTGGATCTTGCAAAGTCTAATTTGGCTCAATCTGGACAAATTAGCAGGAACGCACTCTGTCCATGTGGTTCCAAGAAGAGATATAAAAGGTTAAAATTTCTCCTTTTGTTTAAAAAAGAAAAATTATTAGACACCAAGCTGATTTCTGACCACTTTTTGGTTTTGTAGTAGTTGCTTGTTCATTGCTTAGGCAAGTGTCTGTCAATGCTTGCTGTAGTTCTTGGGTTTTCTCTTTATATTTTGACACTGTAATTTGCTACCTAATGCCTATTTTTTCTTGCATATCTATAGTTCTAGTGAAACTAAAATTCTTACTCAGCTTTTACAATCTTTTCAAAAACTGGATTTGGTGTTTTAATATGTATTATAGTGTGAAAACTATTGCATGTTTTTTTGTGAATAGTGAACTCTGACTTTTCTTTTTTCATTATCTTCTATCAAAAAAGTAAAAGACCTTTGTGTTCCCTTAATTGTTTTGAATTTTAATATACATGAATCTAGATTTTCAAAATTGATCAGCTTCAATATTTATTTATGAAGGTGCTGCGGAAAAGATTGAAGGAATTCAGAGGTTTAATATTAAACTGCAAGGAAGCCTGATGCCCTGATCTAAACATATGGCTGAATTGATCTGTAGTTGTACTCTGTTTTATTTGGTTCAGATCAAGCTGCCGAGTGCACTAGACTGCAAGCATGCTCACAGTAAGCTGATGTTAGGATCAGTGATATTTTTTGTCAATAAGTTGCTTTAGTTTATTTAGATTTGTAATTCTTGAGTTGCGCATGAGTAGAAACTAAACAGAATGTTTTTATTCCGTTGAAGAATAGTTAGTCAGTTCTCTTCTTTCCCTCACCTCCGCCTAAATAAAAGGCAAGATAATAAGAAAAGAATTGTTGAAGGAAAATATTATTTTGTTGCTAAGTCTTCTCACTTTCTTCTTTCGTCGATCCGATGTGTACTCTAGTTTTAAAAGTTAACATCTTTCAACTAATTTGTCTACCTATTTATATCAACATTTTTTCAATACATCTCTAAAATTCAAGATTTGGTACTCAAGTTGCATTAATAGATTCAGGTTTGAGGTAGCTTTATTTTTCTACATTGAAGATCAATATATGCAATCAATATGCATTTTTTTTTCCAATATATTAAAAATGAATGATCAATGCACTTTTGATTACTATTTGCTTAAATTTTTTAGAAAATAACTGTAAAAAATAAACAATAAAATTTGAAATGAAGAAAATATGAAAAGCCAAGAAAAATATAGATGAGATAAATAAAAGTTAATAAAAATTAATGATATATAATAAATTTAAATAGTGTTAGGATCATTTTACAAGTTATATTGTTAATCTTGATCTTCTGATCTTATTATTCAAATTTGAGCTGTTAGATACGATTAAATCGATTAAGATTTGATGTAAGAGTTCTTATTTTTATACCTGTGTGAGAATATCCTTTTCCATTAAAATATTTTAAAAAAAATTAAAATTCAGAAAAGAAACGTTATGTAACAATTGCAATAATAGAATCTTTTAATATTATATATAGATAGTTACCACCGGAATGAATACTCGTCGCATTCTTGTTTAAGCTGCTTCAAATAAAGCAGCTATGCTTGAAAGGCTGATCAAGAATTCTGCCACCAGAAGGTGTCATTTGTGGTAACTTCTCCCATATACATTTCTGGATGAGGCAGGTCAGGTTTGAGAGCCTGAAAGCATGTTTCCTGTATCTAACCTTTTTGAGAGGGAAACTGTAGTTGTTTTAGCAGGAGACCAAAAGCAACTAGGCCCTGTTGTACATTCTAAGAATGCAGAGAATTTTGTGACAAAATTTGTAATGAATTACAAATGTCATCCAGCATTTCTCGACCTTCTTTTCCATGCTCTTCTATAAAGGAAAGTTAATTGCATAAAAAGAAAATAAATGCTCAGAATATTCTTCTCCATTTGACTGTTCGGAATGGTACCGGGGAGCCCAAAACCCTTTGCAAGAGATACATTCATGGGCCAAGCGATAAACCACAATAAATGGGCCGACACCACATTTTAACCCAAAACCTTAAGGCTGTAGGTTTATGGGTCTTTTGCACTTGGTCTATGTTTAGCCAAGTACTTCTTTACAACTCATACTTGAATACTTCCAATATCTTCCCCCAAGTATGAGACCCAACATCATGCTCTCCCTTAATGGCAACTTCTACTGAAGTCTTTTTTTTTTAAGTATTGGAGTCACACTAGCCTTCTGCGGAAGCCTTGAAACATCACCATCTCTAAATACCCAGCCCAGCTAAATCTCGTCTTTTTTTTTTTTTTAAGTATTAGAGTCATACTAGCCTTCTGCGGAAGCTTTGAAACATCACTATCTCTAAATACCCAGCCCAGCCAAGTCTTTGTAACTCATACTTCAATACTTCCAATATTGACTTCATTCCCAACAAGGAATTTCCAGTTCTATTCATTGGAAATCATATATGTGGCGAGAAAGTAGGCGATAATCGTCCTTCATGGTTCAACCGCGTTTAGATTAGCAAAGTCGTTGAGCTCATAGAAGGAACAGGTGCAAATGAGTCTGATATTGGAGTAATTGCACCTTATTGCCAGCAACTTTTCAAGATTAATAACGTGCTTGAGAAGTGAGAGTGTTGGGAGTGTTAAACAGTTTCAGGGACAAGAAAAGGAAGTCATCATCGTTTCTCCTGTTAGATCTACTGCCAAACACCATAAACTTTGACAAAACTTACTGTCTGGAAAAATTATTCCCTTGTATACAATAAATTGGAACATACGTTATGAAAAACTTCAAGCATACCAACATTATAGATGAGTTGAAAAGAATCCCTGTTTATCACATTGTTTGGGGATCAACGAGTAGATTTATTAAAACAGGCTGCGATAACAGAAAACAAAAACAAAAACGATCAGCAAGTTAATTGCTAGTAACAACAGCTATCCCGTAGTATATACATGTATTCATATTACGACATCATAAGAAATGTTTTTTTTTTCAAAAATAATCTACCTTTATTTGACTATACATTAATGCATTTTATTTGCACTTCAACCCATCGACCTTGCAATAACGCAACTATAGTCACCATCCTTTATAACTCGAGCGAATTTAAGAACACCACTGGTAATTTGTATGCTAAATTTTAAGAGATTGAACGTACAGCAATGTTCAAAGATACTTACGAGCACCGTTACTAATTTCATACTTTATAAGATCTTTATTATCAACTCTAAGCTGCAGAATTTTCCTCTACGTCCAACTACATGTGTTTTGATATCTAGAAAACTTGTACAACGAGAAGTAAAAAATTTACCCATGGAACTCTCACAGCAATAGGTGTAGCTATAAATAAATGGTTCGTTGGGTTGCAGCATGTATGCGCATTCATAGTGATTTACTGTTTTAGTACAGATAGAGGTTCTGCAATCCACAGAGACAAAATACCAGAAACCTAATGCAATCAAGTATGTCAACTTAGTTCCACACTGCATAGAGTATACATAGGAGAGTCCTCATGAGTGTTTAAATAAGGAGGAAGTAGCACCATTGAAACATACTTACCTGGACGGGGTCAATTGGTGATCAAGAAGGCTAATGGCCTAGGTTGGTGACCTCCATTGCACTTTAGGAGGGGTGCCCGCCTAAGGTCTCCTCAAGTGGGAGAGCCTACGTCATAATTTGTGTTAGAGGGGGCCTGCGTTCGCGCGGCCCCTACCCAATCCTAGATAAAGATTTGTTGTAGCTATCAGCTGTTCCTTATGGTTCTCCTTTTATTTATTAGGAGAGAATAATTCAATTGTAATCTGGTGGCTGTGTTTAAGCTCAGCTAGTTGCAGGCTAGAACAATTACGGGTTATGCTAGTATTTTAGTCGTCCTCGAACTAGTATTTTTTCAGGCACTGGTAAATTTTCTTTCGGCTTTGGTAAACATTATGTTGTAGGTATGTGTCGGGTAGGGGTGTAAATAGGCTGGGCTTTGGCCATCCTGGCCCAAGCCTACGTAAAAAAAAATCTGGCCTACTGGCCTATTAAAGGCTTTATTTGCAGGCCAAGCCTGACATGGCCTACAGGCCTTGTAGGCTTCCCACTATATATACTAAGCAAAAAAAATAAATTGTATAGAGCAAATAAAGTTTCATTCATCCATGCACTAGTACTTCTCATAAGAAAAAGATGACAAACAAGAAAGAGTCAACATAATACCTCAGCTCTAGAATGTATATCATAGAGCAAATAAAGTCAAAGAAATGAGAAAAATAAGAAAAATACAATTACTGGATGCTGAAATAAAGTCTACAAGAGAATGTCATTCATTTAAAAATCTTTAAACCACCATCAAGACAAGGGAAAGAAGAGTATTATTGAAAGATCTTCATCAGTAACATCATAATCCAGCAAGGTACCCATTGCTCCATGGTATTAAGCTGCAACAGCATGTAAAATTTGGAGACATTAGACAAGTTTTTTCTTTCATAAAATAAAATAGCACAAAAAATAAGAGATATTGGTATTTTGGACTTTGTGTCTTTGCCACATAAAATAAATATTATTTTATTATTTTATTTTCATAAATTAAATAGGCCAGCCTACAAGGCTGTAGGCCGGGCTTGACAAAATTGGCCTATGGCCTATTTATTAAAAAAGCTTTTTTATAAGCCTACTCTACTTTTCTGAAAGGCCGAGCCTGGGCTGGGCTTAATGTAGGCCGGGCCGTAGGCTGGGCTGGGCCAGCCTGGCCCATTTACACCCCTAGTGTCGGGTTTAGTTTTGGAGTCCAAAATTAAGGTTAGGAAAAGTTTATTCGTCGCTTTTGTATGTGAGGTTCCTTTGATAATCATCTATTAATGATGATACCGAAACACTCTTTACTATAATATTTCCCATGAACTCAGACCAACTATACTTATATTCAAGACTAGTGACACGTTTGAGCCTGATTCCATCTGATTTGTCGTGAGGTTTAATCCATAAACAATACTTTTCTTCAAAACTGCGTTTGTCGGATTATGTAGTAGTTTACTGTTGTGCGTGTGCATATCATGATACAATCATGGATGCGGCATGTACCTCCCCAACTCTAGTTTAATTGTTGATTTTATACACACGGTGTGTGATACAGATACCTGCTCTTGCTATTGATAATCGCTTATTATTAAATTCAGATACAGATTCGTTAATTCACAGATATGAGAGTATAAGAAACCATTTGCGAAATAATAATCCATTCCGTGGTCCAGGTTAGTCCCACAATGTTACGAATAAGGAAATCTGAAGGCATTGTTCGAAAACAAAGGAGCGAGTGATAAGAAATCTAACTATTAACTTAACAATCACAGTTGTTCTTAAACAACTGTTGCTTCAATTGTTTTCTCATCCATCAGGGGAAGACACCGTGAATTTGTCATCTAAAACTTGTGTAGGATTAGAAGGGAACCGGGATGAACTATACATAGTTGATGTTTTTATTTAGTTATTTACTTTTTACAACAAGGGCAATGGTCCATTAATTTCATAATTATTGTTGGTTAATTGTTGTGCTCACCTTTTGTATTGTAGTGTAATTTTCCTTTTTCACTACAGATGAGTTGTGCTCACCTGGAGAATTGTTTGCGTAAGGCAAAAGTTGACAGGAGGGCCTCAAAGTATATAGTTTACCCTGTGTATCTGTTACTAACGTGCAGACTTTTTGAAAGATTCAAGACCTTTGTTTATTCTCCTGGCGTTTGTGTGGCTGGTTTTACAGATTCCCTGCGTAATCTGGCGCAATCTTTGGCCAAGTAATTTACTTACTTTGAAGGGAGGGAATGTATCGTCTAATACAAATTATGCCCAAAAAGGCTCCTTGCAGTTTGTTATATTAAGAGAGCAGATTCACGAATTGTGACAAAGAGGATGATTGAAACTCTTTTCTGTTCTACCTAATGACAGAGATGATGATGATATTGCTGAGTTTTGAAAATGTATTCGTTTATTGTCAACAAAGTTGGTTTCTTATCTGGGCACCGTAAAAAGCTCCTTGAGAAGTACACAAGGGAAGCTGCTAACCAACAGCTTCAGAAAGTATTGGAGGAGAAAATAGACCAGGTCAAAACTTTTTACAATAAGCATCAACTTGAGAAGCAGGTAATTTATTGTACTTTTGTTTATGATAGTTCTGGGATTCTTATTTCTTAATCAAATGTAACAATAAATTATGTCTCCCTTTGAGATGGACTATTTTTTAACTACGGTTCACTTTCTCTGGAGCCAAGACTAAATGCCTGGTGATTTACTTAATAGCATGAATGGTTTTTGTTGTGATTGCATATAAACGTTAATTCTACCCATTTCAAATTCTGGACTGAGTTATATTCTGCTTGTGATTTTGGTACAGGCAAATAAAGAGGTTTCTTTTGTTTTCCTTTGTGCTCACTCCAGCTGGGCATTATGAGGGGATTACTGGGAACTGATCTTACTACTGCTTATCTACTGAATCTGTGGCTATGTTTGTATAACATCTTCCAAGAGGGATCTAACTAATGAGTGTTTGATCATAATTCCAATCATTCAGAGACAAATATGACCAAAACTCCCAATCATTCAAGAACTAAAATGACCCGATACTGCATATTTCACATAATAATTTGATTATTAATTATAAGATTTTTTACCTGCTAAAACAAATCAATTATATTTGAATGTTTGATAAATGAGAGTTCGAGTTGCGGAAGCGGACGCCCGTAAAATCTTAGGAAGTTAAGTCCACACTTCCACCTATTCAATATTAGTTTCTATTTTTTTGTTTAATAGTTTACAGATAGTGATATGTCAAACATACAATTTGAACACAATGGAACATCCATAAGACATTTTTAGACACAGGACCGAACCCAACATGTTTGGTTTCCATTATGTTCAAGGTTTACACATAAAACGTCAAGGGAGAATTAAGTGTGTGGCTCTCATAGGAATATGTCATCTATGAGATATTTGACCAGCTGAACTTAGGCCTAAAGAACTTGAGCAACTAGACACATGGCCTCTCATCACCTGAAATTTGTGCCATCTAACCCAATGCAACTGAGCGTGGATCTTGAATTCAAGGTCATATGCACAATTTGGTCTATGGGTTTGGAGTTGAACCTGAATTCAAGATCTCAACCAGTCCGTCCCCTTGTCAGGGTTGGCGTTCAATATGCACAATTTGTCCAACATTGTAGTTAGGTCAAGATGGTCTGCAAACAGTAATTTTTATGGTCTCATAATGCCAAACTGGAGCGAGCACAAAGGCAAGTAATTTTTATGGTCATAAAAAAAAAAAACTCCTCTTTATATGGCCAGTTGTATATACTTATTACAAACAGGAAATTGAACAGTCAAGAAATTGAACTAGGCAATTTTCACATTCAAAATAAGAATTAATTGCACGATGACCCGACAAATGTAAAGATTATACTAAAATTGGGTAGGGGCCGCGCGAACGCAGGCCCCCTCCACCACAAATTATGACGTAGGCTCTCCCACTTGAGGAGACCTTAAGCTGGCACCCCTCCCAAGTGCAATGGAGGTCATCAACTTAGGCCATTGGCCTTCTTGATCACCAATTAACCCCGCCCAGGTAAGTATGTTTAAACGATGCTATTTCCTCCTTATTTAAACACTCATGAGGACTCTCCTATGTATAATCTAAGCAGTGTGGGTCTAAGTTGTCATATTTGATTGTATTAGGTTTCTAGTATTTTGTTTCTCTGGATTGCAGAACCTCTGCGGGTATTAAAAACAGTAAATCATTGTAAATAGGCATACATGCTACAACTCATGAACCATTTATTTACAGCAACACGTATTACTGTGAGAGTTCCAAGGGTAAATTTTTTAATTCTCTAAGCACAAGTTTTTTGAGATATCAAAACACATGCAGTTGGACCTGGAGGAAAATTCTGAAGCTTAAGAGATGATAATAAAGTATGAAATTAGTAACGGTGCTTGTCTGTTCCACTGGGTCACTCGTTGTGCTCTCAATGGACTATGGTAATTGCACATTTAGAAGTATTTCCAACAGGGATTGATTGTGGCATCCCATTTACCGAAGGAAAAGGGTGCAGATATTAGTACAAAACTGGATCTGGTCATATCTTAATATTTTTTTTCTCTCACGGAAATACACGATCTCAGTATCTAACTATTATGTCTTTCTCATGACTTGAAAAAGTTTTTCTTTTACACTTTACTGTCCCACCGTGATGCTCATTCTCGTACCTAATAACAGAATGAAGTAGTACCAAACAATGGCGAGATGCACTTTTGACGGCTTATATATGACAAGAACAAAATAAAAAATGAAAGAGGCGGCAAAACTAGAACAGCATGGAATGTATGTAACAGCCATTAAGCCTGGCGAGTTTTTCAAAATGGGATTCGGTCCGAAGAAGTCAATAGATCGAAACGATTCTAACAGTACAGTGTCATCATAAATATATTCAGTTCCGGTCCAACCAATTGAATTGATTTGTTCTGTATAAATTTTGAAACACCGGGTATAAGACAACCTAATAAAGAACTTGTATCTCAGGGGATGAATTTGGTTGTTTTTAGTTTTTTGCCAATAACTCAATACCTCCTACAAAATAACTGGGCGGTACAAAGATCTAAGTAATGATTTAATGTTAATGTGTTAAATTATTTAATGGTTTAGTCGATAAATTATATAAAATAAGTCTATATATGATTTTCTTTTACAAAACTAGGGTCATGACAAGGATCACCTTACCGACCAATTATAATTATATACGATAAACACTGCCATCTATCTCTATATACAATTCTGTCTATTGTTTTATAGGTTTTATAAGAGTTATGTTGTAGGAAAAGTGATTGTGTAATGTTATAGAGATTCGTTTTGCGTGCCTTAATTTTTTATTTATTTTTTTGTTTTAAAAAGTGTGGGCCCCACAAAATGTTGTGAGAGTAGGAAAGTTTGTTATGTTATGTTAAAGGATAAAACGAAAACCCTTATTTTTATTGATTGTCCGTTTTTTACAGCATATAGATAAAATTAAGCAGCTAACCTTTCAACCTCTCACAACCTATTTCATTAATATTTTAAATTATAAGGTAGATCTCTCGTCTACCTATTGTGTCTAGGTGATGAGAAACAATGTGCAGTTAAATACACTAGAAATAGAAACACGACTTGGCTATTTGCATTTCAATATGGCAATCGACTTTTCAAGAATCACCCTGAGGCCGTTCAAGTTGAGCGACGTAGACGATTTCATGTTATTGGCAGGTGATGATAGAGTGACTTACTATACCCGATGGAACACTTTTGCTTCCAGGGAACAAGCATTGACTTTCATCCAAGATGTGTGTATCCCTCACCCATGGAGTCGGTTCACATGCATTGATGATCGTATAATCGGATTTATATCCGTCTCTACTGGATCAGGTGATGAAAGGTGTAGGGCAGAAATAGGGTATGCTATAGCTGTCAAGTATTGGGGCCAAGGGATATGCACCAAAGCAGTGAGGATTGCAGTGTCACAAGTCTTCAAGGACTTCCCTGATTTGGTAAGGATACAAGCTATTGTTAATGTAGATAACTCTTGATCTTTTATGAGAAAAACAAACATCAGAAACAATATTGTGCAACAGCTTATATTTTATTCTGACTAATGAACTTGTTTTAAATACAAAACTGAGCTCATGCTGTTGCTACTAACCAGGTGATTTTGTTGGTCCACAAAATCAGCAACAAACTAACAAAGCAATAACAGTAAAATGCAGTAAACAAACTCCTAAACAAAAGACTAATTAATTTAAAAAAAAAACTAATTAACTCCTAAAAAATAGGACATTAACAACAACCTTGAAACACCAATATTCTCCTCCTGGATCAAGTGCTGCATACTCCTAGCTTCTCCCTGAGAAATTCAAATCGACTAACATGAAATGACTTGGTGAATATATCTGCAATTTGGTTTTCTGAACTGCAGTACATTAGCTTCACTTCTCCAGCCTTCTGCACTTCTCTCAAAAAATAATACTTGATCTTAAAATGCTTTGTTCTTCCATGAAATACTGGATTCTGTGAAATAGCTAGAGCAGCTTGATTATCCACAAATACTTCTATGCCTTCTTTTTGCTCCAAATGCAGGTCATCCATCAGCTTCTTCAACCATAATGCTTGGTTTACAGCTGCAGTAGCTGCAACCTGCAATGAACTCAGCTTCTGCAGTTGATTGGGCCACTATTTCCTGCTTCTTTGAACACCAAGAAAAACAAGCTGACCCAAATGTAAAACAATAACCCGAAGTACTTTTCATATCATCCACTGATCCAGCCCAGTCACTGTCAGAATACCCTTGCAACTTAAACTTCTGAATTCTGCAGAATTTGATTCCATATGAAAGAGTACCTTTCAAGTACCTTAACACCCTTTTTGCAGCTACCATATGCAGTTCACTTGGACAATTAAGAAACCTAGACAAGACACTTACGGTAAACATAATGTCTGGCCTAGTTGCAGTGAGATACATAAGGCAGCCAATTAAACTCCTAAACTCTTTCATCTGCAGATTCTGATTCATCTTTCTTTTGAAACTTTTCCTTTTGACCCATTGGAGTACTTACACTCTTGCACTCCTCCATGTTGAATCTTTTCAGAATCTCCTTCAAGTACTTCTTTTGATAGATAAAAATTTCATTTTCAGTTTGTCTAACCTCCATCCCCAAAAAATATGACATCTCACCAAGATCAGTCATTTCAAACGTTTTCATCATTTCCCTTTTGAATGCAGTAATCTGAGAATTATTACTCCCTGTTACCAGCATATCATCCACGTAAAGAGACACCACCACTAAGTCAGATGCTAACTTCTTGACATATAAAGTGGATTCACTAAGACTTTTTATGAAACCCAAACCCAGCAAGTGCTCATCCATCTTGCTGTACCATGCTCTAGGAGCTTGCTTCAAACCATAGAGAGCTTTTCTCAGCAAATAAACCTTCTCCTCCTGATCTGGTGTGACAAAGCCTTCTGGCTGCTCAACATAAATCTCCTCTTGCAACTCTCCATTCAAAAAAGCAGATTTCACATCTAACTGATACACTTTCCATCCTTGTTGAGCTGCCAAGGCAAGAATCATTCTAATTGTATCTAGTCTTGCAACCGGAGCAAAGGTTTCTGAGAAATCAACTCCCCAAACCTGTGCATATCCCTTCACCACTAACCTGGCTTTATGCTTATTCACTGAGCCATCAGGATTGAGTTTGGTCCTGAAAACCCATTTTACTCCAATCACTTTCCTGTCCTCAGGTCTTTCTATTAGCTCCCATGTCTGATTTTTTTCTATCATAGCCAACTCTTCCTTCATAGCATTCATCCACCTCTGATCACTTTTAGCTTCCTCATAACTTGAAGGTTCCAAAACAGCCACACTACACCTCTGATATATATCAGTCAGAGATCTGGTACCTCTAATTGGATCATCATCTACTAGCTCATCATAATCCAGTGAGACCTCCTTATGCTTTGCTTGTGGCTCATCTGTCCAGTCCCACTGCTCATCTTCTAGGAACTGAACATCCCTGCTATTGATCACCTTCTTTGTCTGTGGTTGATAGATCTTGTAGGCTTTTGACACCAGACTATAGCCAATGAAAATTCCAGGTTCAGCTTTTTCTCCCAGCTTGTCTCTCTTGACCTGTGGAATGTGAGAAAAACACAGACAACCAAACACTTTCAAATTTTTTAGAAATGGCTTGAAACCAAACCAAGCTTCGAAAGGTGTCTTCTTTTCCAGTACCCTTGTAGACAGTCTATTTAACAAAAAAACAGCTGTGTTTGCTGCTTCTGCCCAAAATTCTTTTGGTAGATTCTTCTCATGCAGCAGACACCTAGTCATTTCCATAATGGTTCTATTCTTTCTTTCACTAACTCCATTTTGCTGTGGAGAATAAGGAACAGTAAGTTGATGCTCAATTCCAGCTTCCTCACAGAAAGTGTTAAACCTTTGTGAAGTGTATTCTGTTCCATTATCAGATCTGATGACTTGATTTTGCAGCCACTTTGAGTCTCAACCCATCTCTTAAACTTCAGAAATATCTCAGCAACTTCTGACTTTTGCTTCATAAAATAAATCCAGCACATTCTAGTATAATCATCAATGAAGATAAGAAAATACCTGCTGCCATTTAGTGAAGGAGTCACGTGAGGACCACAAAGATCTGTATGAATTAGTTGTAGCTTCTTTGTAGCTCTCCAGGTGGATTCTTTGAAAGGAAGTCTTGTCTGTTTGCCCAAAAAACAAGCTTTGCACCTTGTGATCTGCTCCTCCAGGATTGGTAACCCAGTTGCCATTTCATTCTTCTGCATGAATAGTAAGCCTTTGTAATGAAAATGCCCCAACCTTTTGTGCCATATTTCTGAATCACTAGCCTGACACTTGAATGCCGCTTGCTCCTTCTCAAGGGGATTTAGAGAAAAACTCTTCTGTTGCATCTTTATTCTGAACAGCTCCTGACCATTTGAGTCAAAGATCAAACACTTCCCTTCTTCAAATATCACTTTAAATCCCTTTTCTACCAACTGCCCCACACTCAGCAAATTCTGATCAATATCAGGCACGTACATCACACCAGAAACCAGCTTAGTTCCAGCATAGCTTTCTATTGCTACAGTCCCTTTACCTTTCACTTCTAGATACTCTCCATTTCCAATTCTCACTCTTGACTGCAATGACTTGTCAAGGTCTCTAAATAGCTTTTCATCACTTGTCATGTGGTTTGTGCAACCACTATCAACAAGCCAACTATCACATGGAGCACTAGAGGAGAAACAAGAGGCAGCAAATAATTGATCTGCCTCATGCTGGTCTGCAACATGTGCCTCACCTTGCTGCTGATCTCCCTTTTCTTTGCAGAACCTTTCAATGTGTCCAAGCCTATGACACTTTCTGCACTTTACATCTGGCCTCTTCCAACATCTGAAGTGTGGGTGATTCTGCTTTCCACAATGCTTACATGAGGAATGCCCGCCCCAATTGTTCTTAGAGTTGATTGCATTGTTCTCTCCTGCAGCAGCTTCTGAACCACTACTGTCATCTCCTTTCTTCCATCTTACATTATGCTGTTCTTTAGCCTGCAAAGCTCCTTCTGTACTTCCTTCAAGCCTCATTAACCTTCTCTGCTCTTGTGCTTGCAGAGCACTTAACAATTCTGCCAACTTGATTTGAGACAAATCCTTGGTATTCTCCAAAGATGCAATTGTTGCTTCAAACCTTTCGGGCAAGGAAACAAGAACCTTTTGCACTAGCCTATTATCAGAGAGGTCAGTGCCTAGAGCTCTTGCTTGATTTGCAATTTTTACCAACTTATCAGAATACTCCTTAATTGTTTCAGACTCCTTCATCTGCAATCTCTCAAATTGTGTGATTAGATTCAGCCCCTTCATGCTTCTAATCCTCTCATCTCCTTTATACTCATCTTTGAGGAAGTCTCAAATAGCTTGAGCTGATTCACAAGCCATAATTCTGCTGAAAATGGCAGGTGAGACAACAGCATATAAACAAGACTTTGCCTTTGCTTTTCTTGTTATCCTCTCCTTATGAAACTTGATCTGATTGATGGTTGGATTATCAGGAAGGGGAGCAACTTCATAATCTTGTTCTACAGCTTCCCAAAAATCGCAACCCTCTAGATAGGCTTGCATTCTCACTGCCCATGCTTGATAATTTTCTCCATCGAATATTGGTGGAGCCATTGCTGAAAAACCACTTGATCCTCCCTCCATTAATTTCTCAAGTCACTCACAGCCCCTTAAGATCAAGAAGGCTCTTGATACCAATGTTGATCTTTTATGAGAAAAACAAACATCAGAAACAATATTGTGCAACAACTTATATTTTATTCTGACTAATGAACTTGTTTTAAATATAAAACTGAGCTCATGTTGTTGCTACTAACCAGGTGATTTTGTTGGTCCACAAAATCAGCAACAAACTAACAAAGCAATAATAGTAAAATGCAGTAAACAAACTCCTAAACAAAAGACTAATTAATTTAAAAAACAACAACTAATTAACTCCTAAAAAATAGAACATCAACAACAGCCTTGAAACACCAACAATAACAAAGCTTCCCAGAGGGTCTTGGAAAAGGCTGGATTCCTTAGCGAGGGCATGCTGAGAAAGTATGCGTATCACAAACGGATCGTTAAGGATGTAGCTATTTTCAGTCTGCTGGCAGAGGATACTCGTCCTCCAGAGTAACGATCATTGGTATAATGGTATTAGGCAATGCTTCGTGAAAGCGAATTTTTCTCTCGTTTCCGCAAGCTTTAGGCCCCTAATGAAATTGTTTCTCATGTTTTTTGCATTAATTAAATCATTTTTGTAACATATGCTATGCTATACTGTGTTTTTGGGGAGTTGCAAACAGAAAACCTCAAAAATATTTATCATGAATGCAAAATAAAGATCATTGTGTAAAATATATCTTTATTTCTTCATGTTAACTGTAGAAATATAGACATTCTGTCTTGTGGTCCATTTTTCGTATCCTATATGATAGATTTGAACCCTTGTGTCTTTATGGAAGTGGTAGACAATCTTCTAAGCTTTCCATAGAGACCAAGATTGTGTAATTTGGATGAGTAGAACTCAAGTTATGGGTAGAATACCATAGGAGGTCAAATTGTCCTGTTTTTGGGTGTTTGCTGCAGGACAGCCACGCTATGAGCGGCTCTAAGCGTGAACCCCACTGTCTGCCCACGCTATGGGCATGGATCCCACGCTATGGGCATGGGGGTCCTGGAAAATTTAGCACATATTTTCTTAGAAAATGCATAACTTGAGTTACAGTGCTCCGATTTGAGCGCGGTTTGAACCCACGCGTAGCTAATGAAGAATCCTATAATATTTTGGGAAGATTGAGACCATAAAGGCAGTATAGGAAATTTTTAAGTAAACAAAGAATGGATACGTATGGTGTGAGATGAGAACTATAAAGTAAGTACAAGTCTTATAATTTAATCAAAAGCGAAAGAGAGTTTAGTATTGAACTCGAGCAAATAATAATATGATGTTAAGTCTAGTTCTGAATATTCCGCAAGGTAAATAGGTTATGGTCACGCAATTGGTTATTTTGAACTCGGCATTGTTAATGAGGAAAAGTAAATAAGTTTCAAAAAGAAAATGAAATTTATCCGGATTTTTAATTGAACCAATGTGATTGTAACTGCGCTTAATATCATAAAGCAAGGTTAACAAACCGGTTCTAGAACGAGGTGTTACATTAACCCTTTCCCCCACTCCCAAGAATACTTTTTCGTTTTACGTGGTAGATATCAGTTATGCTCCCCAAAGAAAAGCTATGGTTAGTAGGAGTGCTAAACGAGTTATGGGCTTTTCAAGGACCTTTGACTCAGCTCGTAAAAGTCTGAACTTACATATCTAAAATTGATGGTTGGCACCAGACTTGAACTTATATAAAAACTCGTTTAATAAAAAGGCCTCATGCTTCAATTCAAAAACTCGATCTTAGAGCTCTTGGCCTAGTTTATTAATTTTTTATATATTTTTTATATTACTTGTAATAACCTTTTTCTCCTCAATCCATTTTCCTCCATTTTTTTGATTAAATAGACTTTTTGAATGATTTTGTTCTATATTATATTGTTTGGTATACATTGAATTTATGATATTTATGAAATTACTAGTGTTGTTGATTGTATATTCTGTTTGGATAAATTTTTGTTATTTTTTTTAAGCAGGTTAAACCAGACTTTTATTTTTTATAAATAAGTCAGGCCACAGGCCGATAATAATATTTATAACAGGTAACAGACTTAGTCAGATTGACACATTTAAACACAGACTTAGCCTTTTAAAACCAAAGTTGGATTCGACTCGGTCCGTTAACACCCCTAATGGTGATCACTTCGCGCAAGCACAAACTGCGTTGACTAAAGTGCACCTTTTCCTAACAAAACGAACTTCCAAGGAAAAATAACGTAAGGCCGAGTATTGGATCCTGGGACAAGCTATCAACACAGACAAAAATGGCTCCGCAGTCTTTCTTCAGCTGAAACAGCAATTGATGTAACCCTCAACAGTTAACATTTGCCGTACAAGCTTTGACGTAATTCTTTTTCTTTAATTATGTGCTCTTGTTTCATTTGATAACTTTATATACTCACATAGGTCAACTATGCAGCAAGTGTAGCGAACATTATTCACATTTACAAAAGTGAGACATTTCAAGGGGTAGAATTTACAGAAATCTCTTGTAGCATTGGTGAAGCTAGCTGGTCATGATAAGATGGGGTAACTAGACGTTGCAGGGGCTCAAGAGCCACTGTGAGTTGTGCAAATGAGGGACGCGAATTTGGATCCCTGTCAGAAACAGAGAAGAAAAAGTGGTAGGGGCAGAAAACGGTCATCAATTGGAAATAAAAATAATACTTTTCCCATAAATAAATCAAATTGAAGTAGATCGTGCTTACTGTAACCAACATTCCCTGATTATTCTTCCAACTAAAGGGTCAACTTCCATAGGGATATCAAGGCGACGGTTTTGAAACCCTACTGCACCAACAACTTGCATAGGATTCATTTCCCCCCAAGGCAACCGCAGAGTGGCAAGCTCCCATAGGATGACCCCAAAACTATAAACATCACACCTGTAAATTTGAAATCATACATAATTAATAGAGATGCACTAACTAGACAAAGCTTCCGTTGGAAGAAACATGGAAATTGACATATATATATTTGCATCTAAATAGATGTTCAATTGCTGAAGTTCAGAAATTCCAGTATCGCCATTCTCAAATTGCAGTAGTCCTGTCTACCAAGCATTAAACAATTTAGCACAAACAATACAGAAAAACGAAATTCCATATGGTGCCACTGAATGCCATAACTGTGCTGTTATTAACTGAAAGAAAGAATTCTACACCAACTAAAATAGAGATTCGTTGTAAATTACAAAGTGCTTAAAAATTTGGCAAGCCTTTCACATACCAAAAGACTGGTCAAACAGGACTACCAGAACTTTTTTACTTATGACAGTTGAGGCAGCTTCGACTAGCTGCTAGAAGACAAAAAGCTTTGCAATACCTTCCATTTTTTAGGACTCAGTAAAGATTCAGATACTGATTATAGTATAGACAAACAATGAATACACAAATTATATGATAAAATGACAACTAAAAAACGAAAGAAAAAAGAGGCAGCTTAATCATAAATAGAGAACCCACTTCTCATTTGAGGGCTCATTGCGGAGAACTTCAGGAGCCATCCACTCAGGCTAGCACGATGAGGAAAAAACCATGTCAGGGTTGAATATAGAAAAGGCAGATTAAGACACATGCTGCACATGCCTAACCAAATTATCATCCCCAATAATGCATAATTTTCTCAAATTCTCACCGTTCCAGCAGTTGACTTGGATGACAAAAATGTGTTGTGTTTCAAGCGAGACAACCCGAAATCACATACCTATAGAAACATAAAGAAAAATACACCGAAAAAAGAGCAACTTAACGTCAAGCTTAGCTCAAATAAAAATCAAATCCGTAGTCCATAGTTCATATGAGTTGACGCATCCATAGTTCAAATAACAACAAAAAAAAACCACTCCTCGTTAAACCCGACTAGTGAGTGTGGGATGGAAGTAATCCTTGTATGTAGCCTTATCCTTGCATAATTACAAAGAGGCTGTTTCCTGAATTCGAACCTATGACCTTTCAGTCATGAAAGAACAACTTTACCACTGCTCCGGTTCGCCATATTTCAACAAAAATTATTTTAAAAAAATAATCATATAATTGTACATTTTCAATGTCGTGTGACTGTTCAAAACCCAACCAAATCTGACGAACCCAACACAAACTTATGGGTTGGTTGGTTTTCAGCCTAAGATTGGGTTGGTTCAGATTCCTTTGGAAAATTACAGTTGAAGTTAATTTGGGTTAGTGAAATGTTAAAACAGGTGTAAAACAACCCAAACCATCTATTGTATTAAAATAAACCAATTTACATCAAGGCATAATAACAATACAGAGTAGAATGATTGGCCTACCTCTTACATCACAACCTAGTTCAGTCTATTGTCCTAACACTAAATTGCTTCCACATTTGTAGTTGAACTTGAATCCAGATCTTTTTGCTTACTCTTCTATATTTTATTTCTTTTCTCCCTCTTTAATCATGTAGTCATTTAGAATAAATTATATTATAGCCAGCTTGATAAATGTATACAATATTAGGCAAGAAATTATCTTAAATTCAGTACATAAGATTTTTTCACAGGTTATTTTGGAGATAACTTTAATTTGGAAAGAAAATTTGAATATTGTAATTTGATAAACCAAAACAACCCAATCCAATATTTTATGGGAAAAAGTTTTGTCCTTTTAAAGGAGATAAGGTTGTGTCCTTTTAGCAGTTATAAGTTATAACTATGTACTACGGGTAGTACATAGTTATAATATTAAAGTTATACTTTTTATTTATCTCTCTTCAGAAGCTGTCTGCTGACATGGAAAGTGAAAAAAGTACAACTTTAATATTATAACTATGTACTACCCGTAGTACATAGTTATAACTACTAAAATAACACAACCTCGTGTCCTTTAAAAGGACACACTAAACCCATATTTTATTATTTGGATAGGTCATTTTGCGACCCTTTCTGTTTGTGTTATTTTCAGTTAAGTGTTCAAATGTTCTCAGTTTGAGTTGCAGTTAGGCTTCAACACCAATCAACCCAACTGAACACATGTATACTCCTATATGTAGTGTTTATTAAACACAAACAATCCGTTGTACAGGCAGCCATAAATGGCATTTCCTATATATAATATAGACTGGGTTTATATAGAGAGATATCGGTTTATTTATTAAGGCAGGTTCATCCTAGTTTAACTTAACAAAGAAACACAGAATGGACCATCTAGCTGATTATCAACTTTTGCATCTACATATCTCAGACCACAGAAGTTGTAGGCAGTTGTCAGAACAAAAAGCATATAAATAGCCCATGTATACATAAGCATTTGTATGATTGCTCAAGACCAGTCTTTAAATATTAAGAAAATGGTGTGCAAGTTTTAAGTAAAAACAAGACCAGAAATGGAACCCAAAAAATACGCACCTTGCATAAAATGACAAAAATCAGATAACAATAATCAACACCACATTTTCCAGGTCATCAACCGAATTGGCTTCACTAAACTAACAAATATATGCAATTAAAGTAAATCACTACCCATTAAACCCTAACTAGGTAAGGATGAGGGCAATCCTTGTTATCCTCGTATATTTGTAAATAGACTATTTCCAGGATTTGAACCCGTAACCTTTTGGTCACAAAGGAGCAGCTTGACCATTGCTCCAGACTCACCCTCTTAAATATATACAATTAAATTGCAAACAAGAAATTAAAGAGCAGGTATAAATGAAAGAAATGACAAACAACTGAACAAAGCATATTGATAACACCAAGTTTCCATCATATACCTTAACATTCCAGTTCTTATCAACCAAAAGATTTGGGGACTTCAGATCTCGGTGAACAATTATAGGTGTGCTGGTGTGTAAGCAATTCATGCCCCTGGCCTGGAAATTGCAGTGTTGCAAAATTAAAAGCTTTCTGTTTTCAATGTTGGTCCAAAATGAAGAAGGTAAACCTATTTCTTACCACATCTAGAGCCATTTTTATCCTTTGTTTCTCATCAATCTGACAATTAGGACGATGAAGAAGATGATACAAGCTTCCTCTGTAAAATTAAAATCAATGTGAAAATTAGATAAGGAATGGGTATCATAAATTCACGCAACTGTTGACAAATATGACAACAGTGCTAAAGTTGAAAAAGGCCTATGAAATTAATAAGAAGTTACTGATATTGTGTTAAAGAAGAAAAAAGTGAAAAAACTACTAAGATATGGAAATAACACCAAATGTGCAGAAATATACCTTGGAAGAAACTCTGTAATGATGGAGAGATTGGGAGGACGAGTAACAGCACCCATAAAAAGAACAACGTTACGATGACGCAGTCTACGCATTATCCGAACCTTGCAGCAAAAGGATGGCAAGCAAATTAATTTTCTGGCATTCAATAAAATCATGCAACTAATTCCAACCATTTTGCTCTTTCATTTTGCATACAACATCTGCTTTACTTCAAGTTAAATCATTCTTTAACCCCATCAATATTTCCATCTAATTCTTCCAAGTAGTTTTATATCAATTATCAAAGTAAAGGAATGATGATCTTAATTGTCACATGCTTTCTGTATTTTTATCTAATTCTTTTAATGCAAAGAAGATGAACACTGGCTGTATGCCCCTTACCTCTCTTTTGAATTCAGACAAGGCATCTCCTGAAAAATCCTGGTCCAAAAATTTCTTCACAGCAACCTCCTGATATTTCAAAAACAGAGTAACAGTCAGAGAATCAGAGACTAAAACTCCTAACCTCCAGGGTAAAAACTTTTGAAATTAAGCTAACTGAAAGAAATAAACTGAGAGTTTACTAATCTAGAAAGGGATTATCTGCTTTTTCATCCCGCACCCCTTCTTAAATTTCCTACTTTCCTTTTCTTCAGATTTACGTAAGAAAAAACCACTTCTCGTTAAACCCGACTAGCGAGTGTGGGGTGGAGGTAATTCTTGTACGCAGCCTTACCCTTGCATAATTGCAAAGAGGCTGTTTCCTGGATTCGAACCCATGACCTTTCAATCATGAAAGAACAACTTTATCACTGCTCCGGTTCGCCCCCTTTTTCTTCAGATTTACATAGAATATACAAAAAACCACAACCCCGACTTGCAAGAGTAGGGGATTTACATAAAAAAAATTCCCAATCCCTTTAACGAGTTGGTCACATGCTTCTAAGTTCTCAAACTGAGTGAGTAAATAACAAATCATGGACTGATAGTGAGTTAGTAATGTTATTACTTTTATTAAAGGGATTTATTACTCTTATGTTGCATAAAATATAATCTATCTCCTACACACACAAACTCAAAATGGGTCCCACTTTACTTTTTCTCTCTCTTCCCCTAAAAATGGACCCCACTTGCACCAATGAGTGTGTAGGAGATAATACATATCTTCTACAACATAAGAAAACTATTACCCTTTATTAAATTACGAATGTCATTGATGCAAGACAAACTACAAGGAAAACTATCAGTTCGAACATATTTATGCTTCTATATTCATTCTGTAATACAATGTTTTCACTGTATTAACCATCCCACTTCACTTGAAAAGAGATGGGGGTAGTGCAATAAATATCTTGCAGTTCAATCTACAACAATAATCGTCCTGTCATTATAGTACTTACTGTGCCATTCCAGTCAGCACGGTATACCTCGCCATATGAACCTATTTGCAAGAAAGCATGAATTCAAAAAATTAATAAGTAGCACATCTATAGACATGCAGAATCTGAACACCTTAAAAGCCTCACTAACAACCAGTAGACATCTTTTTAAGTTCTTGTCAATCAAGGGTATAAAAATGTAAAAATAGCGAAATTTGAGAGGTTAGATGAGCAATCACAACCATGTGACCATGCTTGCACAATTAGAAATAGAACACCAATTAACAGTAATATGATCACTTAAAAAGTCAGTAGAAATTAATTTTACATCCGGCCCTGTCAATGGTTAATTTACATCAGTGGTGAAATACTAAACCAGTGCTCCAACATCCAACTTACGGTGAATATTAATGATATAAGATATTCCATCAAGAAAATAAATATAAGTCATGCACATTACCTAGGCCAATTCTTTCGCCAATATCCAGATCCTCCCACGGAATCTCACATTCACTGACATCTATATCATCCAATATTTGATCAACCCTGTTTGTGGTGGAATCAACTGACAAGCTGCGACTCATTGGATCCGCTAATTTCAAGTTTTTCCGCACAAATCTGTGGTGTGGCCGCATCCTCTGGTCAAGTTGACCAGTTTCAATGTTTCCATGTACTTTAATCTCATCTACCATGGCATTTTGAGAATTTTCCAAATCCCAATCAACCTTGAGATCCTCAACCCCCTTCAGTTCACCCACACCAGATGGTGAAACCGAACCAGTAACATGAGCTGATTTTTTACTATTTCTATAATTATTTACATTTGTATTGTATGTTGATTTGGATCCTTTGAGATCAATCTTTTCAGATATGGAAGAATTATTGGAAACTATTAAAGGTGGACTATATTCATTAGGATCATGATTAATTTGCCTGGGGATTTCATTGTAAGCATAATGATTCTTCCACATTAATGGGACAGGGGGTTGACTAGATACAGTATTATTTCTTGTACTCTGAAGCTCAGGAGCTTTATTTTCCACTGTTTTGTTATGTGCAGAGGTTTTGCCAGTTCCTTTAATCTGGAATGGGTTAAGATCTGCAAAAAGGTTTCGGGAGTCATCTGGGCTGTTTAGGCTATATGGTACAACATTAATGTTCAGTCTAGTCCCGTCACCAGCCACATTCATTCCGCGAGTCCCTTTGTAGAGAGAAGCACTGGATAATTGTGCAGAATTTTCTAGTTGATTAGGAGTTACTCTATTAGGTATTTTAGAAGGACCAACACCATTGTCTCCTTTCAAATCAAAGTTAGAAGGCATGTACTCTGACTTGTCAAAACATGATTTCTGATTCAACTGTGGTGAACCACCTTTTATCACAGAATTTTGACTACTACCTTCACCATGAGATGGCATTGGTCCTGTGTAAGAGAAATCGGTTTCCTTGGCGGAAGGTAAACTTGGCAAAACCTTGGGATTGTAAGGCATAAAGGAAGTATCCCTTGCACTTGAAATATCAGCTGGGATAAGTGTGCCAGGAGCAGCCATGAGATCAACCAAAAACTCCCTGAAAGCAGAACAGGAGATATCAGTCCGACAGGATCAAAACAGCCCCCAAAATTTCTGGGCACAATTAAGGAGATTTCTAATTCTTATATTAGTCAAAATGCCTACACATATTAAAGAAGATAAACAACAGCACACCATGAATAACAACACATACACATGCGCATACAAATTAATAAGTTTTCATTTACCAACCAATGCATGAAAAATACAAGGATAGTGAAAGTGATAACCTTTCATCCTCCAACTTAATAATGTTGACAGCATCATCCTCAACACCAGTATAGTGACTACCTTTTACCAGTTTACAAGGCATATTGATATTGTCAGCTAATACCTACATCCAAAGAAACAGAAATTACATTATGCAACTAAAAATTGATAAGCAAAAATGTTGAATCTTGGTAAAATCCACAATTATCCATAATATGATCCCCTAGAGTCTAAAATAAAACTAGTAATACTACTGAGATAAATTAAAAAACTTGTTCACCACATCCAAATCGAGAAAACTTTGCAATTATATGAAACCCTGGACCCTAAAGGTTTGAAATTTGCAATAGTGTTAGAGGAAATATTAATGAGTTGAGCCAGCCAATAATATTATTTCAATCTAAATTTAATGATCCAAGCTTTCTCAGTTTCTGTTAAGCAGACTAACAATACAGCCAGAAATATTAATTCTTAATTCACACCCAGGCTAGTTTAGCATAGCAAACTTACTTGTGTGACTTGCCTGACTTTTTTTTAGTTGTTTATTATTACTTTCTTTTGCATAATGTTGTAAGTGACTTAATAGTTATTTGACTTATTTCATGTATCATGTTCACTAAATTTCAATTACATTTTTATGTAACTTGTTGCCTAGTATGCCACCTGTTTGTGCAGATTATATTAGACTAGCCTAACATCAAATTATGGTCTACAAGCCTTCAATCACCAGCAATAGTCATAATGCTGACCTTGAAAAGCAAAGCACGATGTCTGGAGAGCCCAATATTTATGGAGCCCAGAGGCAACACACTCGTGGGCACAGATGTCCTCAATTCTGTGATTCTTTCTGTCCATCTTGCCAATATAATATTAGCATCTTTTACAGCACCACCCATATAACCCATAACAAGTTCAGAAAGCCTTTGTACCAAAATAACAACCTCAGTGACAGGGCAGTCTAATGCAATACATTGTGCAACTTGCAACAGCTCTTCGAGAGCAGGATCGATTGTATGGTTAACTATCACAGCTTCAAAGCCAGAATTTCCCGGATTTGCTTCGAGATCTGTCAGAGATGGCATCTTTCCTTGCATTGCTAAATTGGTATCGAGCGCATATACATCATAAAAACCATCTACAACTTTCTCCTCATAGTCAAGCACATTGTATTCCTGGTCAAAGGAAAAGAACATGCAAGAAAATCAAACAGGAACCGTTCAACAAGCAGTAAATGCAAAGGTGAAAAAAGCATCAACGGTTATAGGTGCACAACCAATAAAGTAAAAGTGTACATGTTCATTTAATTAATATAACAATGTGCAAGACTGTAACAAAGTCATACCATATGACGGAGTATTTTTACAAAAATCTTGATAGAATAACTACTTTTAAGTACAGAAACAATAAAGCGTAAAAACATATTGAGATAACTTTTCAAGAGAAAAGGATTCGAAATAGACTAATATCCGCACAAAATTATTGAGTCGAAATCCCAGAAACCACAAACGTACCAAAACCAAGTACTAAATCTGCGAGAGATATTTCCGCTGATTTTGCAGTAGAAATGCAAATTGTCTAAAGAAAGTTAGGGAATGAATCTGTTTAATAAAAATTCATCCAAGAACATTTTTTACTTTCTTTAGCAGGTCAATCACACAAATGAACACCATGGTTTTTAAAATGGTGATTTACAATTCCATATTGGTGATTTCTAAGGATGTAATACACTTCCAAAAAAGCACAATATAGTTTGATCACACTTGCCCAATCGTCATTCCAGACTACCGACCTATGAATACAGAGATATTCACACAAGTCTTAAAATAGGTTCCAGCTCGTTCGGTAACACTAGATATCAGACTTTTATACGCTTAATTGAAGACAATAAATGAAAATTCAGATTATTTCATGCAATTACCGACACGAACATTGATCAATTTGATCTGCAGTTAAACAAAGTTGCATGCTAGCTTACACTAGCCGTAGTCGCATATAAAGCCCCAATCTGAGCCCCATTCTACAACTCACTACATGAAGAATTAAGTTAAAGCCCGAAAAACAACTACCGCATTAATTAAGATAAGTACTGAGCTTAAAATACTAATCCATGCTTCGCTCCGAATTTCCAATTAAGCATGACTATAGGCGAAAAACTCGAACGATTCACGAACTTACCCAGTACTGCCTAGACAGAGCCTCCGCTACACCATCATCATTCCTCGTTGAATCAATTCTATGGCCTCCCAAGCTCAGGCGCGTGCGATCAGCCGGGAAGTCCGAATTGGAAGCGCTTATGGCGAGGGCTAACTGAACCTGAAACTCCTCCTCCGATGAGAAATAGTCCTGGCGATTGACCACAGCATTTGCCGGACTGGAAGCAACAGGCGCCGCCGTAGACGGCAATGAAGAAGAATGAGTGGCCGGGGAGGAGCCGGAAAGAGTGCGGTTATCGGTGGCGCAAGACGACGACGACGACGATGATGATGAGACTGAGGTGGCGGGAATTTCATTAGATCGGTTAGGGTCATGGTTGTTGTTGGTCCCTATGTGAAGCTTTTTGAAAATGTTCTTCATCTTTCTTTCTCAATTCTTTCTTTGGCCTTTGCGATTTGTCTCTCTTCAATTCTCAATTCTCTGGTTTTGAAGTGAAATACTGTAGTGGAAGAAAGTGTGTGGACTTCCGAGGGAAAACTTTTATGGCAGCGAAATAACTTTGTGGTGACCGGTAATCAAACGGGCACGGACTTTTCTTAAATTACGAAAATGGGATGCATACTTGGATGCGTTGATATTACGACACGAATTAAACGCGCAATTACACATTGGCATGGTAACCTACGTGTCAAAAAATTTGTACCATTCACTTAGTGTATCTATCCAATAAAAAATGAAGAATGACTGTCATGTTTGTATTAAAAGAAGAGAAAAATATTTTTCTTATCTAAATATCATTTGTTAAATAACAGATGTACATACTACAAATGTACAGAAGATGGAGGAGAAAAACTTCAGTCCACAAAGCACAAATTCAGTGCTCCTTTTTATTAATTATTTTTCTTCTTTTTTTACCAATTTTTTTTTATATTTTTCTCTAAATCCTAAAACTTTTCCTTTTTTAGTAAAAGAAAGAGTAAATACCCTTTTTGGTCCTCAACAAATTTCACGATGTTCGCTTTAGTCCCTAGCAAATAAAAAGGCCCATTGTGGTCCCAAAAAAATTCAAAATGGACCCATTTTAGTCCTTTTAGGGACTAATATGGGTCTTTTTTGAATTTGTGAGGGACCACGATTTCAACTAAATGTGTCCATTTTGAATTTCTTAGGGACCATGATGGGCCTTTTAATTTGCTAGGGACTAAAGCGGGCATCGTAAAATTTACTGAGGACCAAAAATGGTATTTACTCTAAAAGAAATTATTGAGTTGGGTGCTCCCATGTAGGGGTGAAAGTGGGCTAGGCTGGGCCAAGCTTTGCCCCGAAAAGCCCAAGCCTACGCCAAAAAATTTAATTTTTTGCCTGGCCCAAGCCTAGTACGAGTCTAATTGTTAGCCTGACTTGGCCCGTTTATAAAAAAACAAATGGCCTGACTTGGCCCGTTAGCCTGTTAATTTTTAACTTCCAAGCATGACCATGAATCAACTTTACAAAGTACTCAAATTCTGTTGCTACACCAAAAATCATAATTTCAACGTCCAAACAGAATCATGAATCATAACAAAACTCATACAATATGCATTTAAGTCATTTTCAAAATCAAAATGCTCAAATTAAATAACTTATATTTCATCAGACCCAACAAACAAATCCATACTATGTAAATTAAAATAACTACATGAATCCAACAAACACATCATGATGCTTGTAGTAAGGGCCTGTTTGGTGTGACGTATAAGGCATGATAGTATAAGCTTATACTATACGTTATGACATTTTCAGTTGTTTGGTGTGACTACCGTATAGTATAAGCTTATACAGCATAAACCCTTAATACATCAAAACGATGTATAACTTAATCCGGCCTAAGGGTGAGGGATAAGATCTGATAAGAGATTGATGTATTAACATCGTTGACCAATGTAATTCTCAAAAATTAATATATTATTTTAATATTAATCTATTAAAATAAAAATTTATTTTTCAATATATTAATTTTTAAAATATTGAATATTTTTATTTTTATAAAAATTAATTTATATTTTGGACACACTGATCAATAAATTTTTATAAAAATTAATATCATATGACATTTTTTGAAGAATTATATAAATTCTTTATTAAAAGATATTTTTATTAAAAATATTTATTTTTATCATATATAGTATTATACAGTGCATTACCAAATACTAGATGATATTATCTTATACAATATATAATTTATTACAATACCCTGCCAAACGCTTGATAGTATTAAAATTCAATCAGGTCTTATACAATCAGGCCTTATACTATCATGTCTTATACTATCAGGCCTTATCCTATACTATACACCAAACATGCCCTAAGTATAACCTTTCCCAAAAATCTTTTAATATATTCATATACACAATCTAACATGTTGAGATGTTGGTTCCTCCTATATAAGAAATAAAGTAAGATTTCTATTAAAATATAATCGAATATAATTAAGTTATAAATAATTGTAATTGATTAAATTTATATCTTTTGTTTTTCCTGCAAGGCATACTTACTCTATGGGCCCTAAAATTAAATTTATATCGTTTGGCTCCACCCATTTACTCTTTATTTTATTTAAAATAAATAGTATAATAGAGGCCGGCCTGCAGGCTTATAGGCCCGGTCTTTGAAAGTGGGCCTACGGTCTTTTTATTAAACAGATTTTTTTAAGGTCCAAGCCCGACCTATTATACAAAATATACTAGGTCAGGTCTGGCCTGATGTAGGCCGAGCCATAAGCCCCTGTAGGCCAACCCGACCCATTTTCACCCTACTCCCATGCATATAAGTTTTTCTCATGACAGAGGCACTACGAGTAACGTACTCATTTGATGAGTAATTATTATCGGTCTATCTTGAATGTAAAAAAATGGATTAAATTTGATTTAAAAATTAAGAAATAAGTTATTGTTTTAGTTTTTATAGATTTGAAAAATTTAAATATAGAACTTTTATTAAATATGATAGGATTTGTTTAAATAAACTATTAATAAAGATAAAAGTATAAAAAAATAAATAAATCAATTTCACTTTTAGTGAGTTTCAAATATAATAATTATTTTACAATAAATTCAAATTCAATCTTCAGTAATAATACATTTTAATTTTTAAATCCAATCAAATCAATTTAATTATTTTTAATTTTAGTTTATTTTAAAGACGACTATTGTGTTAATTGAATAAGATAAATTTTTTGTTGTGTATAATTGAAAGTGAGTAGATCTTTGCAAAGAGAAAAGAAGTAAAATGTTAATAAGAAGGAACACTGACCAAAATGTCACTGTTCACTAACTTTTTTACCTAAATGTCACGCGAACAATATTATTTCTCAATCTGCCACGGGGGCAAATTCGCTACCCGGTGTAGCAAACTCGGTTGGCTGACATGTCACGTTTCTAGTGGACACCAACTTGATTTTAACCAAGTTCGCCTACATGGTAGGCGACCTTCATTTTTTTTATTAATTTTTTAAAAAATTTGATACTTGTTATCCATTAAAAATGTGACACGTCAGCAAACCGAGTTCGCTACACAGGATAGCGAACTTGCCCCCGTGGCATATTGAAAAATAACACTGTTCGCGTGGTATTTAGTTAAAAAAGTTGGTGAACAGTGATATTTTGGTCAGTGTTCCTAATAAGACTCACTTACTTTTACGTGAATGTGACAAAAATATATTGTGTAATAAAAGCAGAAGCAATAAATCCTATTACAAATAATTTGATAGATGATGAGATTAGGGTTGGCAAAAATGAGCTAACATGTCGGGTTGAGTTGGTAAAAATGAGCTGTCAACCCGACTTGAGTCAGCTCGGAAAAAAACTAGCCAACCCACGGTCAAACGGGCTAGCTCGCGAGTCGAAGTTTTTTATTTATAAAAAATACAAAATATAATATACACATATAGACCAAACTCACACATGGTGTCATCGCCTTTCTTCCATCTCTAAACCTGAGTCTCTAATCTTCTCACATCCCTGCCATTTTTATATTATTAAGCTGTGCTGGCTCTGTTTAATTTAAATATCTTAGCCATTCGGTAGCAAGTGGTTCTGATTGTTTCTCGATGTTAATGCAAATTTGTTGTGAAAAAAATTTGAAACTATAATATTTTGCTTTTATTTCTCATTTTGTAACCCTTTGTTTAAGCTGATGGAAGCCACATAGCAGATGCATTAATACTAAAGGTTCATTTAAATAGGCTGAAAACGAGCCAATCCGCGAGCAATTTTAGAGCCAACTCACGAGTCAATTTTTGAGCCAACTCGCGAGCTATTTTTTCAAACTAATCTACGAGCCATATTTTTGAGTCAACCCGCGAGTCAACCCTAACCCGACTTGGATCGGGTTGTGTTGGATTTTCTGACTCGTTTTTTTTTTTCGAGCCAACCCTAACTCAGTTCATTTTTTCGGGTTGCATGCGAGTTTAGCCGGGTCGAGCTATTTTACCAACCCTAGATGAGACGCCCAAAACTAATATGACACTCGTTCAATAATGCGTAAAAAAATATTTCCAATACAAGAGATTTAACACACAATTCATATAAAATAACTTCGAGCTTATGTAAATTGAAAAATAATAACATTCATTAAGTCATATTTTATTCGTTATTATCGTATTAGATATTATATTATATATGTGGGAATAGGATTTTTACAACAACATAAGTTATATTTTTAATTTTAGTTATCGATCCTATTTATATTTAACAGTTCATATTTATTGAATATGTAAACAGTTAGATGCAAGTAATTCAATGGTTAAGATTTGTATAAAAACTCTTGTTTCTAAACTAATATAAGTTCATCGTCTTTCTATATATGTAATACTACTCCTTTAGTTTCATATAAGAATCTACGTAGTTCAATACTCAATTAATCAATTTATGAAACACAGTGTAAAATTTACTCATATATATAATAAAAGTCTTTATTCAATTTGTTTTTAAATAAGAGGTTTTCCCATTTTTCTTATGAAATAATAATTAAACTTAAGGCACTAATTTCTCACTCGAGATATAAAAGAAAAGTTATAAATCAATATAACTTATAAACAATCTCCTTTGACTTTTAAAGTTTTATTTCAATTTAATTCTAATTCGCTCGTATTAATGTATCAGTATAGTGAGAGATTTTGTTGAAACAGCAAGCATTTTTATTTCTTTCAGATCACATATCATATTGTTGTTGTTTGTTTGAACTTTGAAGTAAAAAATAAATAGACAACGGTAATGATATGTGACAGAAATGTTTTTTTATTTTTATTCGTTGTTGCCTTATGAAGAATGAATTATATTAATTAATTTTTTTGGTAAACAATTATATTAATTAATTTAATACTATTAAAGTTAACAAAATTGACTAAAAATTAACAAAAAAGAAACAGAAAATTAAATCAAATAAATTATACAATAAAACGTCTCAATGATGATATTAATTAATTTAATACTATAAAAGTTAACAAACAAACAAGAAATTAAATCAAAGAAATTATATAATAAAATGACTCAACGAGTATCTTCCGAGATTTCGATGTTGTTGAATTCTTGGTGAATTAGGAGGAATTGTTTGCAAGATCCAAATAGTAAGCATCAAATCCCATTTCTCCATCCACTATAAAAGATCCCACTTAATGTAGAAAAATCATTACTGTTGACAGTAGTTTTATCGTCTGGGGAAGGCAGAGGAAATCATAAATTCACTCGACCCACCAATTGAGTTAAACTGTCCAATATTTTTTGTATTGTTGATTTGCTGAAATTGGTTAAGCTCAATTGATTGTGGAATGTCCTGTGATAAACTCAAACTTTGATTTGCTGAAACATGGGTAGGCTGGACAAGTTCAGAGGAACCAATTCCTCTCATGTTCAAGCTTACAGGGGGGTTTAGCCTACAAAAAATTGCACCAGATGTGTATGAAGGTTGTGTAGGGGTTAAGATTCTTCCTGATCTAGACAAGGTGTTAAAATTTCTATATCTATCCATCAAATTGTTTTGCACATAAGGACCACTATGACCCAATGGAGGAACCCCACTATCTTGTTGAGTTGCCTTCTTTAAACCGAGCCTATATTTCTGCAATATAAAATGAGGACGAGCTTATATGCAATCATCACAATACAAGATATCTGGACAAAGTTATACATTCACTATGCGCATCTATACTTCCAAAAATGACATTATTCAAAATTTTAATGAATCATCAAATCTAAATGATTATCATACCATCATTTTCTCTTAGGGAAATGATGAAATTTGCATTTTAATCATAAATAATTTGAAAATTCATGTCAAAGGTGAAATTTAGAACTCATACCTGCAGATGGCTTGATATATTTTCTTTTGTAAGCCCTTCGACATTCATTAGCTCAAGGATTTTCTTCGGGACAGCCTCTACAATAACAATTGAAGAAAGCTCGTATTAATAATGATAATATCCATATTGAGATATTAAGTAGTCAAATTTAAGTTATATGTTCTCAAATCAAACAAAAAAGGGAAAGTTAATCTTCATCGGCATAAAAACTTACTGTCAATGCCCAATTCATTAACTGTTGCAACGAATTTTGTATGCAACTCAACATTCCAAAATAAACGTGACTTCTTCTGAGTTGAGGATTCCTTATTCTCTTTTACACTTTTTTCATCATCTTCTTCCTCTTCCTCGTTTCGTTCCTTCCTTTTTTGACACAAGTTTTTATTATAGTCTACGTTATCAACTGACGTGATGCCTTGACCACCTTCCCCAACCATATTGGGGGCTTTCTCCTCATTAGATAACTTATCCTTATGCTTGCAATCAATCTTCTTTCGCAATACGTGTTGCCATATATTTCGCAACACGTCAATTCGAGGAGGTTTGATTAAGTAGTCACAAGCACCATGCATAACACCTTTCATTACTAGCTCTTTATCATTGCATACTGTCAACACTAGATCACAAAAAGAAAAAACCTAAATTAATTGGTGAGTTCATCTTATAATTGTAAAAGAATACATGCCATGAGACTAGATTTATCTCTAGCTTTGGGAAGAACAGTAGAAGAAAAATTAAAACAAATTAAATTTGGAATTTGAGACTTTTTCAACAGTTAAATATTAGTAATCTCATAATAAGAAAAAGTAAATCTCAAGTTGAATATATAATAAGACAAAAGTGTGCGAACTTACTGACAACAGGTAGGTCCATTTCGAGTCCCACTGTCTCAAGGAGTTTAAATCCATCCATGTATGGCATATTTACATCGCTAATAACAAGGTCAAATTTGTTTTTGTTTTCTCTTAAAATTTCCAAAGCCTTAATTGACTGAGTAGTTGTAGTAACTGTAACAACCATAAATCAAACGTAAGATTTAGTTAGAATCGTACAAGATAAAGACTTCCACTATCAAAGTAAATCAATTCACCCAATAACAAATGCTTAATTAGAATAATGGAACTTATAATTCTAAAATTCAAAATAAAATATCCAAGAAAATAATTTAAAAAAAAATACAAATGAAGACCGAATTTTCAAGGACTCCTCTCTTGCATAGAATTTTTTTTTGTTTTGAACATTTAAAAAAATCATATATATATATATATATATATATATATATATATATATATATATATATATAGGATTTTATTAATCTTATGTTAAAGGAGATAGTTATCTCATGTCATAGAGATCAATTTGTGGGCTCTACCACCTGAAAAAAGAAAATAAAAAAATAGCACAGTTATCGAAGAGTGTGTAGGAGAGAAAACTTATCTCATGTAACATGAGAATAGTTTTTTCCACACACACATATATATATATATATATATATATATATATATATATATGGGTTTTGTTAATGTCATGTAACATGAAAATTGATACATCATGTTACAGAGACAAGTTTTTGTAGGACCCACCAAATATTAGGAAAACGAACTGAGAGTAGGAGGAAACAAAATTTTCATGTAACATAACATTTGTTTTTCCCTATATATATATGGGAAAATATTTTCTCATGTTGTAACCCTTCAATTTGCATGCAAATTTTTTTTTTTTTTTAATAAATATGAAGCCCACCACTAGTTGAGTCACAACATGAGAATTGAATTCTCAGAAGGAAGAGCACACAAAACTTCAAAAAAATTGGGGGATAAAAGATGACAAACCATGATATTGACATTTGCGAAGCATATTCTCCAACACATTAAGACAAACTTGGTTATCATCAACCGCCAGAACACGCATTCTTACTGGAAAACGGTCTCTTGTTCCATCTTCATCCACCAAATGAGACTCCACTATCATCTTGAACTACGAACCAAATACCTGTACAAAAAACACAAATATTTGGTACTCTAGAGAAAATCTCCTTTTTTTTTTTTTTCTCTGAAGCCAATGGCTTTGCTTTGCTCTGCTATCTACTATTTGTACTTGGCATTAACTTTCTTTTTCAACCAAATACAATAACAATCTTAACACCCTTGACCTTGGGCTTTTGTCTTCCTAGTGATTGATTGATTATCGTGATTGATTGGTATGATATCGGTCATTTGTACAACTGAATTTTGGTTGAGTTTAATTTTCCTTAAATGCACGTAATTAATTTTACATTTTTTATATGAATTATGAATTCATATCCCATATTTAGATTTATGTATTTATATTTAAAAAGTTTGCAAATATAATTTACCAAGAAATATTTTTTTTCCTTAAAAACCCATGATTTTATTTCCTTAAATACATTATTAAAATTATTAGTTGCTATATAAATAATTGTCAATCAATACTAATACTTATAATTAATTATGGAAAATCACTTTCTTATATTGCACAAAAATTCTCTGTTCGAAAAATATGCAACTATTTTTATTTTATTTTTTGAAAAAAAAAATCTGTGCAGCCCATTTCATATGTCTTTGTTAAAAACAAAGCTCTTCACTTGTATCATAAGAAAAATAACGCTCATTAATTATTAATAGAAATTTTATACAAGTTAATCAATTCATTATAATTGTTGTCATTGACCACCCAAATGAAAAATATAGTTTTGGAAACAAATCTCAAATGAAGATTTTTGGGGTCTAATGAGGCGGTCAAACAGATACCCTTTTCCTCTGTTAATGTCATTAAAAAGGCAACTAATTATCAGCTAAATAGTAAATAGGGATATTAGCGTGATGTTGCCAGAACCATAAAAATGAAAACTTGTAAGTGTCTAATCACAAATATATCTGCATTACACTCTTTTGCAAATTTCCAAATATCAATAATAATTACGAATTTAATTGCCCAAGTTTATCAATTGGCGTTACTAACTAACAATTTGAAAATTTTAAATTAACTACTGAAATTTCATATTTCTATGAAATATGATTTCATAAGTTAATATACCTTTATTTAATTGAGTAAATGTCACGCATTAATCTCACTCTCCCTCTATCTTATTTCACATATCAATAATATGTTAGGAATTTTTTAATCTTTTATTTTCATTTTTTTTAATAAAAATTTTTAAACCCACACTCCTAAGAATGAAATATATATGATGCTGGCCACAGGCAACGCCATCCAATGTCATATAGTTTCAACATTGTTTGTGTAACATTCATATTGACAATTCACACTACATAATAAAAATGAGTCTTTATTTATTAAAAAGTGGTGATTTGTTGTTATTATTATTTTTTTATTTTTTGGTAAAATATTTTTTTATCGCAAATGTGATTTCAGGCAGAAAAGTATTTCTTTTTACACTTTTAATATTTTTAAATAAATTACTTTCTAATATAATTAGCTATTAAACATAACATTGAAATTCCTTTTTTTTTACTCATTCCATATAAATTTGTTATTTTTATATCTATTTTCAAAATTCCAATCCCTATTGTCATATCTAAACTAATCAAAAAGAAATCTATACCTATATATTAAATTAGAATATACTTTTGCCAGAATGACTTAATCTTTCAGTTTATTTCTTTTAAAAGACACAAGTCATTCTTAAATTTTCTTGTTATAAATTATTTGCATATATCTTCTTTATAATTTTAAAAAATTAATATATATTTTTTATGGAAAAAATATTATGAATAAGAAATGTGAGAAGTTAGAAGTTGAAGAAGATAAGAGAATATGAAGAGATAAGTGTGGGAAAAGTACAACATTATATAAACGGGAGATATGCCTAGGGTTTATAAGTCTCAGGGTGCAAAATAATCAAAAAACTGAATCGAACCATGAACCGAACTGAACCGTTCTTAAAATAATCGGTTTTTAAAAATCAGTTCATGAACCGAACCGGTTTTTAAAGAACCAGTTCATGAACCAAACCGATTTTTAGAACCAGTTTAAGAACCGAACCATTTTGAACCGAACCGAACACCGAACCAAATTGTTTTTTATAACTTTATTTTTTAACTTTTTAATTTTTTTTCTTTTCAAAAGAGAGTCGACCCGAACCGGTTCAGAACCGAACCGAATTGTTTCCAACCGAACCGAACCGTTTCCGAACCGAACCGAACCGTTTTCAAACCAAACCAAATTGTTTTTTATAACTATTTTTTAAATTTTTAAATTTTTTCTTTTCAAGAGAGAGTCGACCCGAACCGGTTCAGAACCGAACCGAACCAAATCAGTTTTGAACCGAAGCGAACCACTTCCGAACCGAACCATTTAAACCAATTCGGTTTGGTTTTTTAAAAAATCCGATTCGGTTCGACCCATGCACATCCCTAGTTACAACCTCATCCTACAATATGTCCATTGGGCCATCCACATTTGTGAAGAGGTAAGACAATCTCTTAGAAGAAGAAAACAAAAATAAAATAAGGAAATTAACCAGTCTTTTACATAATGCATGGCAAAAATTATATATGTATATTCAGTAGACATCGTATCTGAATGACATTATTGAGTGAGGTTATAATAAGAAAAACTAATAATTATTGAGTTCAATTGTCACATGTGTCTATTTTTAACCTATCTAGGAAAATAGCCTTTATTACAGCCAAGACTGTGTGGAGAAAGTTATGTCATTCTGGATTCATAGCTAGCTTCAGCTGGCACACTAAAATTGTTCTATTGCCTTTAAATTGATAGGTAACTTGTCTCCAATAATCGGAAAAATATTAATCTTGCATTTTATACTATCACACACCAACAACAATTTAACTGGGGTCTGTTACAGTTCACTATTGTAAAAAACACAAATAACTTGCTGAAATTAAAAATGGAGAAAAATAGAGAAACCATTGGAATAAGGCCCCAAATTGGGCTTTCTCAATTGAGATGGAACTCCTTAAGGTATGAGATAGCTTTCGGGCTCTACTGGGCCTGTCAGTGACCCTTGAGAATTATCTGAGTTCTTAATGGGCTGGATCCTTACACAACTATCAATATACACGAATTTTTATAAAGTTAAAGCAGTTAAATTTGTAAAATTTTAAATTACACATATTTTTTTAAAAAAATTAGCTTGAGTCTACGGAATTAGGCTTAGATTGAGCTTTGAAATTAATTAAATCGAACCTCCCAACTCTAATCATCTTCTTTTCTGTATACATCGAATTGAAATTTCCGTTCTAAGTCAAATTATATAGAATAGAAAAATAACTACTTTATACTATCTTTAATTAATTGTGAGCTTAGACTCAAAGAGTTATAATATAATTAGTAAAATAATTTAAATATTTAATTTTAAGTGAACCGGTATTATCATGTTAAACTTTGAATTTTTTTATTTTTTTTATCTTAAAGCAAATTTGTTTTCCGTAGTAGTTTACATTCCTCAAACTAAACAACAGCAGAATAAAATTAGAGCAATGCATTTTTTATTTAAAGTTTAAATATCCATTAAAGCAAATAACATATTGCTTCACACGTAAACATAACACATTCAGCACGATTTTTTTATTCAAATATATTACTCCTTAATTACGTGTATGTTATTAACAACATTTCAACGAAAGTGCAACTACGCCATGTTTTCTGATACATTATAATTACAACACTTGCACCCATGAACCAGAACTTGGTATACCTGCATGCACCACAAATAACATGTAATACCCCGGCGGTGCAATCTCCGGAGTCGATGGTCCCACCACGGTAGCATAATAAGTCTCTCCGGTCACATGCGTAACCGCAGTCAACTTCAACACCACCATTCTCTGATTCATACCTAAAGAGTGCGTCGTAAACGATGGTGACACGAGCCTAACCGATACTTCACTAGCCGAAGCATACTTGGTTACCGTGAAAGTGACATAATAGAAGACCCTGTACTCAAAAACATAGCTTGTGATGTACCTAATAGTTGGCCGAACCGGATCAAGCAAAGATGATAAATACGGTGGAGAAAAAGCTTCCAAGCTAAGATCAGTAGCGTACAAAACCCCAGTGAAATTGTAATATATATGTGGGTTGCTACCACCAACTAAGACTCTTCCATCTCTTAACAACACTGCTGAGGAATGATAAAGCCTAGGTCTCGAAGCAGGTAACATCACACGAAACCGCAACCGTGAGTCCATCTCAGATGGCCGGAATATAACCGGCGTCAGCACCGGTTGACGGCCGCGCTCCCACCCGGCTGTGCCTAACCCTACGCCGTTAATTATAATAACCTCGCCGTTAGGGAGAATTAGCATGTCTCCCATTGCTCTTGGCAATGGCATTTTCTCCATCACCCAATTAGGGTTTGCGTCAGTTACTTTAAGGCGTCCACAGTTGTTAAGGGTTTGCATGAAGTTTCCCTTTAAGGTACCCGCAAATGAGCCACGTGGCGCTCCTCCACAGACCATGATTTCAGCTTCGATATTAGAGCCTTTGTTTTCGTCTAGTGGGAGAAGAACTGATGAGCCTGAGCTTGGATAGTTACGAGGATCGCCACCTGGGATAGGAGGAAACTCTTTGACAACACGGTTTTGTTTATAGTCAAATAACACGGAACGTGTATTTGCGAAAATGAATAGGTTCCCATCAGGTAAAAGGTGAACAAAAGGGTACAAGTTGTTTTCGTATCGATCAGTAGTTTCTTGGAGAAAGCTAAGATGAATAGGTGAGGGAGGATTATTCTTATTGGGACTTCTAGGATAGAATTCATAACTGAATTGTCTTCTCCCTCCAACAATAATGATTCTACCATCTGGTAGTAATTGATTAGTTGCATACCATCTTCTTTGGGATAAGTAACTTGGGAATTCAACCCAATCACAGTTTTGGTCGAAGCATGGGGTAAACATGCGAATGCGATGGTCACCGTCGTTGTAACCACCAGTTTGTACCAGGGTACCGTTAGGGAGAACAGAACCTGAGGAACACCAAGTGTCTGTTTGTACCATTAACGGTCGGAACGTGTTTGTGTGTATGTCATATAACAGAGAGTGAGCAGTGCAATCAATTTTAAGGGCAGTATCTTGTGGGTCCATTCGACAACGGCCATTTGAAAGAGGGAGTTTTGAGGGTCCAAAATCGGTTCGGTCAAACATGACGATTTTGTCATTATGTAGAAGTTGCATGTGCATAGCTGAGATGCCAATGCTTGTTTGCAAGAGATTCCATTCTCCTTGATAGCCAAAGGGTGATGATGACAGAGTCTGAGCTACTACCGCTGCGACTTGAAAATATGGCAATGAAGATAGTATAAAGAGAATCAGGATACTCATGACAGTGCTCATTCGGGGTAAGCAAAGAGAAGGAGAAGCGTTGGAAGATTTTAGTTGAATTTACCAGTAAAAAGTTGGTGGGATTAACTGGGGGTTGAGTGATAGTAGGAACTGGAATTTATATTTTAAATGCACAGAATAAATAAATTGATATGCTGAGAAAAAAGAGGGTATCTTTGAAAGGAATGATGTAATTGGCAGCTAAAAGGGCACAACTCAAGGAATGCAGTTTAAGGCCAAGAAATATGAATTCTGAAACCTACACATTTTAAGGTGATTTTAAATCATGTTGTCCATATGTTCATAAAAAACTGGGCACCAGACTCATGATACGTAACTCTTCCATGTGTAGAGTTTAAACCTGCAGTGATATTGTCAATTATCAGCATCTAAACATTACGTGGAGTAGTGTAATTTTGAACTATCCCACATAGAATGGGGAAACTCACAAGAACCTTATATTTTTACCAACCCGTCGCTGGCACGGATCACCAAAATAAGAGATTTTTTTACTTTCGAGTTTCGACCATACATTGATTTAAGGATATAAGGTGATTGATTGTACATAATACTTCAGAAAATGGTTCACATATATTGTTAGTAATCTCGAATAACGGTTCTCTGTAGATCGGAATCACTAAGCTGAAAGATTTGGCACAACCTTCAATAGTACAAATTACAAACATGCAATTAATGTCTTGTAGACAAACAAAAAAGTAATGTATGATTTCCCAAAATAATCGCATATCCGTTTTTTTTTTATTTAAGACCAAGCAAGAAGACGTACGGATTCCTTTAAATATAAAGTAAACAAAAAATACCAGATAATTAGTTACACAACACCTCAAGAAGATCTGCAATACCTCAAAAAACATAGGGAATGAAACAGAAGAAGACTATAACTCCTTTAAAGGAAAATTTAAATGATTTTTCATCTAATTTTGTCTACCCTTGTATCTTCTGCTCGAAACTACAACCCATCCACAATATCTGCTTCACCTGCAACATTTGGCGCAGAGGCCAATTAACTAGCGAATTCATGTTTGATTCAGATAATGGAACGTGTCCACACTCCACATCCGTGTTAATTTGGAGAATTATCATCCCTAGTAACGTTTTCATCATTATCACCATCTTTCTCTAATCGTCTTCATAATTCACAATGTAGCACATCATAAATTTCAAACATTATGCTCCTCTCAAATTCGAAAAAAAAAAAAAATAGTATTGAATTGCATCACTTATAGAAAAAAATTGACTCCCTTAACTATATTTATTCCACCCACTTTTTTATGGTCAATATGTATGCCACTTATTTTTTTCTCTTGCCAAAAAAGTACATATTAGTGGAGTTCAAATTCAAGGGAAATGATCATCCAATTGTTGCTCAGCGTATACGTAAATAAGGAGAAATGTTTATACATCAAATAGTCCGGTGTTAGGAGAAAAACTGAAAAGTTGTTCAAGAATCAATACGTTGTTGTTGTGATTTTTGTTTCTATTTTTACTTTTTTTTTTTTGTGTGGTGGGGTGAGGAGGGTTACAAATGAGGTATAATACTAGAAATTAGAATGAAACCAATTCACATTTTATTACACATATATGCCACATGCAGATTAATTGCAAACAAAGTCATGTTTTCGAATTTTGGGAGAAAATAAAACAAAATTTCCTCCTAACTACCACCTTGGTAGCAACATGGTGGTTATTGCATATAAATGTACACACCAAATATACACAAGAATCTCTCACAATAAAGACTTGATTTGACCACCCCTTATTAGTTGGTCATGGTTTCTAAGCATCCCATTCAACTCGTTTGCAAACCTCTCCATATGGCTTTGGCTAGCAAGCTAATTGGCACCACTATGACATATATACTCTCCTTTATTATTCTGCTATGATATGTAAACGCTCGTCAATAGGCCTGAATAAGGAGAAACAGCGTTCCAGCCACCACGTTATTTAATGGGATCATAGTCCATTTGGCTTTGTTTTCCAACAGGAATTCCTCATATTTTGTAATGGAAGGTTCCTTTTCCCCAAGGGCCATTTCAGCTAAAGCATTTACGAATTTTGTAATACCGTATCCATCACTCATGCTTTGATTAATTCAATCGAAGGGTAAAAATGAAACCACCACATGCACTTTGTTAGAAATCAAATTTAACTTTTGCAACTATTCACCGTCATACTAGAATAATCAAGAGTTGCACAACCTGGAGAACTCTTGAAGTTATGAGTTGTCAAAAAGGTGTAGAGAATTCTGGAAAGGTATCCTGAGTTGAATTGGTCAAAGCAAAAGAATTAAACATAAAAGAAGAAGAAAGCACGTCGGTTGCTTAGTTGATTTGATCTAACAAAAATATGGAAAGTTGTAGAAAATGGTGAGCCAAGTCATAAGTAAACTATTAGTCATAGTTTGAATATTATATTATGTTTAACCGGCCATCAAGGTCGGTTGGTAAAGGCTATATATAGCGCTAGGGGTGTGCATGGAGCGGTTCATAACCGATTTTAACAAAAATCGAACAAAATCGATTTTAAACGGTTTGGTTTCAAACTGAACCGATTTTCTTCTTTTAAAACCGATTTTTAATTTTCTAAACCGGTTCCAAAATCGGTTTATGATTTATAACCGGTTTTGATTTAAAATCGATTAAACCGGTTTTGATTCAAAACCGGTTTTAAATCAAAACCGGTTATGAATCATAAATCGGTTTATCAAGTTCAAAATCATTTTTTTAACAAATTCAAAATCGGTTATTCACCATCATATCCAGATTTATCCCCTTAATTTCTCACCTCTTTATTTTGCTCTTAAGTCGCAACTCTAATTTTAATCACACTCCTTCACTTGTTTTGATCGCAAGTTTTTCACTCGTTAGGATACATTAATAACTCACGGTTTGATACTCGCAAGCTTCTCTTTTTTTTTTTCAAAAAAAAAAACTCACGGTTTGATCTAATTTCTTTAGCTTAAGCTTCTATATTTTATAGCCGCTTCTGTATTCTTTAGCTTAACTTTTTTTTACTAATTTATTGTTTGGAAGTTTGAGTCGATTGACTAATATAATAGACATGATAAAAGATAATACTTATTTGTTCTTTAATTGTAAAGTAGTTTGGTTATGGATAACCATGGATAACCAATTATTTTTTGGTTTGATTAATAACCAGTTTATAAATTAAAATGCAGTTTCATACGAAACCGGATTTTAAAAATAACTGGTTTTTAAAATGTGAAGCAGTTTGGTTATGGATCGGTTTGGTTCTTTTGGACATTTTGAACATTCCTATATAGGGTTGTGCGTGGAACACATCGGGTCAAATTTTTATGTTGAATCGATTCAACTTGGTTTTATAAGTCAGATATTTTGACTCGACCCAGTTTAATTTGATTTAAGTCAGTTCTGACTCGATTTGAATTTTTTTTAACTGGATAATATCTGATCTGACTTGGTTTCTAAAGTGGGTCTGACATGGTTTCAAAATTGGGTCAAATCTGACCTGACCCGCTTTTGACTTGGTTTCAAAACATTTTTTATTTGATTTTTTTATAATTATTGATTTAATTTTTAAACTCATGTAATTTAATTATCTATTTATTTTAAAATATATAAATTATATAATAAATTTGATATTTGTTGAATAAATACCAATTCTTAAAAAAAATGCTAATATTACTATTCCATGGTACTAATGAGTGTCATGGGTAGCTCATTCTCACTCATAATTGATATTTGTAATTAGCAATTATTATGATTTAATTGGATCACCAAAGAGCTCAAAATTGATGATAAATTAAAAAAAATCCAAACTTATTACAAAAAAATAAAAATAAAATAAAATAAAATAAAAATCCAAACTTAAAATTATCCTATAAAAAAACAAAAATGATTCAATGATTTTCCTGTCGGGTGCTCCATCATGTCCATTTACTAACTCGTCAGAATCGTCGGGTTTGGCCGTGGACCAGAGTTGGTGCCGTCGCAGATGGGCCTCAAGAGATTCTCGTAGCAACCTCGTCTTGAATGACGGCAAAACGAACGGTGTCAGTTACACGCTGTTTCAGAAAAACCCGTCGTCAGAAAACCCTGCAATCAACATATAAAGTATGTCTCCTTCTCCTTCCTCTTGAATGGCGTTAAACCCAGTCACAAAGCTTGCTGCTAACACCTATCTGCACATAAAGTAAACAACAAAACTCCATTAATGGTGGTTTCGTGTTCCACTAAAACAAAGCCAAAACAAGAACCTAAATTACTACTCTACTGTGATTTTTCTTGTAGATGGAGCGGAAGAGTGAAGACTCGAGAGTGAATGACCGAGAAAGATTGGGAGAAGAAAAAACCTAAGCACAAATTGCTTACCGTGATTTTTGATTTTTTTTCACAAAATGGGTCTGGGTCAAATTTTGAGTCAATGGGTCAATTATTAAAACAAGTCAAGTCTAAAACTGACCCAAATATAAGTCGGTCAATATTTAAATCTAATTTAAAAAATAAGTATTTATGGGTTAGATCAAGGACAAGACAACTGAATCAGTTTTTTTGCACACCCCTGCCTATATATGTGTGTGATATGGGTAGGAGTAGTATAGGATGAAAAAGCATATGTAAGAGAGTAAGTGTTGTAGCACTTAGATGAAAAAAAATTAAAGACAATTAGAAAAGAAAAAATAGAGTTGTGTTTGGAGAGATGTTAGAGAGAAGAAAGTTGAGTTTGAGAAAGAGTTATCTTGAGAGAAAAATTAGTTAGTGTTACAACACTTGTGTTTTATTTTGTAAAAGTTTGATATACTTTATCTATATTTTTTATTCCATCTCCAACACACTTGAGGCGTGTCATCTATAGTTAGTATTCATATATAATCATCCAAATATAGGGTTGTGCGTGGGTCAGGTCGGTCAGGTTTTTGTCCGACTCGACCCAACTTAGTTTTTATAGGTCAGGTATTTTGACCCGACCCGCTTTAATTTGATCCAAGTTAGGTCTGACTTGGTTTGGGT